GGCTCTGGTGAACCTCATGAGGACCATGATCACGCTGAAAATGACCATTTCGCAAAGGCCGAAGCTGAAGACAAAGATGGTCATGCTGAACATCACGAACACCCCGAAAAGAATTTTTTTGAGATTGTCAAAGCTGAAGCTAAAGACAGTGAAAATTCAGAGTTCCGGTCTACGAGTAGTTTCTGCGAGATACTGATCGAACAAGAATTCGAGCTCTGTGGATCACCTTCAGAAGTAGAAGGGTCCACCATCGCCGTGACTGAGACGGTTTCATCTCAGTGTAGTGGGGTCAAAGATGGATTTTGTGTGGAAGTAGACGAGAAATTCTCTGTACAGTTCTGCGAAAAGTCGGAAAACGTCAGTGAAAAGGTTCTAGAGGCAGACCTTGGTTCTCAGAGGACATGCTTTCCTGTGTGTACAGTTGAAATGAAGCCTGGATCTCCGTTCGATTTCGAAACAATGAAAATCTCCTTCAATTCTTCGATATCTGAAAAGGAAGGAGCTGCAGAAAATCAAGACAGTTCCGTTTTCTGCTCGGGTTCTTCACGAAGCTCAAGATCGGAGAAAGCTGATAATCACAAAAAAGCTGGAGTCTCGGTAAAAGCCTAAATTTCGGAAACTTCGCTTCATATTAAACTGTTTTAGGCAGCTGAAGAAACTGCTTTCGTCGTTGTCACCACCGCGGTAGCTTTTTTATCATCCTCTTCCACATCTTCCTCTTCGTCATCATCAAGACCTTCATCTCCTTCTTTTTCTTCTTCTTCTGAGTGATTTTTTCATTTTTCTTTTAAGTCATTTTTTCGGAATTTCAGAGAAGTTTCAAAAGAGGATGAACTCCTAGAGTTATTGTCGATCGACTGAATGCGAAAAGAAGAACACTTCCCTTCACAAAGATTCGTCGTGCAAACCCACATATTTCGCGAAAATTCATATTTTTTTCATTTTTTTCAAGCCCTTTCTTCTCAAACTTGAATAAACCTGTTTATTTCAAAAAAATTGGGATCAAAATTGTTGTCTTCATATTTATTAGGATGGTTCAATCAAAGTTTACGTACATACTTTCTTTCAGAAAAAGTTTGAAAAAACGCTCGCAGTTCAGAGTATTTATTCGTTTTTTGGAATTCGCCGCAAAATCAATCCAATGAAAATGATGCACTGGAAGAAGTTCTTGAGTTTCTTCATAACTCAATTCAAAAAAAATCTCCTTTGAACAGTTTTTTCTTAGAAAATCTGAATCCATGCAGTTCGAGGCTCGTAAAATCTCAAACACAATATGCAAATAGCGTTTTTCTTGAGAGGTATCCAGAAATACGCCGATCTCATGTGTCTTCGCGTTGAAATAATTCATCATCAATATTACGTAAAATACATTGAAAACAGTTTTCCATCTTCATAAATGGACAGTAGGATTTTCATTTCAGAAATTTATTCAGTGAGAATATTCTTGTTCAAAAATGTGTATCTGTAAGAATTTTTCACAGAGCTTCCCGACAGTTTTTCAGTTTGAAAAAAGGCAGCTTAGTCTTATTCAAAGGTTCGACTGTGACCTGAGACTACCTGGCAAATGAATTTGCGGAAAAAAAAATTTTTAGGCTTCTCTCTACCCTTTTCTTTGGTTAGATGTAATTTTTATTTTTTCTTTATGTCTTCTATTCACATTAAATTCTTCTGACAGACATAATAGTAACGTCGCTTCTGAAACTTTCATTCAGTTTTATGAAGATTGTAATATGACCAGCGCACTGAATTCACACGATAACGATGAGTAACACGCGTCTTCAAAAGGTGATAAACGCAAGGGAAAGTACTGATAAAGCCGTCGTCCTTTCCGAGCTTTGAGAGGCATTGTACACCCCCGTACAAACCGTCATCTCCTCATTTATTTAAGATACTCCTTGCCATTTAGTTTCGAACACATTCATTCCCATATTTGTTCCTTTAAGTGACTACAACTTTTTTCTGAGTCATCAACCCATTTTCATGCAACTTGGCGCGAACTACTAAAAAACTCTTATTTTCCTCATAGACAATTTTTTATCGGTTTCTTCTTTCTGTGGTGAATCAAGTAGACGTTTATTCTCACATTGTCGGCCGAGTTTCAAAAATCCTTTTCAAACTGGTTGATAGCTTAAAATTAAAATTCCAACTGGGAAAAAGCCTGTTGGAAAACAATCTGAGCGAAAAAAATTACTTATTTTTTTCTTAACTTTAACTCTTTTTCCCGTTCATCCAGCATCATTTTTTTGAAGAAAAATCTTTTTTTCATGGATTTTTTTATAATTTGTTCATCAAAAGAAGAGCTCGAAGTTTTTATTCACGTTTACATTCGATATTGAAGAAAAAAAACCTTCCAAATATTTTTCTTCCAGACGACTCCTCACGATGTCGTCGACAGGTGGTTCTTACCGTCCATACACGCACAACAACTACCGCTCTCCACAGACCAACCTCATGCTTCCTGAAGGGACTAACTTATCCAAGAACTTGGAGCTTCCAAAGACAAATGATCATCTTCTGAGAGGACCCGCACCTTCCTACTCAATGCCTTACAAGAGCAGTTTTGACAACAAGCCTATAAAGCTTCATTACAACTACAGCACACGGAAAAGCTCTCGAACGATCTCTAGGACGCCGTCTCCTATGCCTAGAAAACAGATGACGACGATTAAAGAAGAAGATTCTCAGGACAAAGACAAAGAACTTCCTCCTGCTCTACCGCCGAGAGAAACTTCTTTGGGAGAAAATCTGCGAACAACTTCTTTTTCACAAAAAAGTTATATTGCTGAGCCACAGCCAGCCAGCCTAGCCGGCAAGCAAAAACAACAAGAAAATGTTTCATCCTTCCCGTCTGCAGAATTATCTGCATCTCCACAACTGAACTATTCATCATCCTCTCATCTTTCTTATAAACCTTCTCTTCATGGATACTCACCCAGACCACTTTACAACTACGGCTCATCCTCAAATTATTCATCAAGATCCATGGAATCTGATTTTTCTATTGAAAAATCTGATCGTCCGATTTATCCTGTCGCACCAGAAAAAATACAAGAAAAAGCACACACGGTGGAGAATGAAGCTTTTTCGCTTGCGAATAATCAGTCTTTATCAAAGACAAACCCCGAGATGTCTACAAATCTTTCCACTCCTCGGAGACCGCTTACTGGAACTACAGCAATGGTTCAGAGTAAACCCATTGAGAAGGAGGAATATTCAAAAAACTCTGAACTTACCTCTTCAGCTAGAACGTTTTCGAACCAAAGTCAACTTCCGGTTTATACATCCTCACTGAAAGGCTACCAAAGCTACTACAATCAGAACTATCTCAATTCTCCGTCGATTTTGTCATCAAGGCCGTATTCGCCAAATATTGTTACTCATTCCATTGAGCGAACAATACTTCCCGTAGGTTTGGAAACAGAAGCTAGAAACTATCATGGTAACTCCAGTACCATTCAGTTCTGTGAAGAAAAGTCGAAACACGACGTGCCGAGCGGTGAAAGCAAAAGTTCTTCAAGATTGCAAGAGGAACCCCTTAAAGAAGTTCCGGTAGCAACTCCCATAAGAAATGTCTACACTGGTCTAAACTTTGCCTACAGCGACCGACAAAGAAAAGAAGTGGAGCGATTACGCGCAGCCGAGGAGTTATCGATAAGAAAAAAAGAAGAAGAACGGAAAAAATCGGAAGAAGAAGATCGTAAAAAAGCTGAAGAGGCACAACGCGTTGAAAATGAAATACGCAGAAGAGCTGAAGAAGAAAATCGAAAGAAAATCGAAGAGGAAAACCGCAAAAAAGCTGAAGTAGAACAACTTCGAAAGGCTGAAGAAAAGCGCCAAAACGTGGAAAAGGAAAAAATCGAACAAGAATTAGCTTTAAAAAAACAAGAAATGAATAGTCAATCGATATCTCAAGAAGAATCCAAAGCCAGCGAAGCGATCAATATCACAAAGTCTGAAAAACCCCTAATCACTGAAACTAGGCCAAATCCAGTAGAAGAGCCTCAGGATTTAGTTCCAATTTTTGACACGGATGAAGCTGACGTGGCTGCTTTCAAACGCCAGATCTCGGAGCAGAAAAAACGACTTCGTGAAGAAAAAAAAGCGAATTCAAAAAACGAGGTAGGCGCCCTAGTAAGGCGCCAATCGAACGACCGAATTCCAGTGAGTTCAACTTTAATTGATTCCCTTTCATTCGAATTTTCAAAATTCATGAAATTTCAGTTTGCTCCAACTGTGGAAGACATCACGCCTGCAAACAGTCATGTTTGTTTTTTCGGAAGAGCATTTTCATTTCAGTTTCATTAAGGAAGATGAGAACGCTTCTCAGAAAGAGCACCAAGAAAGTTCCGCTTCTTCGCATGAGAATGATGAGGCAAGTTGAAAAATGTATTCTTGAAGAAAAATATGAGTTTTGTATGAGAAAATATCTAAATTCGCTTTCTTTTTTTTTTCAGCTGGAAAAAAATTCTTTTTCTACAGCCGAAGAAGACTCAGAAGTAACTGAAAAAGAAAGCCAAGAGGTATTTGAAAAAATTTGGAAAAAAATATCACATTTACAATATTCAGATCGAGCAAGAAGAGAATACTTTGTCTGATGAAGAAGTTATCGAGGAGCCTGAAAAGCAAGACGATGTTTGTGATTTTCTCAATTGAAAAACGTTCCTAATTTTATTGGGGGCCTCCCGATGAGCCCTTTTAAATTCAGTCAATTCAAGTTGAATTATGAATAATTTTCCAGGCAGAAGAAAGATGTATCTCAGAAGGCAAAGAAAATGAAAACAAGGATGCGGAAACCGATGAAGTAAGTTTTCTTTTTTTCAACCGCCTTCGAAATAGTCTAAGAAGAATACTTCTCATTTTTTCGATCATTCAAGCTCAAAACGATCGTTATGTTTCAGACAGCAGGAAACTCCCTCCCGGTAGCCGAACAAGACTCTCAAATAACCGATGAAAATAGTGAAGAAACTAATGGGAGCACCGACGAACCGCTGGAAAACGAGGAGGATGATCAAGTATACTTCACTTTTTTTATTTTGAACTGAATTTTTTGCAGAACTTGGAGCACAACGACGACGCACTAGAAACAATCAATCTTGAAACGACAAAAAACATGAACTTTGTGAGTCATTTCCCTCAGAAATGAAAGTTGCCACGAAGAAAGTTTCAGAAAGAAGATTTGGTTAACTGTGAAAGTGAAACAGATAGCGACAAATTCAAAGCTGTTCAAAGCGGTTCAAAACAACTTTTTGACTTGGACGACAGTGAAGACGACACTTTTCTTCTACCAGAAAGAAATAACCTCGAGTCTTCATCTCCCCAGAAGAACGAATCTCCGGAATCTGATAACAGCGAAAGTTCCCAAGAGGACCTAGACAGAACACTTCAAGTAGAGACAGAGGTACAGAAAAACTCGAATTTTTTTTTTTTGGAACAATCTCTCTTATATATTATATCTATTCCAGAACTTAGATGAAGAACAAGAAGATTCCGAAGTTTCTGCGGCAAAACTTTTGGACTTGAAGGAAACTGAAGCAGTTTCTCATGAGAGCGTGGAGAATGCGAAAAGTTCTGAGGAAACGGAAGACATTCCGGTAAGCTATACTCAATTTTTTTTTCTAGTTTTTAGATTAGAAAACCTGAAATCTGAGAGAATTTAAAATGACATACAAAAACGGAAAAAATCATGATTTTTTATTCTTAAAAGTACTGGCAAATTGCAGGAAAAAAATAATTCCGAGACACTCCTCATCGAAAACTCGATGGAAGAAGAAAAAGAACAGGACGATGGCTTAACTGTTGATGTTCATGAAACGGATGAAAACGACTCTGAAAAAGGAATCCCTACTCCTCCAACATCACCCGTTGAGCAACTTGTATTTTCTTCATTAAAATGGAAAGTTTGACTGTTTTATCTTTAGGAGACGGAAGAACTGAGTGAGAAAGATGAACATGAGAATGATGAAAATCAATCTTCCCAAGTGTCGGATGGATAGAAAACTTTGGTGAGTATAAATTTTACTATTTCTTTTTGAGCAAATCAAATTGCAGGCTCTGAAAAGATCATCGTCAGCAGGGTCCTTCTTGAAAACATTCTCTCCGTTACAGCACGACGAGGCCGATTTTCAATCCATTTATTCTTTTTTTGTCATACAGAAAAATATTTATTATCTTTTAATAAAAACATTAATGCAACCCATACAGTGAATAGACACACATTACAAGTTACCCGCAAGTTCCTTCTGCGCAAGCGATTCCATACCGATCAACGGGTACAATGTTGAAATCGTCATTGATGAGAATCATGATCCTGACATTTTGAAAATATGATTTTTTTTTTAAATTTCCACCAACCATCCGTTGCCCATCAACTTGGTCTGCGCCTTCTTCTTGAACTCCCAATCTCCGTTTTTCCAAACGTAAGTCATGAAGATCCACGGCTTTCTCTCGCAGTTTTCTCCCACAATCTGAACTTGATCATTTAATTCCTAATCGTTCCGCGGTCTGACCTTTACGTGCTTTTCTTCTTTCCATTCAGTCAAAACGACTGGTTCCGACATAATTTCCAAAGCAGGAACTAGAAGGTCAACGCGAGTCTGTAAAAGCATTTTTTTGAATACTGATAAGGAGATTTTTTGTAAAAGACCTTCTCGTGGTTTTCTAGCCGGAACTTGACCGTTATGTTGCACATCATAGCGTCAGCCATTCCAACAAAACATAGCAGCAGAACGATGGTTTGCAGCGAATCCATGGTCGCCAGTAGAGAAGAGAACAGAATAAACCGATGGATTTGATACGCTCTTTAGCTGGGTCAACCGCCCACAGTTTCGAGAAAAGGTCATGTTCCAATTTGTCCCGATATCGCGTCTCTTCCCAGACTACGTGCAAAACGAACAATTTTTTATTCTCCTATTTACAACATTTCCCTTGGCAATACTTCAAAAATAAGAAAAAACCCATAAATCTGCTTTAAAGACACGGTAAAGAGTGAAAATCGCAAGGAAAACATGAATAACAAAAAAAAATATAGAAATTCTCTAGAGATGACTTTAAAAAATTTCAACAAAAATGTTGAATACATGAGAAATCCCGAGTAGGACACAACGTAGAACAAACATATTCCATTCCCCGTTAACCTAGAACGAATAAATTATGATGTAAAAAAAATAGTTTAGCTCCTCATTTGGTTTTTTCAAACTAGCGGTGAATGAAATATACATAATTTAAGTTGAAACAACGAAATGACAGTGAATTTAGCAATCTAAAAAAACAAACTATTCTCATTTCTCAAGGATCTATGTAAGTTTACCCAATTGATGTTTTTTCAACATCTCCGTAATTGTGAAAAATGAAGAATCAATGATTCCCGCCACAGTGAACGTCCCTCCAACTACAGCGCATATCTGATCAAACTCAATATTTTTTACAAAGTCGATATAACCCTTACCGATGTTAAGAACGTGTAGAAAGATTGTCGTCTTTCCGTTTGCTTCACAGTGATCGGCTGAAGTTCGTACTTGAACCAAATCGCAGGAATAATCTTCCCAGAATGGTGATAGGTCACATAAGCCTTATGTCCGAACGTGTACTGGTAACTGTTCGTTATGTGACCGGAGATGTCTTCATAAACCGAAGGGACAATCTGAAACAGGAGTATGAATTAGATTTTCGACTTTCTCACCTTCAAAATGTACTCATGAGTATAAAGGGGCTCATCTTTCGTGGTATCTTTGTCGCGCAACGGATCGAAACTCCCTTTCAGATTCTTTTTCTGAAACTTTTTCTGTAATTTCATTTAATCACAAATATTTTTTTACAGTAACGTCATCTCCAAATGTGATGGAGTGAATGATATGCCTCATGTCGTAAGAATCAGGTTGAGCTGCTGCCGAATGTGTCGATAAATGAAAATTTCCCGGGATCTGAAGATTCCTCCGTTAAAGATGGTCCGATAAAAAAAATTTTCAAAACCTTATTTATTTCAAACTTGCTTTCAAATCTGCATCCGCCGTGTTCTTCCAAAGTTATCTTTGTAGTCTGATCTTTGAACCCAACTTCATGTCTTCCGTTCTCATCTTGAATGTCCACGCCAAGATCTGCAAAAGGTCCAAAAGTTCATCAAAATAAGTCGGACGCTCACATTCACATGCCATGTAAGGAAACGAGACATTCACTTCGACGTCGATTTTGCCCACGCGTCCAGGATCGTCCACGTATAACTCGCTTTTTCTGAGAAGACTTTTTGTACTAGTTTCATATCAGCCTCACATGTCGATGAAGACGTAGGCTAGCACGTCGTTGAAAATCATGAATGTGATGAAAACCACGCAGATGAGAGAAATAACAGCGCCAGCCGTTGTTGGCTGGGTGAGGTCTTTTGGTACCTTGCGGTAAACATCGAACCTAAATTCCATTTTTTTTTCTTTTAATTCAGCTTGTGAAGAGATTGGGAGCGGAAGAAAATTTTTCTTCAACAAACGTTTGATTTTTGAAGCTAAAAAAAGAAAGAAATCTTGGAAATTCTTTCAGAGAATACATGTAGCCTATAACTAACTTTTTTTTGAACTTAAAATTGAAAAAAATTGCTCAAAAATTAGTTTTTTTACTCTCGAAATAAGAAAAAAAGCAATAAGTCAACAGAAGAAAAAAATAATTGTGGAACTGTAATCGATTATTGCGAGTCCGAACCAAACAACTCAAAGGAAGCGAAAACGAAAAAAAGGTATAATTTTTTTAATATTTATATGTAGGTTAAAAAGTAATTATATTTTTTTCGAAAAAAACTTTTGAATTCATTAACTTTCAAAAAAATATGTAGGTCGTGAAGTGATTTTTTTGAGAACATTTACATAAAAAAATGAAAAGAAAAATGGACAAAGGTGGAGGATTTTTTTAATCATGGAATGACTGAATTTTTCCCTTACTTGTCGTCAAGTTCGCTCTTTGCGTACCCGACAGAATTATATTATAACTTTGGACTTACGCAAGAATGGATCGCCTTTTAATAATTTTTTTCTCATTATCTCTTGTTACTTTTTCTTACAATGAAATATCGAAATTTCGCGCGTTTTTGTAGCGATTATCTACCAAAAAAACGTTTATTGGTCCTCTGAAAACTGCATCAAGCTGTTCCGAACAGCCCGTGAAAAATCTCGTGGATCAAAAACGCCTGCTTTGCCATTTGAAGTTGGATCGGTTTTCGGAATATTCCTCATAGGAATTGAAAAAAAAAACCTGCGGATGTCGATCATATTTGGGTGAAATCGATTGGAGGGGCAGAGGTCGAGAAGAAATGGACTGCCGACGAGTCTCCTATCCAAACACAAGGTCGCGCGTGAGAGCACACACGTCGGTAACCAATGGCACGGTTTCCTCCAATTCTGTTTATTTTTTTGTCTATTCTCAAAAATACGATCCATAAAAAAATTCCTGTTGCGTACAATTTTTTTCAATAAAAAAACCCCATTTATCTCGTAATAAAAAAACTTTACAACGATAAAAAAATCTTCAACGAAGGATTTACGCGTGAAAGCCATATGGTAAATGTGTTTGAAATTGGACATTCGCGTCGAATGACGGAATCGCTGTTAATTGGTTCAAATGCACTTGCAGTATCCCATTTCTCTTGTTTTTCAGTTCCTCTTTTGGTTTGCTACATTCATAGTGCATCGATAGAAATTGAAATCATATGGGCAAAAATGTTTTGGTGAGCAAAGAATGAAATTGAAAATTAGAAAAAAATATATCGGCTCATACATGATATAAAAAAAGAAAACTTTTCTTGATAACATGAATAAGCCGCAAATATCAAATCTGAAGCTGGAGCCTTGTTAGGCACGACTACAAAATTTTCTTTTTTTTTTCAAGGTTATCAGTTAGACAGAATTTGATTATAAGAGACTTCGGTGGTAACACTTTTCCTGTCGATGCATGAAGGATCTTGTTTGAAGTCAGTCTTTTTCTGAACTTTAAATTTGACCGATATAGATAATTTTTTTCATCAAAATTTTATCCAATAGGCGAATTAGATTACAGAAGAAAATTTTAGAAGTAATCATTAATAAGTCATGAAAATGAAGAAAAAAAAAGAAAGATGCAGAGATTGGTCATGAAATTATTTGGAAAATAGGATGAGCAAGGAATTTGAGAGAAGACAATTACTGGATGAAATTTCAGAGGAAGTAAGATGAGGCATAAATATTATGAATCAAACAGCCGCAATGATCTGAGAAAACAAGTGCTAAAACAAAATATGAAAAACAACTCATCTACAACAATCAGACCTTCTGAAGAAGAAAGTATGCGGGCGATTACTCAGCTCAGCGCAAACTTTTATTCAAAACTTCAAATCAAATGAGGAAAAGCAACATTCAATCAAAGTCAAACGAAATATGAAAAACAACTCAACAACAACAATTTTCCCTAATTAACCATACAGTGTGCGGGCGATTACTCAGCTCTGCGCACACTGTAAAACAAGGGTTAAATTTGGTGGGGGAAGACCTAAAGTCAATCACATTTCGACGAAATATGAAAAACAACTCGTCTACAATTATCACATCCTAACAACGAGGAAGTGTGCGGGCGATTACTCAGCTCAACGCACACTTCAACTCGGGCAAAGTCGGAATGGTGGACAATGGCCGCTAAAAGAGAAGGGCTCAAACAACGGGACATGCGGACTGAAGACGAATAAAAGAAAGAGAAAATTTGGGAGAAAGAGTTTTTTTTTTCCCTTTTCTCCTCCTCCGTCTTCCGCGTCCGTCTCCTCGAAATTCTCCCGCGATTCCAAGCAATCGGCTCCTGTCGTGCCCGAGAAGTCGACCGGCGAACAGTTGCCCAGTCGTGGCGCCAGGAACGGCTTGCGTTTCTTCTGGTACGGCGACGGCGGGATTCCCCTCAACTTTCTCGTTGATCTGAAATGTGAGATCATTATGAATACTGTATCTTTGATTGATTTCGTACTATGTTTTTCAATTTTCAAAACTATTTTTTGATGTTCATTCTAATTTAAAGGTTCTTCAGAATAATAGTTTGAAAAGCATAATTTCTATGCAAGTAACTATCTGAAAACTGACGGTCTTCTTTGCGGAGGCACAAGAGGTGGCGGCCAATTCTCCTTCGACGTCACCGTTCTCCTCCCCCAGCAAGCTTGCGTCCTTTTCCGATCTGAAGAACATTTCACATCATACAATACTATTTTTTTTCTTGTTTCTATAGATTCCACTCGAAAAAATTCATTGAATTACTTCAAAGCGATTATTGCACAGAAGTTTTTTCAGAAAGATTTTTTGTCTCTATGAGTTTATTTTTATCTTACAATTATTCTTGAAATGTGGGACGGTTGTATTTTGTCATGATTTTATTCTTAATGTGATATTCACCTCAAGCCTTTCTATTCCTGGAAGTTTGGTCCCCAAGTTTTGTCTTCTCGTCAAATAGCGAAAGACCACTTCAATCCGCTTCAATTCTTTCGAAACTGATCCTTCGGCCTGAAAAATTTGAGATCTCGAGGGATAACCGAGAATAAACTGGCTCGTTTAGCTTTGAACGTCCGGAATACAAAGATTTGAAACTTCAGGTGTGATTTTAGTGTAATCTTTGATCGTTAATTAGAACCATCCAACTAGTTTACTTTTTATTGACATGAACTGCAAGACACGCATTTCCTGGCTTGAATGACGCCATTATAGTAAACTTAATCAGTTTTTCACACTTATATCTTGCAATTGTGATTTCGCCTCTCAACTCACTTTATTCAATGACCTGGTTGATCCCTCGACATGGCCTGAGATCATCTGCAGCTGGATGGCGGCTGCTCTTCAACATGGGCTTCTGATCGGTCGCCGGCTAGGTGAACTCGCTATTTGCATCGGTCGGAATACACGAGAACCTCTTTCATCCCTCTCGATGTGGTTCGACCTGCAAATAATTGCCATTCATCTTATCAAAAATGATTTCTTACTTTGACTCTGACGTCCAGGTTTCTTATCATGAAACGGTGAGCCTTCCAAACATGGCTGGTTGTTCATGCCTCTCTCCAAGCTTCCATCGGTTACTGCAAAAAGAGCACCTCAATTTTGAAGTTCAAATTGCGACGAGACATAAACGAATTAATCGGAAGATTGAAAGAGGAAATATACGAAAAAAATTTTTTCGTAATATCATTTGAACTTGAATCTTGATAAACTGATGCTTCTGAAAACAGAGTAAAACGAGAGCGACGAAATCGTGAAAAAAAAAGCGTGCCTAGCCCTCCGAGATTTCGCATGATCGAGCTGTTTTTAATAAACTTTCAAATTCAGTAGATATTGGAAGATATTAGGAAGTGATGAATAGCAAAAAGAATAAAAAGAAACAAAAAATGTGTTTCAAGACGACGATAAGAAGGAACGTCGCGTAATGCGCAAAGAATGGCAGAATGAAGAGTGAGGAGTTGCGGCCTTCGTTGCGGCGTTTCGCGGCAAACCGCCCGTGTCCGCCAGAGCGCAACCCAGATTTGCTCTACCTGCGTGATGTACAAATATAGACTCGAAGATTTATCACTCCTCCGAAAGTTATTCAAAATGAAATTCACCGTTCTTTTCATTGACTTCTTAGCTAGAATAGTTTTTTCTCTTTTATTCCTATCTTAATATTTCAGTAAAACTCAATTGTTCTCGATAATCTTTATTACAACTTCCAACTTCCGAACCCTTGCTGAGTTGTTCAAAGACGTCAAATCCAAGTAGACCACTTTTCGAAATAATCTTTTAATTTTTGAGACAACCTTGAAAAAAACTTTGATTTTTTTGTTTAAAGCAGTGGAATAATTCAAAAAAAAAAAATGGAAAAAGCACTCAAGCCTGAACTATCAATAGCTAAGAAGATCTTTAAGTTGCGCGCTATTCACAGAGGATTTTTTTGACCTATAAGGAAGACAATATTATATAGAACTTTTTTTTGGGGTTTCTTGATTGATTCTTTTTTTTGTGCAGAACTTCAATAACGATAAGTGTTTATTGCATTACGATGTCAGTGGATATGGTCGATAAATATGCGTTATTCTCGGAGTCGAAATGTACAAACAAAGAGTCGATTAAATAGTCGTTCAGGACCATTTTGGAACGTTCGGAATGCGTGGGGCAGCGGAATTAGTGAGCGATTTCAATACCGATAGCCATTCAGAGGAGGCGACTGAAACGGTCCGGTGCCGTAATGATAGCCGTTGGGAATCGGGTAAGCCAACGACATCTGGAATCAAAAACTGATTGGATTATCTTATGTGTTTCGCTGGCGGTGTATACGATTGAAACTTGAAAAAACAAAGAAACAAGAAGGTTTCAATTTTTGGGGTTTATAAAGTGAAAGATTTGACCCGTAAAAATTTTATCTCAAGAGTTTGAAGGTCTCAGAAGGTTCTAGTTTCTCGAAAAAGCCACGAAAAGAATAATAGAATATGAAAAATAAATTGAGTTGGATCCAAGCAGTTCATCAGCACAGTAACATCATGAATAGTGAAAGAGACAAGATCTTTGAAAATTATTCGGACAGTTTTTTTCAGTTTTTCCTTTTCTTGAGAACTCAGAATCAATTTGTTCAAAAACCTGAGAGGTAGCAGGTGAAATATTAGGGAGCCCAAGGAGTTGTTTCTTCTGTCGTTTGTCTTTGGACCGGTTGACGAGCCAAACGATGACCCAGCAAGACATTGCCACAATCACCAACAGGCAGAAGAGACAGATGAGCGCGACGGCCCAGCCATACTTCGTTTGCCTGAAGGTTTAAGATCGGAAAGCGGCGACTTCACGCACCAATCAGAGTTGGTGCAACAGCCGTTGGCGCAACATCCAATGTCTCTGTAGCATTGCTCGACGATCGTCTCTTCCGAGTTGACCACGCCGTAAATGCAGTCGTAGAAGGATGGGTCGATGGCTTAAAATGAGCGTTCAAATCAGAGAAATGTCGAATGTATTGGAAAAATATCGAGATATTTTTCGCCATTCTGAAAGATTCAGCTTTGCTGTGGTTTTCAGAAAAAAAACCCAAAAAAAAATTCTGAATTGAGTGAATCAAACGTCAATATCCATACTTTCATCACTCGAAGCCTAGGAATTACAAATTAAAACAATTTTGATTGAAACTGGGTTTTAGAAAAAAACTTTTACAGAGTAATATTTCTTTTAGATTGTTTTCCTCAAATATTCACTTGCGAAAATTCTCAAATAAAAGTTTAGACTTTTCCGAAACCCTGTAGAAATCAATCAAAGGAAAAAAAAAGTTGAAACCCACTATTGACGCGTTGCTCCACAAGGCCTGATCGTTGAACATTGATGATAGATGGATTTATCAGAACCTGTTCGAAGAACCTCTGAGCCGACGACGGAACGACGACTCCTCCTGAAATAACCCGAAATAGCGTCCTATTTTGATCAAAGCAGCTCCGTTTTTGAAACAGAGGCGATTAGCTTTTTGTCTGCTGCTTCGGTTCTATAATCTCTCTACTTCGGGAAAATGGGCGCGGCTGTGCACATATAATATGGCTAGTGGACATCACGAGTTTTTGATTTTGATTTGAAACATATGGGAGAAAAAAAATTTGAGCAAAAAAGGTTCATTTCATCAAACCAGAAAAACCATTGACAATTAAGGATTTTCATCTGGGATTATAATTGTGACAAAAAAGTTGTTATGAATCAAAAAATTTTTGCACTGCCTTTCAATGAAATGAAACTAAATTCTTGTCAAATATTTTCTTTACAAAAACCAAAAAAAGCTCTAGTTCTGATGAAAGCTGAAAAACAAATGCACCTTGTCCCGGGAATAGTCTTTTAATAGTTACAGATGAAAACAGCAAAAAAAACTTTTGAAACAAATTCTATTGATTTTGCAATCCTAAGTTAAGAAAAGCAGTCAAGGCATAGGTGAGATGATAAGGTTGAAATTGAGAAGTCAATTCTTGTCAAGAATATTTCCAGCGATACCAAATAAAAAAAACACAATTAAAATCTCACCTGGTTGAGGGATGTCCCATCTGCTCCAGGAAGTCAAGCGCTGCGAAGCCATGCTGCTATCTCGAACCGCTGCTCCGATTCCCAAAAAGGAACGCCGAGGAACGGTCAAAAGAGGATTGAAATGGCTGGCGCGTGGGCGGTCGGCGGTGCGGAAAACGCGGGAACAGCGGAAAAAGAAAAAGCCTGCGGCCGACCGGAATAGCCCTGGCCGCCGGTGACAGTTCAAGTCTTTGCGCGAGAATCGCCTGCCCAAGCATCGTGCCACATTTTGCTTCCGGATGTCTAGCTTTAGCTGCCGAAACGATCTTTGTGCTGATTGGAATTTCAAGGGTTTTGTACAGAGTCGCAATAACATCAAAAATAATTCAGAAAGTTTTTCAACTCTCCATGATAAAATTTCTACTTCAAAACTCAACTTCAAAAATTTGTTGATCTTTTTGGTGCGAAAACTAACTTAACTTCTTTGAAACTTTGGAAAAGAAATAACTTTAATGCGTTACTTTCAGCATCTCAAAACTTCAGAAAGGTTTGTAGGAATTTCCAAAAGATTTTTCAGCATCTTAGAAAGAAAAAAAGGGAGCTCAGCTGGTAAGACTCATTTCTAACGTCCGCGAGGTCGTAGGTTCGAGTCCCCCCGAGGTCGACCAAGTCTTTCGTCCCTCCGGGGTAGATAAAATTGGGAGCTGCATGCAGCGAAAAGGCTCAATCTCTGCCCTCGGCTTTTGGAAAGCCGGTACCGTAACTCTTCCTACGACCTCTCTTGTACCTGATATTCTATGAGCGAAATTCACAACTTCTCTGCCTAAGCCACAGCTCCTGCCGCCGTTTAAACACAGTCAAATCAATGAAAGTCGATTGCACATGTATTCTTACATTGAAGATGCAATAAACAGTTTTTTTTTAAACAGAATGAAAGTTGATCTTCAAAAAAAACTGTCAACCATTTTGGAACGACAACCGATTACAATGTCTCCGTATTTTAAGAACAAATTTGCTTGGAAGACCTATATTACCAATCTACAGCTCATATTAGAGTGTAGAGATTATTGATTTTTTTCGCCCATTGCTTTGATCACTTGGTGGCGAACCCAGTTTAGTGAACCATTCTTTTTTTTTAAATCTCCCTTTTTCGTGGATTTTTTTTAAAAGATTATCTTTAATCAGAAGCACTCTATATAAGAATAAAAAAACATTTTCTGATTAACTTTTTACTGATGAAGTTTAATCGATAATATTTGAGGTTTTCATGCCATTTTGTATTTTCGTCCGGTTTTGTACCCATTTTCGTGTATTCCACGACAAAAAATTTTTTCGAATGTATCATATTCTTTTTTACAATAGTTCCAATTCTTCAGTTATAACTGTTTATTCAGAAAAATCCTTTTAAAAATACACAGAGGTACCTTGAATGAGGTACTGGTCAATAACATGAAATGATGGAATTTTACCGGTTTTGTTGCAAAATGAAAAAAATTATAAGCTCGACATCTACATGAAAAAAAGCTCGACAGATTTAAAACAAAGAAAATGATACAAGAGGAGTTGGAACCGAATATTGGATGACATTGCTTGTGGTGTTCAAGCTATTTTGCGAGAGGATGGCACACGAATGCAATTTGATGAATCCCAATAAATAACACGTTTTACAAGATTTTGGAAATCGCACACCCGAATTACTGCTCAGACGTCTCCGACTAAAGTACAAACAATGGAAAATGAAGAAAGAGTTCAATGGCGAAGTTTCACACAGTGAGAAACCCGTTTTTTTCCTGGCTGTTTCATGCAATAATTTATCGTCTATGGAAAAAGAAAGGCTGCTCCTGGTCGGAATAGTCGTCAGTCACGACAGTTGGGTAGTGACGGCTGTGGTTGAAGTTACCCTGAAACCCAAAATTGAAATTCAAAAAGGAATATTTTGACAAACCTCGAGAGTTCGGTAACCGGCGGTATAAGCGGAAGAGTTGTGGACGCTTGGCTTTGCTTGGGTCCAGTAAGGCTGAGGAGATCCGCAGTCGTAAGCGTTAGATTGCTCGTCAAATCCTGTAACTAAAGATTAATGATAGAAGGTGAAACTGTCATGAAATATATGATTTGACTTGGAACTAGATCACAATTTTTGAAGTAATTTTTTCTCAATCCAGAATTTTCTCGCTTTCTAGTTGATTTTATAATGTTTCTGAAACCGTATTCTCATCTCAGTGGTGTAGGAAGCAATTTTTCGATTAGAATTGGAAACACGGTATCTAGAGTTTATTCTAGGCCGGTTTAGTTATTTATCAATTTACAGTTAAAAAACTGACCTCGTCCACTTCTGTGAAGACCTTTGCGGTCAACAGTAGCAGCTCCAGAAAAATATCTGCCAGAATTCTGCTGGAACATGGCGTTGTTCAAAAGCAAGGGCTTCTTGGAGTCGATAGAAAATTCAGGATAACTGCGCGTGGGATGTCGTTCAGGCTGCCATTCAATGTCTGCCGGAGCAGCCGGTGGCGGAATTCTAGGCGGCGGAGGCGGCTTGTTGATGGTATTCGTTTTGTTGGACGGCTGAAAAAATATTAGGATGAATGTACTTCCGGAAAAAGTTACCTCTTGGCTCCTCTTCAAATAGACGACGGCAAGGACTACGATCAGCAAGAAGACGAGGACGATTGGAATCAGAATTATCAGAAATTTGTCAGCGGAAAGATGGATTGTCACGTCGTAGGCTGCAGAAATGTCATGAGTTAGGCCTTGAACAGTTGCATGCAGTTAAGAAAAAGAAATAAACTAACCAGGTAGAACTCGAAGTTCTGCCGCTTTGTAGGAAATTTTCCCTTCCGCGTTTGTCACGACGCAAAGATATTTTCCAGCATGCTCCAATTTCACCTGAAACGCTTTTTATCTCAAAAACTCTCTTTCAAAATGCACCTGCGGAATGGTTAGTCGGTTAAGGTACATGTTGACGTCGTTGTTAGCCACCAAACTTTCCGACTGAATGTGCTCCAGAACCAAAAGGTGCATTCCATTCGCACTGATGACTGTAGCATTTGGATCATTTTTGCGGACTTCATTCGGATCAGAAATAGATTTGAGCCACTGAAAACTCTCCAGATAAGAACTGATAAGTTTCCAGAATAATAAACCTTGATTAGCAAGCTTTGAGAAGATTGTGCTTTGCACTGGAACTGTGCAGTGTGACCGGCATACACGCTGATGTTGTAGGGTTGTTCAATGATTGGTTCCAGTTTGTCATCCTGAATGAATGATTATTTTTTTGGATCCATCATTAAAACATGATTTTGGCATTCTTCGGGAACAATTTTCATACCTGTATAGGGCTTTCAGTAGTTGAAGCATCAAAGTAGTCATCTACAGTTACTTCGAAAAGAAAATCGAGAGATCCGAGGGCGTTCTCAACGACGCATCGGTAGTTTCCAGAATGAGATCTATCAGCAGGATCGATGGATAAGGAAGCAATGTGTTTGGGAGAATCTGAAACACTTTTTTAGATCGAGACAAACTTGACAAGCTCAAACTTGTTGACAGAAGGATGTCATTTTGGTACCATCGGATGTCGGGGAAAGGATTTGCTTTTGCCGGACACCGCAACTCCAGCTTCCCACCGTTGTTTACCTGGATCGGCATTGACCATTCCGAGTGCATATCAATGAGCCAACTGGGACTGGCCGCTGCAAATTCAGAAATATTTTCGAGCATTTTTTCTCGGAAAGTGTGGGAGCGTTAAAAACTCACTGGAATTCGACAAAACCAGGAAATTTTTGACTGAAGAGTCGTTGTTGTTGGGATCTGTAATATTTCATTTTCAAAATAGGTTTTTTACTTTAGATCTAACCGAAAACGTGAACGATCAAATCGACAGTTTTGTATCCAAATCCATTGGTTGCCTGACATTGGTATCTGCCACTATCTTCCAATCGAACTGATTTCATTTTCAGCTCCTTTCCATCTTTCCCAATCTTGTAGCGACTTTCCCAATCGAGCTGAAATGATTAATTCGATCAAACTATTTCAAGTGAGGAGCGGAAAAACGCAAAACTTTTCTTCAGGGTCGTTTAAAACTGAACTTTTGATCAATACACCGCATTCGAATTTCAAAGATTTCAGAAGCCGGTGTGAGTGACGGCGTCTTGCACACCATCGGGACATTGATTCAATCGCGTCTAGTGCGCAAAGAGACAAGTGTCAGTGACGGATGGCCTTCTAGGCGGCACGTATACGGTAGCCTTTGTTCTCAGGCAGGTAACCAAATTAGATTATTATTGGACACTGGAGAAATAAGGAAAATAATTATTGCCACGTTCTTGCGTCATGAAAAAGCGTAAAACAGTTTCTTCCCCAGATGTTTGCTGGACTTTGAGCCCGCCTTGGACCAAACTTCAACTGACTCAAACATTTTTCTCTAAGTTTTCAACGTCCGAAACGGAAATTTTTCATCTTGATAAAAATCCTTATGCATTTTTGAAGACCCTATTTTGCAAATTTAAAGTGAGCAATGAAAAAAAAATGAAAATCCTTACGTTCTCTCCATTTTTGACCCATTGAATCATCAGCGAATCTTTTTCCGGTGCGATGACTGGACAGACCAATTTGAACTGCTTCTGGCCGACAGGAACTCGAAACTTGGTTTCAACATCGTTTTGTATCCTCGGTGGCACTGGAAAAACTTGATCAGTACAAAATTGTTCTTTTACAATTCATTCGCTACAGTCTATTAAAAAAAAATAAACCCTGGCTGGAAAAGAAACCGCACTTTGGGACTTATTTTTACAGACTCCAAAATAACTTTATTGCCTTATTTTTCAGCAATGCTGAATGGAAATCTGAGTCGAAATAAAGTTAATTTTGAAACCATGATCAATCCTAAAATTTTTTTGCGCATTAGTATGCTTTGTCACAAGTTTTTGAACAGACCTGAACAACAATTTTTTAAGAATTGCACCTCGAAATATTTTCGATTACTGCTTTGAATTTCTGAAAAAAATTCAGTACACGCATTTGCTTCCAAGTCGAAGCTTCTTAAGAAATTCCCCAAGCGTGACTTCTGGTGGGATTTCGAGGCTAAATTTGTGAAGTGCGGTCTCATGCCCTTGGCACTTCCGATTGGATTTGGATGCAAATTGAGTGGACGCGGAGCCGCGCACACACGTTTCGAGCGACGGCTTATCTGCCTCTATCTGACCACTCGATTAGCGCCACCAATCATCCATAATATTCGATCGCACGCTTGTCGTGTGTCCCAAAAAGATTCAAAAATATTCGAAAAATGTGTTCTTCCTAAGAAAAGTTGGGGTAAAAGGTTGTTTTGGACGGCTTCAGTGACCTCGATTGAAGTGGGCGTGAAGAGTTGTGCAACCACAAATATTTGAGTGAATAAGGAACCCAGCTATCATTTTTCGGGTCAAATAGAGCTGCGGATGAAGTGGTTGGCGGGAAACATCTGCGTGTACTCCACCTGAGAGTGCACTGATACCATTGCGCAACGGTATTATCCAGAACGCGTTCGGCCAAGACGGATCAATGAGCCGTTTCCGCTTCGGACTTTCGCTTCGTCATGTTTGGCTTCAGAATAGACCCTTGACTCAGTGGCTTTTGTCAGCTCCAAAAAGCCAATACCAAGTTGAAGCAGGAAAATAAACTGGCGGACTAAAAGCTCAAAAGCGCAGTAAAAAAATTAAAAATTTTTTTTCCTGATCTATTTGTGGGCCAAACGAGGTTTCGGACTAGAAGTCTTTCTTCTACTTGAAAAAAATTGAAAAATCGAATCTATTAAAAAAATTCAGTTTTCAGCTTCTAAATTTGGCTGTATCTTTTTTTAATAAAAATCGTTTAGAAATCGAAGGGAAATCAAAAAAAAAGCCCGAAAAGCCGGAAAAATTATATTAATGACAATTAGTACAAAAAATCAAATTTTTCGCATATACTTTTCTCTTATTTTGGTGTCTAATTAACTGCAGACCTTCTTTGACAAATAAGCTAAGAGAGAGCCTAATGGACAGGTGCTGGCGAGATGCCGTCAAAAGAGTTCTTGGGCGGCTGCCAAGGTGTAGTGTTACTCGTGTTCGATCAGGTCAGCCATTTGATACAAGTCAGCCCACTTGTTGTCTGCTGTCTGCTGTGCAGGTCCTCGACGTTAAACCAAGTTTTCCAATTTCTATGACTATAGAAATGGGTTGGAAAAGATTTCATAGATGGTGTAGCGCTCGAGCCAACTTCACACGGTCTATTAACTATATGCCGTGCCCTTCAAACTGCAGTTGGTCGGTTATGAAACGAAGATTGGCGTGCGGTGGGGCAATTATTCGACGGGAGGTCCCTATCTTGCAACATAGAGTATGCACGAGTTGTCCTGGTTTCCTACATCCGATCGAGCACAGAAATCTTCCGGCTTCTCGAATCGTTCGTAATTATGCTAGTCTTATCGGAAGACTTTGCATTCTCTGATTCTTTGTTTAGAATTTTCCTGACAACCTTTCTTTTATTAAATATAAAACTTTCCAAGTCCAAAGTTCCCGTAAAGAGATTCTCAACTACTCAACTCCAAAAATATTTCCGAAGCTTCATAAAAAGTGGTAGCTTTACTGAACTACTGAAAATATCCACTCGAGCATGCGAAATATGGTTTCGTAATAAGCCTCTTTCAGCTTTTGCTCTGGAGTGTCTCGTAAAATGCAATATTCCCAAAAGTGTATAGTTGGAGAACTAAACAAATTTTCTCCACATACTTATTTTTCAATACGCTAAATTTTTTCGGGATGATAAGTCAACATCCAGAAAATAACAATAGTGCGCGAAAAAGCTAGGATCGTCACATGTGCACAAAACATTAGCACGTTTTTATTTAACCAATAGTCTGTTTCTGGCATTATGGTGTCTTGCTGTGCAGCACCAACACATGCGAAGAGTAAACACAAGAGCACGTCGAAATACAGCTGTGGTCCGGGAAACGGGAAGAGACTTCTAATTGTCCGCGAGGATCGCAGAAATCTGAGCTTCTGCTTATTGCCACACGGCTAGGAAGCTCAGCCAAATCTACACTTGCGCATTTGTATTTCCCAGCGGGGAAAATAATTTCAGCTTATCAATTGGAATATGTAAGTATTCTCCCAAAACAGGATGCTCGTGGGTTCCGAAGGTAAAAAACGGACTGGGCAAGACTGGCCTATCTGCGGCAGATCTGATCGCCTGTCACTGGACAGGTCTACTATTATCGAGGCAACTGCGACTCTTGCGGACGGAAACCTTGAGAAACTCACCTGGCACGTCATATGGTTGATAATCTTACTGTACATTTTTTACGCATCGATCAACGAGTCCAGAGGGAGATTCAACCACGGACTCTTCACATTTATGTAATTAGCCGTCAGATCAACTAACTAACAAGTTGTCAAGATTTTTGCTTTCCTATAAGCAATCTTTTCTCACAGCTGGAGTGAATTCCATTAAATGTGGGAATTGACACTAATAACTGCCACTGGTGTGAAAACTGATACTTGCACGATTAATAAGGTTAAACATTCTCGCACCTTACACCACAGTAGAATATTGGTGTAATTGACGTATCAGTTTTTCGTAATCGTAGAATCATGAAACAGAAAAATCTTTGATTTTCGACAAGCATTAAAAAAAATTCATAGAAATTCTTATTGCTGTTTCGAAGAAATCTTTATGAAAGTTCTTGTAAATAGAAGGTATTGTTTCGCAAAAAGTTTTTTTGGCCGTAAACGGATCATGTGAAAAAAGAAAAAAAACTCGATGCATAAAAAAAGTGAAGATACTATCAATAGCACAGAAACCTTGACTTTTTTTGTTCCATTTATTATTCACGAAAAAAATTTGAAAAACTCGAGCTTATTTATTTATTCAATTAGACAGCAAAAAAATTCCACATCAAACCTTAGAGCTTTTTTTCTAGATATCTCAGTTGTTGATCAGATGTTTTTTCTAATTTTTGACTTCTTATTTCTGGTTTTCTCAAAGTAAAAACTGGACTTCTTATTGCAATAAGTCTATTTTGCGAAAGGATCTGCTACTGAGAACCATTCTTCGGAAATCCAAGAAAGACTGACCCAGAGACCAGAAAAAAATGATCCAGGCAATCGTTCGGAAAGTAAGCCACGGGTTGCCACACGGGAACATCGACGGACTCATTTTGCAGTGGCGCAATTGGCTCACAGGTCGCCAGACCCTCGGCAGGGGTCCAGAAGTTGATGCGAGCGACTCGAGAAACAACAGCTGGACAACTCCTATTGTGGTGCTTGCAACAGCTCCGTCCTGATTTGTGCTAATTGAGATTCGTCAGGGTGCTGCTCAGTCCCAATTATTTCCTTTTATTCCTCACAACACTCGTCGCCACATGCCAAGTGCACGGACTCGTTAATTACAAATGTGAATTAAGTGGCGGCGAAGATGGGCTGAAAGCCGCATCCAAAGCAAGCTTCGCAGAGGAAAAAGCACAAGTACAAGCTAACAAGCTCGATTTCAGACTCTACAAACAGTCCAGCTGTTTTTCGACTGAAAAGGCTGGACAGGGCGGATCAGAACAAACGGAGACTCCTTGGCGGCGACATGAAAAAAATAGTCCTCCTCTCCTCTCGGACAATGTCTCGAAAAAAAAACGCATCCGCTTTTATGGTGCTGCATCGTTTGGAAATGGGAAAAAGGCTCTTAGATAGGTTAAGGTGGGAAAACGAGCAAGAAGACAAACAAAAAGAAAGAAATTGATGCGTTTTCACATCGTTTTGGATAGTAATGGCAAAACGGGCATTTAAATGAATAGATGAGAAGTGAGAGAAACTCAAGAAAGTAGCAAAACCTAGGGCCTGTCACTCAATCCTTTCAACCCCGCAAAACCTTCATTTCCATTTAGAGAATACGGTGGATGGGCTCAAAACGTCACTCAGTGAGGCCTTTTCGATCAAAACGGCTACCACATTTTTGAATTTCAATTCACTTCAGTTTCTTCCAGTGACTCGGATCAACCATGTACGGCAGGCGGTCGAATCCCAGTACATATGGCAAATTGGCTCTTGACATCCTCCGTGGGTCAAGAGCCGTACTTCTGCTGCTCTCGTGGCAGACCACCCGCTCACGTAATTTACATGATCAGTTTATCTACTATCATATTTCATTCAATTCTGATATTTATCAAGTGGAAATGAATCAAAACTTACAGCCATGAGCAGCTTCAACTTCTGGTCGTAAAATCACGATAAATATAGCGGCCACAAGCCGCATCTCGGTCAGACCCATTTGCTCTGAAAAATAGGAATAATGAAATTTTCAGCGAAAGATGTTCAAAAATCACAGAAATGTTTCAATTTCATGAATAACAGAATCGTTTACGACTTCACCGGGAGGTGCGACGGAAGCCAAAGTTAAAAAACATTTTAAAAAATGGAAAGAGCAAAAAAGAGACGACCTATCAAATTGTCGATTGTTAGAGTTCCTAAGTCGAATTATCCGTCCCTTGAAAGTAAAGAAAAAAGTTTGAAAGCGTTACGCAAACGCCGTCTTTTTGCCGTTTAGCAGATAACAGCAGTCGCTAAAAACTTCAAATAATCCTTTTATCGCTCGAGGGCTCGTGAGCAGAGTCGTGGCCGATAACTATTATTTTTTCATTTCATGAAAACTGAAGCGAAATTATGTTTTTCTTGGGATGATTTATGAGGTTGTAAAAATTGGGTGAGAGTAGTTAAGAATAGAAATAAAACGCTAAGAAAAATGATAAGAAAAGGACGTCCACAGTTTGAAAGGTGCCAAGAATCCGATAAAAAAGAAACGATTGATTGATGGGTGGTTAGCAAAAGGAGGAGCACTGCAATAATCTCTGAGATTGCCTTTTTAAAAGTACATGCATTCAGAGTTATTCAGATTGGCTGAAGAAATTCTTTAGCTGAAGACCAAATTTTCAACCGTTACAAGTTCAAAAAAAAAAATAGATTCAAAGATAAAAGAAAAAAAAACAATGTTCGGAAATAACGATAAACCACAAAAGGAAAAAGTTTCCGCAACACGTCAGTGTTAATTTATAGCCGTTGCAAGTTGGCGGATTTTTGATTTACGACGTGTTGGCGAACGGCCGTAGTTAATGACGGCGGCTCGGCGGGAGGAGGAAGATGAGTGGGCGGAGTTTCTACCGTGTGTGGCGCAGGACAGAGATGGCAGCGCTCCCAGAAAACGCCACGAAAGACTACGGAAATCCGGGAAAAGGATATTTTTTTGTATAAAGCCTGAAACTATGATGGGAAAAATCAAAGATTCTTGAGTCTAAGTTTTCTTTTTTTAATTTACAGAAAAATGTACAGAGAACTTAACAGATAATGAAAAAAACTTTACAGAAAATGAAAAAAGAACCGACTTCAGTGAAATCTTTCTGCAAGAAGTTGCAGTGAAAGTTTAAAATCTACTGATAATCAACTGAAAATTATTTGTTTAAAAGAATAGTCCAATTCTCTAATAAAAAGGAACTCTTCAAAAAAAGTTATGTTTGTTTTGCAAGCCAAAAAAACTTTCCCTGTAAACACTTTTCGAGAAATTCTAGTGAATTTTAGCTACCTTTCTGAGAAAAAAAGTAACTTTTTCATGAAAGATAAGTCGATTTAAATTCAAAAAAATTCCGTTTAGTATAAATTCAAAAAGATATTTACTGGTAAAATTTTCAGTAAATCCCGCAAAAATAGAAAAATTTCAACTCCAACAAAGATGAGTAAACACTAGACAAAAAAATTCATAATATTCCCCGATAATCATGGTTCATCCTGAAAGAGTATGAAAACATTGTTTTGTTTGAGAAGGCTACTCAGAATTTTCCTACCAAAAATAGGAGAGCAAGTGGCAGTGTACACACGGAAAGAACAAGGGCAGTAGACGACTACCGTCTCTGCGTTTTGAGCGTAAACAAGGAAATCCTCTTGTAGCACTCCAAGAACACGATAAGCCTGCGGATAAATAAACCGAGGGCTCGCCGGAGATGGCACTTTTGCCCAAATACACACAACTGGTAGCCGAAAGTATGCCTTTTCAGTTGCAGGACTCCTTATGATTAACGAAAAAAATTGTTAGAAATTTAAAAGATCTACTTTTTGTTGAAAAATAATAAGACCCATTGACTTCCTTTACAAATTAATGCAATCTTTAAAGTGAAAAAAACTTGGAAACACATTTATTTTTTTAATTTATTTTTTTCAATTTTTTTATTCTCCGATCGAAACTCTTTTTTTCTGATTTCTTATTTTAAAGTTGAATTATTCAAATTTTTCAGAGTTCTCATTTTATGAGAATAATGTTCAATTTCTTTTGACTTTTCAAATTCTTGGTAGAAGATGTGATTTTTTTGTTGCTTCGAAGTCTAATGAAGCCTCCGTTAAACTACCAATGTCCATTTTGAGACTAAGAGAAAGATTTTTTATCACTGTCTTCACTTTTACTGAAGCTCAAAAACGTAAAAAACGACGAAATTTGAACCGGATATCGCAGAGCTCTGCCAGTTTGGCAAAAGCGTTTTCCTGTGATAATGAAGGATGAGCTATGGGCCATGTCAAAAAGCGAGTATGTAGGTGCTCCATCATGTGTTTGGTGGCATGCAGCCGCTGGCGGCTGTGAGATAGCATCATCAGTCGCGCATGACATCTGCCTGCACTCTGGACACTAATCGTCCAAACTTCATATTTTTTATTGGTTCTTCTTTCCCTAAAAACCCTGGGAAAAATTTCAATTCACAGTGGCAATTGAAAAATTCGGCCACGGGAAAAGTCCAAAAAGTCTCAAAAAGGCCTCAAAAGCGTTGTTTTACTTTTCTGAAAAGGAACTTTAAAGAAGGCAAGAACAAAGGTAAAAAAAGAAAATTCCGAAAAACTTATGACACCTTTTTAGGTACACAAAAAGGAGCTTTGGAATCTTTTGTAAGGCCTTTTTGAGGTTTTTTGAACTTTTCCTGTTTTTGCCAATTCATATCTTAACATTTTTCAAATCATTTCAATTTTCAGAGATAGTTATAGTCTTATAAAACTCATAAGAATCAGTAATCTTACCCTAATTAGCTTATCTAACCAATTAGCTAAGCTCGGAGTTATCTAATCAACAGGAAACTCTCGGTTCGGTATCGGATAGTATCGCTCTCAAATCGACGTGTTTGACGAAGTGACAGGCTCGCCTTTGTTGGTTTGTTGTTAGCAAAGTCTCCACCTGCAAACAGCCTCTCAGCACTGCTCTTGTAATTGCGACCCACAGGCCTTCTGAGACCCAGGTACATCTGGTCCTTAGATTTCTGAACTAAAGCCGTTTGTTCAGATTAAAGTTGAAGAGCTGTCAATCCTAGTGAACCATAACTAGATGATACTGAGAAGGCTGAGAAAATATGAGATTTTCTCGAAAACAAGATCTGGTACTAAAAAGAGAAAGATAGAACAAGAAAAAAAATGATAGGAAATGAAAAATTTGAGTTATTCTTTATTTTATTGATACTTTTTGGAAGGTTCGGATTGATCGACTTCAGTAGAAAGCTGGAAGAAATTAAAATTTTTGAAACAAAAAACGCTTCATTCACGAAGTCAGGAGAGAAAAATTCATCAACTAAAAGTTTGGATTCGTAAAATGAGAGGAAACTTTCTTCCCTAGGAAATTCTGATTTTTGATTTCTTTATTGAAGATACGCAAAGAATGAAATAAATGAACTTTGAGAAGTTGAACCGAATTTGATGATCTAGTCCAATTAGAACAGCTGGCTGTCTTGGAAAATAACCCAAACTTCAAAAGGTTTAAGCGAAATAATATTTTTGAATGCAGAATTTCTGAGATCTCAGATAACTCAAAAAGGAACTTTAAACTGGTAGGACGATGAAATGAAAGAGGACTCGTGAAAAAATTGAACTTTTTGGTCGATTCAGGAGGTCTGAATTATTCATGGTTAACTTGGCACTTTTTAACGACGCCGTAACCCAATAACAAAAATTTCGGATTCATTCAAAGTTCGATGAAGAAAAGTGCTCATTGGGATTATTATCCTGAGGAGCACTTAAGCTTTCGAGCAAGTGCCAAAACAGCTCGTAATGGGTCGAATAAGGGACACCTGCCGTTTTGAAGAAGAAAAGGTTGGTTGCGTGGCAAGAGGTGCTAAAAGGCACCCGTGCTGAGGGAAGTCATGGGCGGTTGCATAAAAGGTGCAGGCTCCGGTAGCTAATTGGTGCCAGGTGAACGGAGCGCGGAATCCTAGATGAGAGACCTTGCAGATTATCCGAGCGGGTCTGCAGCAACAACCCATAACCTATTATTCTTCACAAGCTTCATCTTCTTCCGAAGCTCAAAAATAATGGAATATTGGTGGGAGAGCCTTCATTAAGCAAGTCTCGATTGAGAAGCAAGTCGCTGTACAAAGTGTGAAGCATAGCGTGATAGCCAGAGGAAAATAACATATGCATGGGATGCAGGTGAAAATGCGGAAGCTTCAACTTTGGCGCTGTCAACAATGGAGTGACACTTGTCCACTTCGGGATCTTTCACTGCATTTTGTTGTTTTTCAAGCAAAAATTGAACTGAGAAATGAGCTCAAGTTCTGGAAGTGGACAAAAGGCCATTTTTTCCAATATCTATGAAGCTTATCTGGAAATGACTAGAATAATTTTTAACGACGGAGAAGCTGACAGCTCCAACCTGGCGAGTTTTTTTTTTGAGGAAAAAATTACTTGAATACTCATCAAGAGCATTTCGCCTCATCTGCATAAGTCATTCCCAGACTTTCAAGCCTTTTTCTTGAGATCCAGGAAGTTTTGCACATTGAAACTATTGAGACGTTCCTATGGTAGATCAGGGAGTACTCCGGTGGATATTCAAAAAACACCAGCATGAGAAGTTTTCAAAAAAAAAACTTGGATAAAATATTATTCAGATTTCATGAGAATATTAATAAATCTCTAGGTAGTTAACGGAATGAATGAGATGGACGGAAATATGATGAGATTGGCTGCAGTCGATTAAGATGCAACAGGCGCTCGCTGTCAATTTCTCGTCATATCCAATGAACGGACGTCTCGGTTGCTACCAACCTCCAGCCAAATGGACACAAATCTCAATTTATTTTTGAAATTCTCAGAGTGTTGAGAAAACTCTTAAAAAATTGAAATTTCCTGGAATTTCTCCCAACTTCTTATTGATTTTTTGCTCGTTCCTATGAAATACAATCGGCCAAACTTTGCTCCAAATACATTTATTGTTTCTCGAACCCGCTCACTCGGGCGTCATCAAAATAATACATTTTGAAGTGTACAGAAAAAGGTTTTTTATACAAGGTTGTTCAAACACGCGAAGAACAGGATGAGCACCGAAGTCAATGTTGAAGTCGTGAGTGAAGAAGAAGAAAGTGTGCAAAATGGTAGATAAACTTGTACTGGCCTTTCTATCGCCTAAAAAGATAGATTTCTTGTTTTTTCTTCATAATTTATGTGAATAAGTTTGTACTTTCCAATTTTCTAGAGAAAAATAACTTACATGGATCACTGTTATAAAGGAAGTGAGGCCGCAGGATTGTTCGATTCCAGGGCGAATACAATCCACGTAGGCTTGAAGAGCGCTGAAAATATTTCTTGAGAAGGCGCTAACGAGAATAATATGCACAAGCAAGCTCCGGCTCCAGTTGAATAATCGTTGTACATTTCCTCCGTCCGACTCGCTAATTGCACGAAGCTTGCTTCACAAATAGTGATTTCCTGGCTTGCTGCTACAGAAAGATAGCAGTCCCAGTTGTAGACCATGGCTGAGAAAAAGTTCTTTTTCGTTAAAAGCAGAGAAACTCACAATCGTAGCCGTCTCCACATACGTACTCCATGGCAGCGTCTACTACGGCATAAGTAGACTTCATGGGTTCATGAGGGTAACACGACTGTTTGATGTATGAACCTCCAAGGCACGTGTTATAACGGCCGTAAGCTCTGAAAAATCTTCCATTTTTCAAGGTGAAGTGCATAAAAATTGCGTTATTATGAGTAACAAAAGTTATCTCACAAATCAAGTTTCTTCTTTTTTTTTTACATGTGTAAGGCTTTTTACAATATACTTTCTGAGATGTTAATGTATAAGCCCAATCACCTGCACATATGAACGAAGTATTCTTGAGAGCGAGATCTCATGTCCGACAGCGTCATTTGCTTGCCAGTACTAGAGAAAACTCCCATCGAGGAAAGTTCCTCGGAACATTTCGCTATTTTGTTTTCAGCGGCTTTGTCGCAGGTGGTCGAAAAAACGCTGTGTCTATCAATTTGGTTCGTTTCTGGGGGGCCGAAGTAGAAAGCTGAAACAGTGAACTCAGCGAAAAAAAAAACAAATGAAAGTTTTTTTAGGCTTTTTTGAAATTCATCTCGTCCCCTGATCAAAAATCAGAAAAAACACAGAATCCCGTCATAATCCATTTTCAAAACCAAAGTGGGCTACGCTACCGTCAGATAAGATAGGAATTTTATTTTGCTAACACTTTCTCAAATGTAGCTCCAACTTTTTGAAACTCTATGGAGTTAAGTTTCATTAAGTGTGGGCTGGGATTTCACTGAAGTGTTAAAAACACAAGTTATTATAAATACAGAAAAATTCAGAAAGAAAAAAATCCGTATAAGAAATGTTTGCCGAAAAAGCGGTTTTTTTGTATCTCTTCACACGGAACTTTTAATGAAGTTTAAACAGTTCAATAACGAAGAAAAAATAGTGTCTTCATAAATTGTCACAAAATGATTTTCCGTAACTTTTTAGTATAATTAGAAGTTCCTAGAAGATTACTGAAGATTTTCTACGTTTGAAAAAAAAAACTTATAATTTCAATCATTGAAAACCAGCTGCAGTTACATTTTCTATGTTTAATTCTGAGCCCTATGATCATGTTCAGCAATGAAAGAAAGATAAACGATTTTATGCCCCAATGACTCGATGTACACAATCAGTAAACCTGAAGCGACGTTGACCAAAAGCGGAAGCGCGAACAGAAGCATCTGTAACAGAATGTGAAGCTGACGAAGACGGTCAACAGCTTCGGATAATCCGAGCAGCGCAAATGGGCGGCTAGGCTTGTCCAACGAACAGTTTCCTCCGGCGACTTCTCTTCAAATATTTGCCGCAGAGACAGTCCGATGTCATGTTCGCACTTCCGAAGTGTCACGTCGATGTCAGCCTGTCTTGGGAAGGCGTGATGGTCATTTCAGTTTTTTTTTTCTCATGGAAGTTTTAGAAAAACGAAAAAATTTTAAAAAAAGTTGGCTCAATCAAACCATTTCCAGGTGAAATACTAGAAGGCTTGCTTAATTTCAATCAATCATTTTTTTCGTTTTTTTTTTTAGCAATCCATCATTCATCTTGTTTACATAAAGTTCAACCCAAAGGGCGGTGAGCAAGAACTTTGAAGTCATAGAAGTTCGAGCTTGTAGTTGATCAAGTTGAAAGCCTGGTCTTACTATCCTTCGCTTCGTTTTCTGCGCAAAAATCATTCAGTTGCGCTTTGAAGAGCTCAGAATGTACCGAATGCCGTATCTAAAGCCCTGGAGAGTTCTGGTTAGAGGCCTCGAAATGAGAGCAACCACTCCGAGAGAACACTTTGAATGTGCAGAAAAATTTACAAAGACACATCTTCTTTTGTACTTTCACAAGCCGTAATTTTTGGTCCTCCAAATTATTACTAAGAAAAAGTTATTTATTCAAAAAAATACCCATTCATTTATTTTTTTTTTATTGTTCGAGAAAACTGCAGCATAAATTTGTGAACTGCATTTCTCAAAAGAATAAAAAAAAATCAATTTTCATATCCATCACAGCAGCGTGGAGAAAACTTGAGGAGAACTTCGTCAGGCCAAATTGTACCAGTGTCACGCGCCGTCAAAATCGGCTGCGAAATTGTAATATTTTCGAACAGTTTCAAGTTACCTTCTTGTTTCCGTCAACGATATTCACTGAAAACTCAGTCAGAAAACGGCACATTGTTATCTTGGCTTCCAACAGAGCAAAACGCATCCCAACACATTGCTTCGGACCAATTCCAAAAGGCATGAAAGCTCTTTTCTGTGAGCCGGACAAATCGTTGAATCTGCAAGATGATTTTTGAGAATTTCGAATTAATTATCAAAACCTTTGTGGTCTGAATTGAAGAGCATCATCTCCCCAAATATCAACGTCATGGTGAATGCTCCATGTATCGACTAACACACTGTAACCTTCTCGAAAAACGAAACTTCCGATTTCCACATCTTCAGTGCAAACTCTGTGCTGCAGCCTGCATAAAATAATTGAGAATGGTTTTTTTGGAAAACTAGGAAAACTGGAAACTCACGGAGAGGCGTGAGGGAACAGTCTCAACGTCTCCAGTATACAGTTTTGCAAGAACGTTAGGGATTGCACATTTTCGAAGGAAAAACAGGAATTCAGTTGGTCGATCTCATGAATCAAGTCTTTTTGGACTTCTTGATTATGAGCCAGTAAATAGCACAAGTATGTCAGTGTGTTGGCTGTAGTGTCAAATCCCGCGCTTGAGATGAATCGACATTGTGCAACGATTTCCTGAATAAAAAATTTGCAATAATTAAAAAACTTTTTTAGTTCATAAAAAAAGAAAGCGTTTTGAACAAGTTCACAAAATATTCAAAATGAAACGTTAAAACAGTGAAAAAGTTTGAGTTGTAGACATTTTTTGTAAAATCGAAAATACTACAGTACCGTCAAAAAGGATCTTCCGATGTAAGGGGGTTCAAATTTAATAAAACCTACAAACTTCTTTTTTCTGCTAACTTAAATCCCACCAAAGTATTACAAACAACAGTCATAAATTTCCAGAAAGCTCTAGAAAGATTTCATTTCATACAAGAAAGTGCGGATCAAAAAACTGTTTTGTCGTATCAATTCTGACGGAAATGTATGTAATTTCGAAAATCTGCTCTGTTTTGAAGCTAAGAAGATATTTTTGTCAGCAAATAATGGACACTAGTGATAACCTTTGTAAGGAAGCTCAAAACAAAGACGATAACAGTTTGTTATGATCTTTATTTTCAAACAAAATAGTGATTTTTCCTTGAAATCGAGAAAAACTTCTACATGTTATTTTCAAGATAACGCGCTCATTTTATTGCAAGATTATCTGACTGACACCTGGTGTGATAAAATTGTTGATTCGCACGTGTTTCACATCCACGAAACCATCCGATTTTTCCGACAAGTAGCCATCAAAATCGGCAGATTCGAAGTTCTTGAAAATTTGCAGGAAATCGTGTCTCGACGTATTGTTGGCCGTGCAATTTGCTCGAAACTTGGCAAGAATCTTCGAAAACTCGTCAGTAAATATTTCATTGCTGATGGCTTTGAATATTTTTCCAAGAAATTTCGATTCCGGTAGCAACCCTGAAACTTTTAGTTAGTACAGATTCAATAAAGTTTGTTTCCAACTCACAAGCGACATTGGTAAAAGAGAATATCGACGTGTCATTGAATGAGCCGAACTTTTGCCGGAAAACTTGATGGTATTCGTTATGGCCGTGATGACTTCTTTTTTGTCCAAACGCACAGCGGGCCAAAACGTCAGAGGTATGGTTTTGGAATAGACTAAAATTGCGTTTTTTTCATATTTAACTACTATTTAATCAAGTTGCAGAAAAAAATTGACTGAGAACGAACCTATGAGCTTCCACTGTCAGTTGATCCATCCCTTTTCCTTGTAAAGAATGAAGATAATTAATGAAGCTATCAACGGAGTCCGAAATGATGTCATATAACTGAATAAGAAGCATTTTCAAAACGTTCTGCACTCGCAAATTCTTTGAAGTTCATCAAAATTCCAGTAAAAGTAAATATTACTTCTTTCATTTTTTTGTTTGAGATCGCGTAGCTTGTCAAAGTTCTCAAACGTTTCCATCTCTCTCCTCTGGCTGCAAACATGTGAACTGCTGGACTGGAAACTGGATCGTTTTCTAGAGGTTCTGCCTGAAACTTCCATTTCAAACTGGAAGAAAAGACTGAAAAAACTATTCTGGCGTGGAAGTTGGAGTATTTTTCTGTGGTAATAGATCGGATCATGTCGACATCGCTTGTGATGACAATGGGTGACAGGCCTTTCAGGACGGCGAATGTGCATCCGAACTGCTTCCGCAGCTCTCCCATCATTTCGAAGCAATACGGTGAGCCAATCAACTTGATTCCGGAGTACCCCGTGTACTTCATGCAGACAGAAAAAGCCATCATTTCTTAGAGAGGAGATGGTTCTTCTTTTTCCTGAAAAAGAGCTTTTTTTCAAAAAGTTTCGAATAGCTTTAAAAAAATAGGAAAAAAATGTTTTGAAAAAAAGCTAAAGCTTTCAAAATCAGGAAAATCTTTTATCAAGGAATTATCGAGTTTCGTTTTTCATTTTGACTGAGATCAAATAAAAACAATTTCAGTTATTTTTGGGGTGAAACCCTCCTTATAACCATGAATCATCATCAAGGGTTTAAAAATCATCACTCGAACGAATATTTCTGATTTGAACTTTGAAAATTTCTGAAAATTGACCATGGTACTTCTTATTGTGCCAGATTAGAGTTCTCAATTCATAACCGCATATCTTGTTACTATTCGAGAAAAAAAAGGGTAAAAGTTTTAAATAGCTTGCCAAATTAGCTGCTTATTGTAAGATTTTGCGCTTTTCTCTTTCTTAAAAACTAAAACGTTTTGCAGGTTGAAAAATTCCAAAATATGCCAAACGTCGAGATTTTTAGTCTGATTTCCGAAAAAAAGCTATGCAAAGCAAAATCACTTCCCTCTCTTCTTGTTAACATTTTCTTGTTAGCAGATAGTCTAAATATATTTTATTTCAAGCCCGTGAGAGATTACCTATCAATGTAAGTTTTTGAAAAAAGATAAAAAAACAGTCATTATGAGGCGAAAAAATTCAAAATTAATCGTAAAGCAAAATTAACCTCATTTCGTAAACGACGAAAAGAACAAGAAGCGCTGCTAAAATTATGAACATGGATAGAACGTGTAGTAAATACAGAAATTGTTGGGCCAACTGCTTGTGGCCGAGGAATAAAGATTAGCAGAGCAATAGACAACCATGAAAAACGATAAGATAACAAATTCACCTCAAGATTCACTTCGAACGCTCCCATTTTACAGCAGTTTCACCGAACAAACAACTTGCAAGTGGTGATTCGAAACTGATCCACGGAAAAATAAGTTCGAATCAGAAGCTGCAGAAAGTACGAATGATTGTCATAAGCTTAAACAACCTGTAGCATATAAAAAAATAACTTTTTTGCAAATTTATTGCACGCCTCAACGATTTTTAATAGTAATTATCTGAAGTGTTGAAGATCTCATTTTTTTGTACAAATATTTCTGAGTGAAACGCAATTACTATAATGAATATTTATCAAATAGAAAGATTATCACAAGGAGCGGCACCAAAAATAAAGTATTTACAAATGTTGACTAATCGAAATGCATTAATAACAAGAAAAATAACCCGTAAAGTACGAAAAGAATAACCAAACTTATGAAAATGAACTTTTCCTGCCGTGCAATAAAATTTTAAATAAAAATTTGAGTTTCAAACCGGAAGGCAATAAGTTGACACGTGATGAAAAAGAGGAAAAAACAACTATGAGTCCCAGAAAAACCTTCGGTTGATCATTTGGAAAAACTTTTGGTTTTCTGGAACATAAAAGTCCTTGAGCATTTCCAGGACTTCCGGTCGAACATCAGGATGCGGTCGACCTTTTGTTTTCCCTAGGCAGTGAAGTTCGCCGTCGGAGCGTCGGACGCATGGAAACTTTTTGACAGGATCAACACCAAAGTTGGACGGTTTCACAGCTGCAAATTTAGATTTAAGAACGCTTCGGAAACTGATGAATCAGTTTGAAATGAAAAACTCACTAGGCTTGAGCCCCAGAAACCTTTCGGTTGCGCTGACTTCATGGGCAGGAGACTTGATCAACTGTTCTCCATCCACCAAGTGAATGTTTTCAAATGGAAAATGTTCCAACCACCTGGAAAAATCGTTTCTGAGTTTTTTTAATTTCAACTTTCCTGTTAAATTTCAGTAAAATTGGAGCGAAAATTCGAAAATCTATTTTTAATGTTCATTGTTTAAAGTTTTACACATCAAAATTCAATTTTTCTAACTTTCAGAATTTCGTTTTCTCGAAATATCAATAAAGAAACCAAGAAAAACTGTATAAGAAATTTACCTTTTCATATGTTTATGGTAAACGCCTATCCGAATCGCTCCCCATCCAGCATTCACTCCCCGGACTTTTGAAGAACAATTGGCTTTGAGCCAAACCGCACAGTCTCCCACGGCCATATCTTCAAAACTTGGCATGAGACCAAGCCGTTTCCGTTTGCTTGAAGCTTGAGTATAATCTGAAAAAGCGAAAATAATATTCAAATTGAGAACGAAACTAACCAGAAATTGCTCTTGTAATCGGATCCCGCACAACTATGATAATTTTCGTGTTGGGATTCAAGGCCTTGATTCTTTCTGGAGCATTTTTGCTGTGGAAGTACGCTGGGCTTTTCTCAATAGTGACGTCATCGCTTGTCGTCAGTGGCATTTGTTCTCTGAAAATGAATTTTTGGTTTACAGTCACTTGCGATTTCCACAATTTTAGGTTTTTCCCGATCCCAATGATCAATTGCTATCAAAAAAGAGTCTCATCATCTGGATCCGGTGGCCGCCAGACGCCCCTTTCTTCTTTTCCGCTATCTTTGGCCCAAGTTGCGCAAGTTGCACCGTGACATAATATCGCACCGTATCGCCTTCCTTTTCATTCATCCTGTCCAGACCGCCGATAAAAATGAGTTAGTAGGTTGGCGATAGGTTACGGTCAATCGAGTAATTTTTGGCTTATTATAGCTTTGTATTTTTTGCAGTTTTATAGGTTTTGAGAAAAAATAGGATCTCGAGTTAGCAATTTTTTGCGCAAGACCTAGCTGAGGTCTTAAGTTGAAATCAATTTTCCTAGATCAAGTTCTAAAGAATTTTTTTTTTGTATTTACAAAAAGTTTCATACTGCTCGAACCCAAAAAATTGCTTTCAAAAAACTAAAAACTTTTTCTCGATGAAAAAGGATTAAATCAAAACTCGCTTTTGTTCGAGCGGAAACCAGTTTTCCGACCCTTTTTCTTACACAAAATCTCTCAAAACCTAAAAAATTTCAGCTTCAATCGCAACCTGGCTTTTGCTATGTTTTATAGCTGCTCGATTGCCGCCTTCACACATTCCGCCAATCCGCTGCCGAGCAATCCAATTAATTTTATTGAGACAATCGGCCGAACAGGCAGTTAACAGGGCCAAGGCGGCGGCCTCAAAGCTTTTCGGAGCGTGTTGTAAGGTGTGCTCGACACGTTTATGACGACGCAGGTGGCACACGGCAACAGTCTTGCACTGCTGGTACTTTTTTGTGAAAGCTTTTGAAGGTTTTGATCATTTGCAGTGAAAAGTAAGCTGTGGCTCTTACAAAAAGTATTGTTTTTGAAAATAAAAATGTTTTCAAAATGAGTGGCCATAACCGCAAAAAATGAAGATTTTAACAAATATCAAGTGATCTCAAACAAAAAGTACCCATATCGTGCGAACTAAAAAGAAAACTTCGACCAAGTTACTGCAAAAGAGACCTCACGCCAGCGCCACCTTTTAATTACCTGTTGATAACACCTAGAGTAGTACGTTAGTAGGGATATTTATTGCCGATGATATCGGTGTCCCCGGGTCCGAAAAACCCATGATTTACGTCGCCAAATGGGTCGTCATCAGTCTTGCCGCAAATGAGCTTCCATGTCGTGAGTTTATTAGTCAAAACCACACACTCGTAAAATATGAGCTGCTTGATGATGTTGGCTTTTTTCTTCTAAGAAAGAGAAAACAGCTATATTTTTCTCTTGTCATCTTGAATAAAAATAGGTGAAAACGGACGAATAATTATGAATATGCCGCTTGCATAAACAGAAGATGCTGTGCACAACAACAGCCGGTACAATGCGCTAATTATGATCTCACGGCTGCTGACAGAATTATGAAACCCTTTTAATGAGATAGCTCTTGTTATTACTTGAAGATGAGCCAAGTTCTTGGATAGTCTGCAGCTGAGAAAAAAGAACAGGGATGATTGGTGGGAGTTCCGATTTTTTAGCTTTGATCCAGCTGGGATTCATATACAGGAACTCTTCCAGAGAACTCCAGAATTTTCTTCTTGACGAGAGTTGAAAGTAAAAACATTGATTTTAAACGAATCAAAAAAGTTTTATGAATTGACCTCTTGTTGAGACTTTTTTTGTGTGATAGCCTATCCTCTTTAGACTAATTTCTAAATGTCACCTAATGATGCGCAAAGCTCAAAGGAACCAAACACTGCGTGTCGCCGTTGTCAAACAAGCGTCAGTTCCCCAAAAACATGTCACCTGACTGGCCAAAAACTTGACTTCCCAAAAAAATTATGCAAATTCGAATGGCTCGTTGACCTCAGGCCTTGGCATCTCAAGCAATCACCGAAAATCCAGATTGGATAGGCCGTGGCGGCTAAGTCGGGACTAATTATCGGTAGATAACTCCGAAGCCAGATGCACCCCGTTCTTCTCATTACCCAGCCTTCCTAATCCGGACTAAGTGACCGACGTGTCCTAGACTCCCGAGGAAAGACGTTTCCATTTTCTTGGCTCCAAAATGAGCCAGGAAACAAAGTTAAATTTCAATTTTCTGAAACAAGCTCTTGGGGTCCATTACACACGGCGAAGCGAGTTTCTTGTTTGGGTTAATGGACCAGAGAGTAGAAAGTTTCGCGGTCCTATCGCTTAGCAAATTGCCTGGAATAGAGAGAGAGAGAGTTTTAGAAAATCCGGTTCATTCGGCTCGAAATTTTTCTAACGTTCCTTGCAAAAAAAAGCTGCTTAAAAAACATAATGAGCAAGTCGTTTCATTTCAATTGAAACCTTAGAATTCTAAATAATTGACTGATCTTTTCTGATAATGCGATAATGAACAACTTCAAAATTTCTTCAATATTTCTAGTTAATTTGAAGTAAGTTTCTGAGAAATGAAAAAAATATTCGAAGCTGATTTTGAAGAAAAAAAAAAGAGTTTCAGTTTGAGAAAACTCGAACTTTACTTCTGAATTACTTTTTTCGTAAGTTTTTCAGTTCTAAATCCCGAAAAATCGCCTATTTCCAAATGTTCCTATAAGCTTCCAATGTGCAAGAAGCGGCAAGAAACAAGGACGCGCAGGAAATCCGACGATCCTCGAAAATTAGTGACGTAATTGGCGGTGCGGGCTGTGTTGTTCAGCGCGCAGCAGCGGTTTTTGCTTATTGCGGAGCTTTTGATCGCCGATGAAATCCAATCAGGCTGTCGACCTGCTAAATTAGATCGCATCGGGTCGAAGCCTCAAAACCTATCAATCCACCCGTTCTTTGGTGACAAATTGTTGATCGACCTTACAGCCAGAATCCACATTTGATGGACAATATGGAAGTTCTTGGGGACGAGCGATGGGACATTACAGTGCGCCAAGGTGCCACGCGACGCTCGTAAAGTCATCAGGTGCTGTCTGGCCTGCGCGCGAGACAGCTACCTTCCCCTTGGAGGACTGTATTCCTTTTTCAAGAAAATTCCCTGGAGTTTGAACACAAAATTCCGGCGAAATTGTTTGGGAAGCTTGAGAGAATTCATAATATCCGTTTTTTTTTAATCGGAAACTTCCTCAGTAAAACGTTGATTTTCTGGTAGAAGTCAAGAAAATCAATTTTTCAAAAATTTCAAGTTTGTTCACAAAAGCGTACTGCTCAAAGACGCAAAGTTTTTTATAAAGTCCTACAAAAAGAATTCTTAGCTTTGACAAGTTTTTGAAGTTTTCAAGAAAGCAGAAAAAGACTACGAGTTGAATCAAAACTGAAAAACTCTTATCTTTCAGATTATCTGAAACTGTAAGCAGAGATATCAGCAAACGATTTCCAACGACCCACACCTTCATTGGCCAAAACATCATGGAGTATCTATCCTGAGCTCTCAGAGCTGCACTTTTTCTCAAAACAAAGCCGCCCACGAAAGAACTGGCACATTAACGCGTTGCGCCGTTTCCCAAAGGACCGTCCAAACAAATTATTCAAGATGTAAACCGCTGCCGAAAAGTTGAACAGGCGCACAGGCGGCTGGAAGACGGAGCCCTGGCAATTTGTCGTCGCCACTACGCGCCAAGATTAACGGCTTCTGCTGTTGGCATCGTCTCGCTGATAAATTGAACCCTTCGGGAGGTCAGTTGTACGTCTTAGTTGGAACGAATAACTCGATCAAAGTCCTTTGGTTTTTTTGAAAAAGACTTTTTTGTCAAGTTTCATGACCGGCCGAGCGCATTTCAATTGATTTTTGAACACAAGCAAAACACTCAGACCACAAAAAAACGACTGAAAAAACTGGAACACTTGGCCCAAAAGTCCAACAGCCCTGGTCATGAAACTGACTTTTACAACCAAACGGCCGAGGCCAAAGCAAATTGCCGTTCTATCGAGCAATGCCGATTTATTCATGAGGAAATGGTTTAGGGTCACCGTTCAGGAGATCCTTGTGTTTATGTACTGCCAAAAGGCATCCTTATTTGTACAGTGGTTCCTCACCTGCCGACGTTGGCGTGTGTCAATCTCAGCTGCATGTATACGCAAAAACACCTGTGGCAAAGTTTAGCCGGAGAGAGGTCAACTATCTTTTAGTTGAAACGGGAAATTGCATTAGTACTATGAATTTTGAACGTTTTTGAACGTAGAATGTAATCTCTAGAAAAAAAAAATGGAGCGAAACAGATTTTGTTTGTTTTCAGATTATAAGAAATTTCCAAAAACTCATGGATTTCTTGTGTCAAATAAAAAAACTCAGCTGACAGGATTTTTTTCAATGATACGTACAATACCAAATATTATTCTAGTTGATTTCACTCACAGGGATGCGGAAAAAGTCAAATTCAACACTTCTTGAATATTAAAGGGCCCTTTTTTCTTTTTTTTTAACTCCAATTTTTTGATAGGATTAACTGTTTTATCCTAGTTATACTCAATCAAAAACTTGAAAAAAAAATATTAGTCTCAGAGACCTTCGCCTCAATATATTAATCCGATACTCTCGAAATTTCGAAGAAAAATTTTCAAACTGGTTGGATCGAGAAAATCCAATCGAAAACATACAAATCGCAATAAGAACATATTATATTTCACTGGGAGCTCCCTGATGTTATATGAGTTCGTATTTGTGTTCTTCGGAATTGGCACCTGTGCGTCTGTCGTGCACCTTTTTTTCCTCCGTTTTTCATTCCACCCAGCACTTTTTGCCTCCTCGGGCCATTTCTCCTAAATGGTCCACGGTTGACGTGCAAGTGGCCAACAGATGGCTCAAGGTATAGTATTGTACGGTACGGAAAAAAAATATGCCAACTTGAAAAAAAAAAAACGCAATTTCCCTTCGTTTTCTTTGGCGGCAGGAAGATTGCAATTAGATCTCAAGGCCACAGTAGTTTCAATCTTTTTCGAGGTAACTCTCGCCGAGAAATGCGATTTACGGCACAAAAACCGCACATGCTTGGGTGGCACAAAGACTTTTCGGGTTCCGAGCAGCTGCTCAGTAGCTCTCGATTTTGTCTTTTACGAGCTCTTCTTTTTAAATATGCATGTTAACCAAACATCCGCGCTGCTTTCTAGGGCCGTGACCAGTTCGTATTTCAAGTCCATAATGGGTGCTTGGAAAAGATGAAGTTCATAGCCAAAAAAAAGCGAAAGCTCGGTTTCTCGAGATTTCCAAAAGGAAATAGAGCATGACACGTCAATTTTAGAGAAAGTACATTCAAAGCTACTAATTTTAAGAAGTAGCATCAGACCCATTAGGATCGTAGGAATACCACAACACTCTTGCGCAATGCGGCAACGCGTTGAAGCGTACTTGATCTAATCCAAGTGGCGATATTCAAATACGCAAAAACCCAAACATATCGGTAGCTCTGGCGTTAATACGAACCGATGAGTGGGGTTTCGCGGCGACATCAGGTAGACTACTTCAAGACCCCCTACTCCAAAAGTCCCACCGGCGTCGGATTAAGGTCGTCAAAAAAGAATAGGATGAACCGGTATTGAGGTGAGTAAACACAGTTAAAATAATAAATTATATTTTAGATTCAAATTTTTGAATTGAAGTTGATCTCCCATTTGAAACTACCATTTTTTAAAATTGAATGGAAAAATGAACACACCTGTACCACTCGAGTCCTTTGTGAAAGTTCTTGTCGAAGAAATGGACTTCAGGACCGGGAGCTTTGACGTGAGGATTGAGGCGCAAAAATTCGAGTAGAGCTCTGGTTCCAGCCTTCTTCACGCCGACGATGATGGCGGTGGGAAATCGCTTCTTGGGCATTTCTATCGGGGCTCCGATGCAAAGCTGAATGAGCAGGAAGGTGATTCCAATTACCCGGTAGATCATGGTTTCTGTAAAAAAATATTTCAATGCATCAGAGCTTTTCGTTAGGTCACAAATCGACAAAAATTCGAAGAAAAACAAATATGCGATGCTAAAAAAGGTTGAATAAAGAAAAAATATATAGCTATGACACTTTTAAAAAAAATTCTGTTTTACAAAAAAACTATATTGGAAAAATGTGAGTGAAATCGGAATTTTTTTGGTTCTCAGAAACGAATTTTTTTGATAATCGGAAAAAAATAGAAAAAAAGATGAATTTCGATGAGTAGATAAGATGAGATATTGAGGTTATTAAATTCAAAAATAACTGATGATAATGATAATACTGGCGGAGAAATCGTAAAACTTCAAAACGGAAAAGATTGGAACACGCGAGGAAATATCAACAGTCCTTGAAGCTGCAAGCTTGATGATATGATTAAACCAACAAAGATATGATAAAATGAGAAAAGACAAGTGGTTTGGTTGTAGCGCCACACGCGGCAGTTCCAGCTCCACATGAGGACTGTCGGCGCGAGGCGGAGGGGAGGAGAACGGGAGGCGTGGCCTCAAGTCGGACCTCTAGCGGATCCGATCGCAACAAAACACACAAACAAAAACAATAGAAAAAAATTATTTTTTCAAGTTTTGGATGTGAATCTTCATTCCATAACTCAAAATATTTTTTTAATCTTGAAACTTGAAAAAAAAAAACTAGAAACCTTATTTATAGAGACTAAGCTCGTGAAAAAACTAGGAGGCCGTTCAAATTTGCGATTGGGATTTTCTGAAAATTGGCCAGAATACTCCTTGATTTACCAGAAGAAGATTCTGAAGTCTCTCCTGCGCAACTTCCTTGTTTTCATCAAAACATGCCTCAAATTCAACGCAAACCCTCAAAACCCATAAAATAGATTATTTTGAGATTTTAGGCCCTTATTTCTCCAAATTAAGAAGTTGGGCAGGTTGAGACTTTCAGCATCCTCATCTGGTACATCAAGAAAAGTTTTGGCCATTTTTCAGGAAATTGCCAACTTCAAAGTAAAATCACCTCCCGTGTGAGCTTAAAATTTTCAACTGCGATATTTTAATCTACAACTTCTTTTTTAAGTATTTTATCTTTAAACTAACATTCAACATCCAAAAGAAAATCGCAAAGCAACCTAAATAATGAAAACGGAGGATCAAGCGCAATAAACGATTAGCGACAGGGCGTGGAAGTGAAGGTGCATTTACTTGGGGTTGGCAGGTCGGCGAAGTGCTTTCGGAAGACATAACAGGAAGACTCGATTTCAACGAGGTGCCGACCGAGTGGCCACACGGGGGGCAATTAGCATTCCAGATGCATGTTAGTGCTTGCAAATCCATGATGAGCACAGCATTGGAATACGGAATGACTCTCCAAACGATGTGAATATGGGCAAGTTGACGCAATACGTTAATTTTCTAGCGGTCAACTCAGCCGTAACTTCCTGAAACCGACAAAACTTTTCTGAAATCGAAAAACAAAAAGTGGATGGAAAAGGTATTCTGTACGAGCTGCTTTTCCTGAATTGAGAGCCGAGGGAAGAATGTTCGTTAACCAGGCATTCAACGGAGCGCAGCCGCCATGATAACGTCGTTTTGTGTGTTTGAATCCAGCGGCGACAAACTCTCAGTATAACCTAATTCCCGTGCAGTAATCGAAAACTGAGGTTCCATTCGTACTCACATCTGTAATCTCGGCCAAAAGGAGTTCGCCGAAGTCCGTTAAATGGAAGCTGTTTCTGAACGCAAAACGAGAGATAGAAGCTTTTTCTAATGAACGATAGTTCGAAGGGATAGCAAAAATTTGAAGTTATTTTTCTAATAAAAAAAAAGGAAGAACTGTCTTCTAAACTGCAGAAATTTTAATATAAGGGATGAATGAGATATTAAAAAAATTCTAACAGAAAAATTGCAAAAGAAAAAAAGAGAAATTCAAAATGATTTCCCTGTCCCTGGCGCTAAAAATATATACCATTTTCCGCTATGAAAACTAAGCCAAAAATGTTCAAAAGGACAAAATCAAACTGAAACGGAACTGAGAAATGATTATCCAAAAACAACTTTTCGAATCGTCAGTTTCATTTTTTAAATTGGATAAGTGAAAAAATTGCTTCGAAATGTCGCACAGTGGTTTGATAGGTGGCTTCTCAAAAAGAAGAAACAAAGCTACAGTAAACTTGCAGCTGCTTCTGAGCTATTCATGGACCGTCATCGACAGCTAACGTCTTCTCAGGATGCGAGCTGTGAACGAGCCAAAAATTCTTGCCGGAGCCCATTCTTCTGGCAATTACATTGGCTCATCCACATATGTTCGCGTTCCGTTCACCCAACGGCTACCCCGATGTCGCAGTTGTTATGAAAATGAGCAAGGAAGGGCATGAAGTAACATGACGCTTCTTATTCTCTTAACCACACATACGCTCAAAATTTGGACGCCTTCCGCCGAGACAATTTGATTATTCTACAATGCCGTCCGACGTCCGACAGATGAATGTCCCAAGAAAAAAACAAGCTTTGAGGAAGAATCTGCACGTGTTCCCATTTTCAAAGTTATTCATTGAAATGATTTCAACCTGTATTATTATCACAAACAAAAAAGCTGTTTTCAGTTTTCCATAGCTTTGAAAGAAGACAAGTGCCAGTCATTTCTGGTGGTGAAAGAAGCAAAGTTTCGAGTCGAAAAAGATGAAATATGGTCCCTGAGGAAGAAACGCGTAGAACTCACAACAAGCTTTCAATTTCATTTTTAGGTTGTCGCTGAAAGAAAAAAAAGATGAACGCAAAAAACTCATCAAAATGATAATACCGTAACCAAAAAAAAAGTTGTGGACCTCATCACTTCAAGGTGGAAAACAATTAACCCGTACGTCCTTCTGTTTCCAAACGCGCGGGAGCGATCAAAAAGGCCGACGATGGTGGCACTAAGGTGCTAGCCCGGCGAGCGCGGAAGTTACAACTTTCCGAGTGGAAAGGGATTTATTCTCAATGTGACACCTGGGCGAAAACCCAAGAAACGCTGCGGAACCCTTTTTACTTTGCTTGTTTAGTAATGACCGCTTTTGAAGCAAAGACCTCTCACCTAGTTGAACTTCCTATGAGGCCAAACATAATTATTCGGAAAAGAAGACTCTTAGAGGGCAATAGCAAAGTTGGAAGAAAGGAAGAAAGAAGGCGAAAGCAGGAAATTCTCAAGAAAGTGATATTCAACTGAAACCCTCATAACGATAAATGAACGTGCCGTTGGGAACGCTCCCAAGGTCAAAAAAGAAAGACAATGAGAAACGTTTGATTAGCATATGAAAACGTTTCGGCGATTGGCGACTAGGTGGATTTAGGTTAAAAGGGCTACTGCCTTGGCCGGATTACTCTATCAAGCAGGTGTCCCACGCAGTCATGTGCGTGGCTAAGAACTCGAGAAAGTGTCTGCAGCCTTTAAAAAACTGGCATGAAGGTTTACTGAGGCGTGCCATTCGAGATTTCTAGTCTGAAGGCCGACGGCAAAAAGTTGTATCGAAAATTATTCTGACAATAAAAAATGGATAAAACATTCGTTTTGTTCTTTTAGTGAGGTTGAAAATGATTCTGTAGTTTGATTCGAAGCTTCTTCAACCGTGAAAATGGGGGAAAATCTGTCAGCAAGATTTAAGCTGTTTTTTTATGTCATAGAGAATCTGTCTTTTAATAGATTATTTGGATGAGTGTAATTTTTAAAAAACCTCTGCAATCAATCATCAAAAACAAAATTTCTCTATTCAAACAGTCCATAAAGTCAGTATTTTTTATTCAGAACCGTTCTCGTGGCTTTTTTCCCATGACCGAGAAGGAGGGAGAGAGCAGAAAAATAAGACTGTTAGGTACCAAGGAGGATGGGCTACATTGAAAAAAAAATTGACCAGAAAGAAATTTCCTCAAATGCAGGTATTACGTATTGTGAGATTTATTGTGAAATGGGAAACTAACAAAAAATTAGTTTTTTTTTTTTTCATTTTCAGATAAATATGCTTAACCAACCAATTATAGGTTAATACGCCTGACAGGTGCCCAAAAAAACAAAACGACAAAAAGGGCGCTTGGCAGTTCACTCAAGCGTATGATCTCATTCAGCTCTCCACACTCGAGACTCGTAATTAAGTTTGGCTCTTGGCGAAAGTACAGGTCAGAAACACACGAGCCGAATTGCCACTTGTCCAAAATAGCCGATTTCCGAATGACATAAGCCGTCAGTGAGTCCGACGCCCATAAAACGGCAGCCGAAGGCAGCTTTTAACTTGCCAATATCTTGAAGCCAGAAAATTGTATGTTGACCTTTGAAAAAATGCCAAAAATAGATTTCTTTTTTCATAAAGAACACATCTAAAAAAACCTACAAAGTTCGTCGAAAGTATTTTTTTACACTTTTTTTTCACAAAAAATCTGTTTTAAGAAAAAAGTTGAAAAGCTTTTTGGTTTCCACTTTTAAAGCCGGAAGCTATCCAAATAAAAACAAAGCAAGGAAAAGTTAAACTCGTTGATTTTTTTTGGTTAAATTGATTTGATAGCACATTGAAGTTAAGAAGTTCAAGATATGTAATTAAAAGGTTTCTGTCGATATGGAAACTGACAGGTGTCCGTTAAAAATGATAAGAAACAGAACGAATGTGCTGAAAGAGACGCTTTCAAAAGCCAGAACATTGTTCCTTGCAGTCGTCGATGGAAAAAGGGCACAAAATGCAATTTCATTACATTTGGATTTTAGAAGTGCTGCCCCAGAAGGAAGTCGAACGTCGACTCATCAATCTCAATCCAAAGGAAAGCGCGCGACAGTCGTTCCTTACCCGGCTCGAGGTGTTGCGTACGACCTCATGTCCCCATATTTCTGCGCCTCTAATTAAGTCATCTTGGCCACTATCTGGGCAACATCTCGGGCCGATAGGTTTCTGAGCGATCACCTTGTCGCTGGCTTCAACACCCTTCAATTATGCCTTCAGGCCGCGGCGCATATTCCGTAAATAGATGATTGTACTGTTTCGCAGGAAATGATTAGTTTCAAAAGCGAAGAAGATAGGTGATGAACGTTGTTCATGGATCTGAAAAAAATGGGAAATCTTTAAATTTATGTGAAATTATGTGAAATAAAAGGCTCGATTTTTTTTGCTTTTGTCAGACGGAAAGTAATTTTTCGAGGTTTAAACTCCATTGAACTTCCACTTCTGATCACAAGAAAAAGTTGAGCGTTTTCAAGTTTATTCTTCTAATAAACCATCGATTTAAGAAAGTAGGAAAAGAGGCTGGAGGGTTGAAATATGATGTTGAGAACTTGAAAATCCAATGGAATCACAGAAAATTCTTATTTTCAACTTTTTTCTGAATAAACTTTGAAGCTTTGCTTTAGGAAAACTTTGACGTCTGTTCCTCCAAGTAAAAAATGTGATGAATCTCAGAAAATCCCAACAACGAGTTTAAAAGTTCTTTTACGGTTAATAGTTTTCCTGTGTCTTGGTCAAGATTTCATTTACCTTTGAAAAAAAAACATAGTTACTTATTTTAAATTTTTATAAGCTTGAGGTTTTTTTCTTGACAATTTTTTTCTCATTTTTTAGCATCGCAAACATTATCATCGGTTTTTTTATAACGACAAAAAGCAATTCAAACAAGTGCCAATCAGGCTGTGCCAAATTGTTGACGCAAATGAGAAACGGAAACAACAAGTGGTAGAACAAAAAAAAGCGACGACGAGGGATGAGACATATGGTGTCGGAAACAAGACGGAAACCGACAAATTGAACGCTCAGACGTCGCCGCCAGAAGACGTCACACAATTCAGACAGTTTTTCGGCTTTTGTCGCGTTTCTTTTTTTCTACTTGACATGATAATTGTAGGAGCCGCCGGAGCGTGAGTCTGCTATTATACCATCTCATAGGAGATATCTCCGGTCTCGGATTTGGAGACGTCAAAGTGATGGGTAGGGCTTTATTCTAGTTTTATATTTTGAAACTGAAAAGAAACTGTAAAGAAGAATAATTGATGAGTTAACTTTTTGACAAAATTAGCTAAAAAAAAAAACTGATTCAACTTTAAAAAACGCATTTTTCAGCCTTTTTCCTTTTTTTCTTAGGCTCTCTCAGCTGGATATACAATAAAATACAAGTAAATTAATTAATATTGCAACTTCGAAACATCAAAAACATTTTGGCCAAGAACCTTGTTGGATTCTCGATAAAAATTTCCTGGATTCAAACAAAAATTATCTGCATTCCACATGAGCTCATTCTCAAAAAAAAACTCACCCTTTCAAAAAACGGGTTCTACGAAGAACTTACAACACAACGACATCTTGCAAATTGAGAAGAAGTATTTCCCCGTTTTCACAGATCACTTCTACACTCAAACGCTACAGATTTCCATCATAAAATCTCCTCAAAAATGGATGGACCATACAAAGGAAGTTGCAGTGCGGGAGATCGTGAATTTTACAATCGTCGAGTCACACTCAAGAGAATGAATCTACAGTACCTCGTAAACCTTAATCGAATTTTACGAGCATTGGGTCGGCGCGAGAATTCCATCAGGCCAAGGTGCGATCGCCCAGGGAACGGTGGCAATTAATTGGCCGACGTTAAGATTGAGATCAAGGTTTACGTTTTGCTCGGCCCAAGGGGCTTATGGGGAAGAAAAGTTGGAGTTTGACTGGATTGAAAGCTAGGATTTTGAACTCAATCGGAATCAAAGTCTACAGATTTCAATCATGAAACTAAGAAACCTTAAATCAGTTTTCCACTTACAATCTCCATTTTCCTAACAAAAACTTTTATAAATCAGTTTCAAAAAAGTTTTTGAGTCTTCCAAAAATTCTTCGGGTGAACGATTCGGACAAAACAGAAAAAAAAAGGAGAATAACTCACAATAATATATGAAAAACTCATCTCCCGAGAGGTACATAACTCTAAACAATCAAGATATCTGTGAGTAAAAGGTTGGGTAACATACCGGAAACAGGAAATAAGAGTCCAGGTCTGAGGAAGGCGGTGAAGAAAAAAGGGTTAAAAGAAGCTCGTCAGCGGGAGATCGCCGAGGGTTAATCTGCTTCCTGGCGCTTCCTTTCTGCACGTGCCGGTGACGGTCAAGTGTGTTGTGCAACCGCCAGAATAACACACTGCAGCACGGTTTTCCTGCCTTCGGGTCATTCGATTTGGAGGAGGTTCTTTTGAATTTAGCACTTCTAAAGGACTTTTTAAAAATGATTGGGTCATGCTGAATTCATTTTACATCAGATGGCGACTAAAAAATCTCATCAACTTTTGAATATTTCTTCAAAAAAAAAACGATAATCGTAGGACTGACTGAGAACAGCAAAAAATCAATACAAAAAATGAAATTCCTGTTTTTTTCTTTGCGTGAACGGCTACCGATATTGGAAATCGGCCTTGTAGGAATCTTTACGGTACATATGGACAGGCTTGACATTACAAACTCTAAAACTTGCAATTCAAAAAAAAGAGAACAAGAATCACATTCTAACGCAAAAATGTATTACGTATGAATATTGAAAAAAAAAATGCTCCGACAAATTTCCTTCAGAGTTTAACGAACTTTGTTTGAAATTTTAAAATAACGTTTTCGGTTGAACAATAAAAGAAGATCAGAACGAAAAACATATTCGCATAGAAATTCAGAAAAAAAGCAGCCTCTAAAATTTGAATTTGAAAAAAATTATGATTTTTTTTCATCAACGGCTAAAAAGCTCATGTTACAATGAAAAATGAAGGAAGTCCCAAATTAAAAAAAGTGGAACACAAAGGTTAAAAAGCGGAAGGAATCGAGTGACACACTGCTCTTCTGTATGAATTGTCGGATGTATTGGTTTGTAGTCTTTGAAAATTGGCGCGGTCATTTGTGAGGCAAAAAATGTTTTGTATCTACGTCCAGGTCAAACAATAGCCGGTTCAAGTCGCCTTTGACTCCAGGTTACAAAAAAACTTAATGGAAAATAGAGGTGATTTTTATCCATTAGATGTAAATTTATTGTCAAATAATCATATTTTGAAAGCTCCTCACCCCAAAAACTGTATTTTCGAAAAGCTTCATCAAAACGTGAATATAAACTACGCATAGAAATTTGAATGTTCTTGATGTTCAGAATTTTCGGAAACGGCGGCTGAAGACTATTCCAGAACAGCTGCACGCCGAGACGGTAACATTTAGCGCGCTACTGGGAGGTCCCGCACGTAATCACAGGCGAAAATCTTGATTGAGGCGAGGTGTCAGGTTGATGGCGTCGTTTGTGAGCACTCTTTGTGGAGATTTGGATCTCGGAGATCGCACACAAATTTCCGAAATGTGTTCGCCGATTGACAAGTTGCGCGAAACAGGAAAGGCATTCTTCGGATCGCGACTATAGGAATTTTTTCCAGGGTCTTCAAAAAGTTTTGGGGTAGGAGATCAATGAAAAACATGGATTTTCGACACTCAAAATGGATTAAGGTTTTGACATTTTTCTATTAGTACCCATTTGAAAAAAAGAAAGCGGAAATAATTTCAAAGCAAGCGCTCAGCCTATTCTTCGCATTGTTGAGGTGTGAACGTTTCAAAGGTGCCAATTTGTATCCATTCAATAGGAATCGTCTCTATTTGCCAGCTGTTTGCCGTACACCTTAAACATATAATTAATCACCTATGGTAACCCATATTGTTTCCTGGAGAACAAATATCCCAAAAATTGGCTGCATAAAAGCAATTTTTTTCGAAATTTCTAAAAAAAATAGTTTTTTGAACACCTGCTTAGTTTTTATCGCTGCAGAAACCGGTCTAGCATTCAAATCAACAAAAAAAAATCACAAAACTGAACGAAAATGTAAATTTTAGGAGTGAGTAGTGGAGCAACGAAAGGAAAATATGGAAGGGACTGGAGGATTAGTCAAATTTGGTCGTCGCGTTCACTTTGAAAAGCGGGACTGTGAGAAAATTCGTTTTCGAACTTTAGCTATCTTCTATGTACCTGGTGCTTTTGTTTTGTTTCGTAGTTGGCCTGAACACTACTTGTGTTAATGGTATGTTGGCCACAACCTGGCTTTTTTTCTCTTTTCAATTATTATTGTGAATTCAGATTTCTACCAGTGTGCTTATGGACTGAATTACGTGATAGCGAACAGAAGAGATTGCTCGTGAGGATTATTTTTGTGTCGATATTATCTTTTGTAGGAGATTTGTAACATGCGCTTACGGTAGACCAAGTTATTTTCAATGCCGACAACGTCTTGTGTACGACTTTTGTGTTCAGGTTGAGTATTATCAAAGTTCCTCTTGCTTGATTTTGCAAACCAGAACCTTTCATATAACTTTTGAGTATCAGAAATGCGTCCCAGCTAGAAGTGCGAAACCTCAGTTTGAGTGTTACAATGCATCTCTTCCGGGATGCGTAATTCAAGTCGACAGACCATACGACCCTTTGCAGGTGATTTTATGTTCAATCAGATTACTTTCAGAATACATACTTTGCTCTCTAGTTTGAGGCACGTTTTGAATCAATCTCTACTTCCGGTAAGAAAGACAGGCTCTGATCTAAAAAAGGCGTTAATTTGTTTTAAATAACATAAAAAGCTCGAAAAATAAAGTTTCCGGGAATTTTTTTGAAAAAATAGGGAAACTGTGTTGTTCTGGCAGCCCGGCTCACAAGAAAGGTCTTTTCACTTTGTGGTTGGAAATTGCCTGAGAATTGGCTAGAACGCTCATTCAGGGACCCGATGAAGGTCCTAAAAGTCTCGACCCAAAAAACTTTCTAGTTCTTTAGAAAGAATACTGGAAGTGAAAGAAAACCTTCATAATCTTTTGAAATAGGCCATTTCAAAACATCGAGCCTTAATTTCTCAATCACTGAGAAAGTTTGGGTCTTTCAGAATCTTCACTATTAAGAAAATTTTGGCCAAAATTCTGAAAAATCGCAAAAGCAAAGTAAAATAACCTTCCTTGTCGATATGTCGATATAGTCGATCGATGTCGATTTTTTGCTTAAAAAACGATAAAAGCACTAAACTCGAAGTGAGACAACTAAAAAAATTTATCTGAAGGCACCAGCCCTAACAAACTCGAACGCTCAATCCAATGGAGCCTCTGGCTATGGTAGCAACAACCCCTGGATTCCTTATCAAGGAAATACAAACTATCCGACCAATGGCATGACGTCATCAAGTTTCAATGACACTTTGGTAACAATTTTCTTAAACAAAGTTTCGAGTAGTGAATGGCGGCGGCTTGACTTTCAACTTTAACCTCGGATTTCAACCATACATGGGCTGGAATTTGAACGCAAATGTAAGCGGAATTTCCATCGGCTTATATTTTATTCAGATGGGTTTGATGTCTCCTTGGTCGACTTTCTCACAGTATCCGCAGAACTGGTTCAGTCCCTACCCGCCCAGTATATTTCAGCCGTCATATCAGCAACCAACATCAGGTGAGCTTCAACTACTATCAGTAATGACGAAAAGCAATGATAGACTAACTGAAACCAGCTAGTTCGCCTTTTTTTACAGTTTTTAATTTCCAGTACCTGTCTCTCCGTGTGTTCCTTCTGATCCTTGGCCTACAGCTCCCACGACAGTGCTTCCACCTCTTCAAACTCTACCACTCATCAATGTTAATTTCACTGTCACTGCTTCTCCTACTTTGTGAAAAATTTGAAACAATGATCGGATTGCAATTTCATACTCCACATTGTAATTTTATTTGTTGAATTTCTCAGTTTGTTAACATCATTCCTTCTTCTCAAAGTAAAATTTTCGCCCTGTTCATTTCCATAAAACTTTGAAAACGGGAAAAGCTAGAAGAAGAAAAATTTATTTTACTAAAACGCTGTAGCTCAGCAATTCGTTATTTTAGAAAAAGAAGAAGCCCGTGGGTTGTCTGGAGCTTGCATTTCCCACATGGAGTTGAGCTGTCTCATGAAAACTTTGCTGTCTATAACGTCTGTGTTGACGATCGTCGGACTGACTGACGTCATTTCTTTCCGTCGAATCATTGAAAATATGGTTTCTCGCCATTGTGGAACACTAAGAGTGTTTTGGAGAATAATGAAGAAGGTGCTTCTGAAAAGGAGGACTAGTTATAAACTTGAAAAATGTCATAAAAGATTGTGAAAAGTATTTTGAAGTTTTTTTCAAACTTTTGTTCACATAATGTACCATTTTTTTTTCGCCTTTTAGCTAAAAAAATAATTTTTCCGCGGCTCTGTCAGAAATTGCATCTAGCGCAAAATAACACAGAAAGTATCTCCATCAAACATCTTTCCTGTGAGCTATTTGGTGAAAATTTCAATGGATTTTTTTTTAATGATTGCATTTTCATCACAAATATTACCGATAACTCACATAGCTAGGGAGAAATCTAAATGAGTGACAGCATAAACGCCGGTGAAAGGTTGATTCCAGTTGAGAAAAAAGATGACTCCTTGTACGATTATCCAAACAGCGAAAATAGGCGCTCCGATGAAAACGCTCACTTTCAGAACCTTGAAGTTGACTTTTAAACTTTTATTGTTTTTATTCTTTACCGTGAACAAACGGCGATTTTCATTAAGTTGGTATCGCATATTGATCGTGTATTCTTTTTCCATTTGTATTTGAGTTAATGATTCTAGGGTTCTGTGATTCAAGAAAGAGAGGAAGCAGATAAACTGAAAGTTTTTTTTTTCAGATAGTGAAAATAGATGTAAAAAAAATACCAGTGAACTGCATATAACCAGCATCGAAATTATCGAGAGGAACCCTACCAGGCTGAGGACGTCTGAAATTTTCCCTTTAGTTTGAAAGACGCCATACACGTAAATTTATTTTTTTTTCCGTTTTGCAATTTGTTAGAAAAGTTCGGAAACTTCCCCATTTGTAAGATAACTGAATCACTTAAGTCAAGAATCTCGTTAAGGTTCATCTTTTTTCGAGATGGCTTTCATATCTGCGACTAATGAAACAGAAAAACTTACTTGTTACAAGAAGAACGCTCAATAAAACTGACAAGACAAAAGATAAGACACAAGCGGAAATCGAAACGCTGAGCCTTGGATAAAGTTCGTAGTCTTTAATCAGAAGTGTCGAGAAGTATCTTTCATATGCAACGCTGAACGGAATGAAAGGTACACATGAATACCCTAACACGTGCAAATAGCCGATGAAAAGGTGTAAATAGGTTATTTCTGGAAAATATTATTCTTTAAACTTTCAAAAAAAGTATTCTGCGCTTTAAGCTTAATCGCCGTGATTGCTCGTGGAATGGCTCGAAACGACGCTTTCTGGTTACGGTGATAATGAGGTCTCAAGCCGATTTCAAAAGGTTTGGCTATCCTTATTAGATTCCTTTGCCACCGAGCGTGAACTTTTTTTTTAAATAACGGCCTTTTCAAACAATTTTTTTAGCTGTTACTTTTCGTATCCCTCCAAATGCAATCACAACCTTTTGAAAATATAATGAATCAAAAGAACCTTCAGGTTTTTCAACAGTCAGTTGCGTATAAATTGAAAGGGCTCGCGAAATGAATAAAACGTGGAGCATGACCATACTGTAGTTCATGATAACTCGTAAATTAACATGGTAGAAATTGGTCACAGTTACTTTATACATGAAAAGCCAGCCGAACATGAAAAACATAGCCAATAGTAACGCTTCAACTCCAAGAACAGAACTCAGAAGAAGCAGTAGTCCATCCTCTTTCACTGAAATCTTCCCATGATCCCTTTGAGGTTGGTGGAGTTTGAAAGATGAAAAAGACGCTCAACTTACCTTCCAATAGATCAAAATACACAGGTATGAACAAATATCTCTCCGATCCGTCGAATAAAACAGATCTGTTGAAATAATCCCAGAAAGAAACCATGGAAGTATAATGCATTTTGATACAATTACTTGCAGAAGATATTCTGAAAAAAATTGAAGAAAATTTCAAATCTCTGAAAAGGAACAAAAAAGTTGGTCGAATTTTTTTAAATGACTTTGCAAAATAGGTTAACTTATGAATGTAACCACAAAAAACGTTAGAGAGCCTAAAAGTCTGGATTCTGAGTTTCTTGGATGCATCATCAAAATTGCTGAATCCGGAACCCTTGGATTTGTTTTTCTGTTCAAACTAACGTGAAAAAGAAAAATATTGAAGTTTTCATCTACCGGAAAACGGAAGAAAAATGAAACTAAGTTGAGTTTGACCAAGGTATCGTTAAGCGAAGGAGAAAGAATAAAGCTCGAATGGGACTTTTTTGCTGTTTGCTCCCCGTGAAATAGAATTTGGGCATGACATAATTTCATTTTGTCACGATCTATGACGTTCTAAAAGCGGTCCATGTTGTAACAGGAATCCGTCGAGCCCTCAAACAACAGAGAAAACTTTTGGTAGAAGTTCAGAGTTTATCGGAAGAAAAGTCCGAAATTAGAACTATTAACTTCAAATGAAAATAAAAAACAATGTGGCAATTCTATCGAAAGAGAAAGTTCACCTGGCAAACAGATTTTTCGGAGTATCATTTGCAGCTGTTAGAAGAAATTAAGGAAGTTTTATCTGTAACAAAACACGGTTTTTCCAGCAATAATTCCTCGAATATCAAGATTTTGTCAATTGAAGATGATCCAGTGGAACGCACACGGCACATTGATTGATCCTGTTTCGAAAAAGGCAGAATTTAATGCCTAAAAAAAGAAATATCTTGAACTTTTCTCGTCATGCACTTTGCATTTTTCAAACTTCAGAAAATCAAATCTAATTCAATAAAAATGTGTATACAATGCCTAAATTCTTAACTCAATTATCTCTCTGAATTTTTCGTTTCGAGAAAAAAGAAGGTCTCGCTCAAACGCAATCGTAGCTTACAGCCCGAGGAATGACTTTTGTACTTTCTTGAAAATGTACTTTTCTTGGGATTTGGAAAAAAAAATTACATCACAAGGTATAAATCGACAAGTGCATTATGCTCGGCGATTCTGCTCTTCGTTAGTTTCACTTCTTCCGGGAGACAGCTCAACAAAAAGCGCGCTACTCATCCATCGCTTGGGTATTTGAAACCTCCCGATCCGACCTTTGTACACAATTTTCTTGAAATGTTTTGTATCAGAAAATATATCGGAAAAAGTTTAGCCTAATCTAAAAAGTGGTCTTACAGTACTGACCTTAAAGATATGCCCACATGATTTTTTTTGGCTCTAACTCTCTTCTAAAAAAATCAGAATCTACTTAAGTTTTAATATTTTTGAACAGGACAGTGTTCTCAGAATATCCAAATAATACTATGTGATTGTCAGAAAAAATTAACAATTTCAGCTTTCAAAAACTGAAAAGCGCCAAACGAATTTTCAACTTTTATCTCGAACTCTTTTCATTATAAATAGATCTGTGAAAAACGGGTTTTTAAATGTTTTTTATGGTGAGCACTGCAGGACTTTCATAAGGAAACAAGGAAAAATACAAAGCGCGTTTTTGTTTGCTTTATTCAGCATTGGGGCGGCTAATTTGGTAATTTGCAAAAAAAAAAGACGAAAGAAGAGAAGCTGGGGATCTCAAACGGATGACGTCATATCTCCTGAAGGCAATCTGCAGCGTTCTCTTGCTATATTCCCGGGCCATTTGAATACGAAAACTACATTTTTCTTCTGACACGTTCATCTGCCGTTTCTTCCTTTGGTTTCGTTTTCACTTCTCTTTTTTTTTACTCAAAGAATTTTCGACGTAGGCGCGGCAACTGCGTCGACAGGATTTGAACTGAACCGCCACCCGGCCGATATCTTCTCCATCGTCCGTTCTTTTGTAAAGGAAAATCAAATCTTCCAAAAATCCTTCGATAATTGGCCAAAACGTCGCTCTAAGGGCCGTTTTTGTTATTCAAGGGAATTTTGTGGGATGCCGGAGGGAAAGAGAGCGAAGTGGAAAGTGAGGCGCTTTGCATCGCCCGATTCCAACTAGGTCACAATGCAAAATCGTCGCGTCTTCTTGCGAGGATGTCTCACAGCCGTGAAATTTTCTTGTGCTCTCTAAAAAACGGCAAGCTCTCCTTCAAGTTCCACCTTTTTTGACTTCTCATCCTCCACGTCGAAAATTACTTGCTTTATTTATCTACTACGTTTTCACGTTTTCCTGACTCACTCCTTGAAATGGAAGGCATCATTCGAGTCCATTTTTCCAGATTCGTGATTGTAACCCAATCTTGTTTTTTTAGAAACCACAAAAATTTATGTTGTTGCTGAATACTTCGAAGTTTTTTTCAAGTACCGATTCGGACGAGTTTTTTTACTGTCCAGAGTGAAACGATGAAAGCTCGAGTTTCCATTTATAAGTTGAATTTGGATATAATACTGAGAATAAATTTTTTTGCTACTAGATTATGAAAAAAATAAGAAATATCGAAGTAAGTTCAGGAAAAATTGAGATTATCCTAAATGAAGAGCAAAAAAAGCTCTGACCACGTTTGGATTAATTTTTTTCGTCTTATCTCATTTTCTTCTTTCTTTTCAAATCTGTATTGTTATAGATGAAAAAAACATCCAACAATAACAGCCGCTTATTCATTCCCTTCTTTTTTTAACAGATTTATTTTCGAAAAAAATTTCATTAAAATTCCCATTTTTTTATTTTCGTTCATGTTTTGCATTAGTCTAACCATTTTTGTTCCATTCTGACTCACCGTGACTGATGAATTATTTGGTTGTTGGCGCTCTGAAATTCTAATTAGTTCTGGAAAAAAATCCTATGAATTACTTCAACAATAATTTTATACATAGATATGTGTCCTTACATTAAAAAAAAAGTTGTGTATACAAAAAAAGTTTGGAACGAGAGGTTATGAATTCCGTGATTCAGTTTTCACTAAATTTCTCTTCTTTTTGAATCTTTTCTTCCGTCTATCGCTCTTTGAACAACTATGACAATGGAACCCTAAACGACCTTTCGCTAACTTCCATTCCAGTTGACAGGGGCCACAAGGAAAAATGTTCCTCTGCGTCAACTTTATTTTTTATTCCCTTATTTTGAAAACTTTCTATCTTTTGTTTTGAGAAAACCTTGAAACAATGTTTTTTATGCTTATGCTTTCAAGATTTCATATAAACCATGCCTGTCTTTCGAGATTGAATGTAATTACATAGGCCGCGAAGCACATATTAATAATAGATAGAAGACCGTTCGAGTGCACCTTTTTGCCCGTCTTCGGTTTTCTTAATTTGAAGACATTTTAAGGCTTATTTTCATTGATTTTGTGTCTCAATTCTTTGAAAATGTGTCATTTCCAACAATTTTCGAAAATGGTCAAAAGGTCGAAATGCGTTACCTTAAAAATGTGGTCGAAATCTAGAGTTTGAAATGGTCGAAATATTGCGCTGAAGTTGAAGGTCTGCAATCAATATCTGGAAAAGCCGTTAACTTGCGAACAATATCAATTGTCTCGATATTAAACATCAAAGATGCATTATATCCGACATAGAAATTGATATCACGAATTCTCTTTGTATATGAATTGACTACTACTACTACTAATAATAATAATAATAACAGTTTATTCACTGCCATTAAAAAAACATCAACAAGAGTAATAATATTCATTTGCAGGCAGAACAAAAATAACATGTACAACAATGATTTTGAAAAGAAAAAAAAATTGGCAATGAAGCCTGCAATAAATAAATAAAGGCGGTTGAGGCCCTCACGAGCCTCTGAGCCAGTGAGAGAGATTATGAGGTAAATATGAAAAATGAAGGCACAAAGTTGAATAGGAAAAAAGCAGATAGATAGAAAAAGAAACAAATAAATAAATGAAGTTTTCACTCAGTATAGCACACGGGAGAAGGTAAATAAGTTGATTTGTAAGGAGATGGAGAATGACTCGTGAATTTTAGGTAGTATAGTAAGTAGTATAAAAAAAAATATAAGCAATCAACATGTGATGGGCAGAAGAATAAAAATATAAATAAAGAATACTTGTATACAATATGCAGACGGAATTCGTTTCCCAATGCTTTCCGTCCATTTATCCTAGTTCATGCTAGCAAAAACATCATTAATTTCTTTGTTGGGATATTTAATTGAGCGGATGAACAATAAAAAACTGGAGAAAAGTGTGTGGAATCAAGGAAGAAACTGATGAAAAAAACTTGAACTTTTTGATTTGCTCGAAAAGTTGCGAAAGTTCTTTAAAACTTCCAATTGGGGTAGGATCCCTTTTTATTTTTCGTTTTCGTAATCAACAAATAGTCGGATGTTCTTGCGCACATTGTCAACATATTCCAAGAGATCATCCGTCTTTTGAAGTTTGTCAAAAATTAATCGAGTTTTATCGAACTCGGGCTTGTGGTTTTGCAGGAAGGAGTCAATCGATTTTTCAAAAACAGCCGAAAGATTTGAGTTCTTGAGATAATCAATTGATATTTTGAGGCGTTCGTTAAAAGAACCCAGAGTCGTACTGAAATCAGGCCGTAAGTACTGCACTTGAATGAATGACTTACTTGAATTTCTTCGCCATTCGCACGCCGTCATGAAGGTCTCTGACACTAGTTATTCGTCTTCCAATTACGAAAAAGTCAATGATAAACGGATTACGGGCGTTGTCAAAGCCCATATTGGCAGTATGATGGTCACCCAGCATTAGAACCGTATACACAAACAACATCTCAGCAACGGATTTAGAGTATTCTTGGAGAGTTTCCGGTTGAGTCAGCTCCAAGAATTCGAGAGTCTTGAAGGTCGGTATTTCTTTACTTGCGATATAAATGATCCATTTTGAAAAAATTTCGTTATTAATGAAGTGGATCTGAGCGCCCATCTTCAATTCCTCCAAAAAAGTGTATATAAACAGTTCTTTGAGGTCAGTGTCGTATCGTGTGTCTGAAATTTTGTAGATTGAAAATTTAAAAATAAGAGCAAAACTTACGCGATGACTTATCTCCTGCTCCGTGATGAGCCTTCACATAGAATCTGCTAATGGTTGATCCGTCGTCCAAAGTACATAGACATCCGGCTCGAGAACCGTCTTCACGGGAACCGAAAGTAACCTTAATCTTCTCGCCATAGACTTTTGTGAAGTATATCCGACAGGAATTCTAAATATTAACTATAACTATTTGAAAGAATGATAAACTACGACTTACCTTGATTTGTGTTAACTTGCGATCAAAATACGTCAGAAATCTTCTCTCGATTGCAAAGCGACGTGTTCCCAAACTCGGGTAAACCAAAAAAAAATTCGAACGCATTAAGTTTTCGATCTGCTTTGTAGCATCCACATGAATCGATTTTTTGAGTTCTTCTTCATATGTCTGTTGGAAAGCCGCTTCACGTTCCAAAAAAGCTGTCCAGTTCGAGAGCAGAGCGTGTTTCGAAAAAAAGAAAATATCAAAATGGTGGAAAATATTGGTTTGTTTCAGTTATAAAATTCACTAGCTGTATAATAATTGTCTGTCTGCTTTTGCATTGTTGACAATGTCACAATGAGCCAGAAATTTACTTCAATAGCTGTATAAGCAATAAAAAAAGTAAATTCTATGACATATATAAGTAATGTTTGACATAGTTTTGAACCTAAAAGTTATTAAATTTATCCTTAAAAGAATTAAGTTATTTTTTTTTAATTTTAGGAAGTCAACTATATAGATAACATCAGGCTTAATGTTACAAAAATAAATAGAAATAATAAAAAAAGACTTACGATGACAAACGCATCGTTATTCTTTACATCGAATTCTTGAAGAGTTGATGTTATGGAAAGAATTTGGCGTCCATTGTGAAAAAAAGTTCTTGATATTTCTCGTCAACGTTGAATACAGAATCAATCGTTACGCTCAATTCTTTAATTGTAATCTAGAATAAACATTTAAATTAGTTAAAAATAGAATTGTTGAACAAACCTGCGTGTTGATCAGTAAAGGTTTCTTACGATGGGAAACTCCCTCCTGATCTTGTAAATCAAGAACAACAGATATTTCCATTGTTAAAGACGAAATCTCTTTTCCATTCACACAATTTTGAAAAAAAGATAATGGAATAACGCGATGTTGGCAGATTCTCTCCTTCTCTGCGTCTCTGCTCATGCGTCACTCTCATCACCCTTCCAAACGCGTTGTCGTGCCGCGTGCGTGTAGTTCTAGTTCAACTGAGGCAAATGTGTGATTGTATTCGGCCACAGTGAGGAAGAGAAAAGAAGGTCGCACAAAGAAAAAGAGAAATTAAAATTAAAGATGATGGAGTTGTTTTTCGACACGACCACGCTGGAATTGTCCACAATAAGTTCCAATATGTATATGTCATAGAAATTACTATTTATTGTTTATACAGCTAATGAAGTAACTTTCTGGCTTATTGTGATATTGTAAACAATACAAAGGCAGACAGACAATTATTATACAGCTAGTGAATTTTATAACTGGAAAAAATCAATATTTGAAGAAGAACTCAAAAATTCGATTTATGTGGACGCTACAAAGCAGATCGAAAACTTAATGCATTCGAATTTTTTTTTGGTTTACCTGAGTTTTGGGACACGTCGCTTTGCAATCGAAAAAAGATTTCTGACGTATTTTGATCGCAAGTTAACACAAGTTTGGGGACACGTCGAGCCGGATTCCTATGTACTTTGAACGACGGGTCAACCATTAACAGATTCTATGGGAAGACTCATCAAGGAGCAGGAGATAAGTCATAGCGTAAGTTTCGCTCTTAGTTTTAAAGTAAGTCATTCATTTAAGTGCAGTACTCACGGGCTGATTTTAATACGACTCTGGGTTCTTTCTCTGAACGCCTCAAAATATCAATTGATTATCTCAAGAACTCAAACTTTTCGGCTGTTTTTGAAAAATCGATTGACTCCTTCCTGCAAAACCATAAGCCCGAGTTCGATAAAACTCGATTAATTTTTGACAACCTTCAAAAGACGGATGATCTCTTGGAATATGTTGACAATGTGCGCAAGAACATCCGACTATTTGACGAAAACGAAAAATGAAAAGGGATCCGTAACAGGTTTTTGAAATAAACTGTTAAATGTGATAATTTGCCTAATTTTGACGTTTTCTCAAATTTGATGGATGAAAATCGATATTGGCTTCAAACCGTTATTTTTTATTCAAAAATGTTAGCGCAATATTCCGACCACATTTTTAAGGTAACGCATTTCGACCTTTTGACCATTTTGAAAATTGTTCAGCGATTGGCTGCATTATATCGTTTCGTTTCAAAAGGCTCCCCCAGTTGGAAGTTTCAAGGAACTTTTGCAACTTTTCGAGCAAATCAAAAAGTTCAAGATTTTTTCATCAGTCTCTTCCTTGATTCCACACACTTTTTTCCAGTTCATTCCCGAGCCATTTGAATACGAAAACTACATTTTTCTTCTGACACGTTCATCTGCCGTTTCTTCCTTTGGTTTCGTTTTTACTTCTCTTTTTTTTACTCAAAGAATTTTCGACGTAGGCGGGTTAACTGCGTCGAAAGGATTTGAACTGAACTGCCGCCCGGCCGATATCTTCTTCATCGTCCGTTCTTTTGTAAAGGAAAATCAAATCTTCCAAAAAATCCTTCGATAATTGGCCAAAACGTCGCTCTAAGGGCCGTTTTTGTTATTCAAGGGAATTTTGTGGGATGCCGGAGGGAAAGAGAGCGAAGTGGAAAGTGAGGCGCTTTGCATCGCCCGATTCCAACTAGGTCACAATGCAAAATCGTCGCGTCTTCTTGCGAGGATGTCCCACAGCCGTGAAATTCTCTTGTGCTCTCTAAAAAACGGCAAGCTCTCCTTCAAGTTCCACCTTTTTTGACTTCTCGTCCCACGTCAAAAATGACTTGCCTTTTCTTCACACTATATCTCAAATATTTCTAATAAAATACTCAGTTTTCTCAACGTTTGTCTGACTCACTTCTTGAAATCCACATCATCAACCCGTTCAATTCATTTCCGGTTCATGATTATAACCCTATCTTGTTCCTGGAAGCTGATGAATCTATTCGTTTGCGTTGTAATCGAATACTCAGGTTTTTCTGGTATCGATTTGGACGAACTTTCTTTATTGTCTAGAATGAAACGAAACAACAAAAAAAAAGAGATAAGCTCGCGTTTCCACTTATAAGTTGAATTTGGATGAAAATTTGAGAATAAATTTTTAGATGCTTCTTGATTTTGAAAAAAAAGAAATATAGAAGTAAGCTCAGGAAAATTGACATCAACATGAATGAACAAGAAAAAAAGCTCTCCTGGATTCGTCTTGGATTTGTCTTGGATTGATTTTTTAGTCTTATCTCATTTTCTTCATTCTTTCAAACTTCTATTGCAATAGATGACAAAAATTCCTAAAATATAGTCCGTTTTTCCCGACTTTACAGGACTTCTCTGCACCCTCCTCGTCTCTCTACGACCCTCTCTTGTTCACGCGCTGTTTTCGCGTTTCTCTGACCTCGCCGGTGAGGGAACAGAGAGACGCAGACACTCGAAAACTGTCAAGTCGCGGCGGACGGACTATAACAGTCGCTTACTCATTTTTTCACTTTTTCAACACTCTTTTTAGAAGAAGAGTTGAATTTTTTCGAAAAGCATTACATAAAATGAGATCACATTCAGTACGTGCTCCGTCACGTCTTATCAGAGTAGGGATACGTTTCACAAATTCCGTTGAGACGTTCATCCTTCTATGGAATAAACTGGCTACACTAGGAATGTTTCTCCATATCGTTTCAGGTCTTTCTTACGATCCCTCGATGATAATTTCCTTTTGGATCTATTCCCAACAGACTCCGTTAAACCAGGTACCCTTGTTTTATCCCCCCTCTGAACCATTAAAAGCTTGTCTATATCATTATATCATTACAATCAATTAAGTTCTCCTTTACTTGTGCTACACTGTGTCATAACTTATAATGCATTCTTTTCTATTCACTTGTTTTTAACTTTGTGCGATCCTCACCTCTTATTCTTTCATAACTGGCTCAGAGGCTCGTGAGGGCCTCAAGTGCCTTTCATTTATTCATTTTAAGTTTAATTCCCAATTTTTCTTTATTTTTTTGTACATGTTATTTTGTTCTATCTGTAAATAAATTATATATATCACATTTCTTTCTAAAAATTTCATTAAAATACGCCTTTATTATTTTCCTTCACAATAAATATTAGTCTAATCATTTTTTGTTCCATTCTGACTCATCGTGACTAATGAATTATTTGGTTGTTGGCGCTCTGAAATTCTAATTAGTTCTGGAAAAATCCTATGAATTACTTCAACAATAATTTTATACATAGATATGTGTCCTTACATTAAAAAAAAAGTTGTGTATACAAAAAAAGTTTGGAACGAGAGGTTATGAATTCCGTGATTCAGTTTTCACTAAATTTCTCTTCTTTTTGAATCTTTTCTTCCGTCTATCGCTCTTTGAACAACTATGACAATGGAACCCTAAACGACCTTTCGCTAACTTCCATTCCAGTTGACAGGGGCCACAAGGAAAAAAATGTTCCTCTGCGTCAACTTTATTTTTTTTATTCCCTTATTTTGAAAAACTTTCTATCTTTTGTTTTGAGAAAACCTTGAAACAATGTTTTTTATGCTTACGTTTCCAAGATTTCTAACAAACCACGACTGTCTTTCAAGATTGAATGTAATTACATAGGCCGCGAAGCACATATTTTATGTGCATTTTCCATGGGGCCCCATCCCTGCGTCATGTTCTTCCCAATTCTTTGTTTTGTTCTTTGAATCTCTTCAATTTATCTCTTTTCAAAAGTTAAAATCAGCGATCGGCTGCAGTTTATCGTTTCGTTTTGAAAGGCTAGGCCCGATTGGGATTTTCAAAGTGCAAGGCAAATTTTCGAAAAAATCAAGTAGTTCAAGATATTTTTATTAATTTCGTCCTCAATTTCATGCACTTTTTCTGATTTTTTATTGTTGATTCGCTCACTCAGATGAATATTCCGTGAAATGGTTTTTAAAGCTTTTTTCAGTTTTTCTGTCCTTGAAAGCTTTCTTGGGCATTCTTTCCTGAATTTCCAAAAATGAAGCGGATACATTCAAATCACAATTTTGAACACGTTTTTTTCTAATCAATAATTGCCCCATATAGATGCAAAATTCTTATTTTCAGATGACTGCCAGCGTTCAACCTTCCGTCTTACCACATGCAAGCGCAAACAAATTCGGGATTTTTGGGTAACGAATTGCAAAATTTCCTTTTTTTTCTCGTTAATTTTACATTATAGAAAATCAATAAAATTAAAAAATTCATCCCAAAAAAGTTTTTTAGCATTCAAAACTCTCTGTTTGAGGTGGCATCCGAAAAGCTTACAATGGCTTTGTTATTTTCGTCCTTTTATGGCGTTTGTTTGTGCCAATGCTTTTCTTCAAGGCGCAATTGTGAATGGGCTGGTCTCTACGAGTATAAGTTCTATTGAAAAAAGGTAGTTCTTCCAAAATGAAATCTGCTTATCTCAATTTTGAGGTTCAATTTGACATCAACACAATCCGGCACCTTTGCCGCAACATACGATGTATTTGTTACTATTATGTTATTACCATTAGCTTTATATACGGCTAAAGGTTGAAAATAGTTCTATTATTTCTGTTTTTATTTTTTGACTTTTCAGTAAATAAAGTCCGAGCGATTGGCTGGGGAATGATTTTTGTTGGTATAGGCGGCGTTTTGATTGTTGTTCCACAGTTTATGGACGGTCACTATGAGGTAGGTGGTTTGAACGCTACGTTGACCAGGTGGGGAATCACCTTTCTGCGAAAATCCCGCATTCTGAACTTTTCGCCCCCGCCGAAAGCTTTTAAAATTTGAAAGAAAAAGGAAAGAAGTTTTGCCAGAGAAAATTTTACTTCTTGCTCACTGTTAACATCATTAAACGCAATCCTGCTCGAGTCCGGCCCAGCTTTTCAGGTCATGGCAAATGCAGTAGAGTATTAAAAATATAAAACTTTCTATTCTTGAAAAATAAAAATCTCAAACGGATTCCGGAGAAAATCCATTTTATGGTATTCAGGTGGGTGATCTCAAGCCGACGGTCTGCTCATCATCAACAGTCGACACTCCCAAATGTGAAACTTCTACTCCGCTCATCTCTGGGTTCATTTTATTTTCCTTCCTAATATAATTCCTTGTTGAGATCTGAAAATTTTTTGTCGTCATTCTACCTCTTTTCGAGTTTCTCTGACTGCGCTCTTATTTTTATGTTCTCACAGTTTTCTGAGCTCTGCGCGTGAAAGATAAAGTTGAAAAGTTACAGACCGTATTTCTTTCTATTGCTCTCTCAAGCTTTCATTGGGATTGGAGCTTCTCCACTTTTTACTTATGGATACACGTGTATTGACGAATTTGACAGTCACAAAAAAACTGGACGTAACATGGGTCAGTTTCTCTCAAAAGATGAAAACAAGCTAGCTCGATTTCAGGTATATACATGTCCTTCTCCACAGTGGGACCTGCCCTTGCGTTTATAGCTGGAGGTGCTTCGTTGAAGATTTGGGGAGATATTGGAAGAACAACTCCAGAAAGGTTATTTTCCTGTTTCTATTCTTCTCATTCTTTTTTTCAGTGTGGGGATAATAGGTAGATCCGACCCGCGATGGTACGGAGCTTGGTGGTTAGGGTTTCTGGTTTGCGGGCTTCTAGCTTTCGTTACTGCAATACCACTCACTATGTTTCCCGAAAAGCTTAATGGTTTCAAAAAAGAAATTTCCTAACTATTTTTTTCTTTAGACACCGATGCTCGAAAGAAAAGTGATGTGACACAGACTCATTTGAAGCTCAACAAAGATTTTTCAAACGAGAAATACGCTTTCATGAAAATTTTATTGGTAGGCTGTTTTGAATTATTTATCTTGTAAGTTTTGTCAGAAAGAAGCCTTTTGAGCTTCCATTGAAGCCAACTTTTGTCATACATAGGTTGCGCAAGTTACAAGTTTATTCAGTCATCAGATAAGAGTCTTGGCTGAATCTTTGAATAAATAACGAAGTGATCGTCGATTTGCGAGTTCGCGTTGACTAAAAATTGCTCGTCGATCATTTTTTTTCTTCAAATAGTGAAATTAGAAAGTTGAGTCCTTCGACGATCTGCTGTGTCTCCATGTCACGCAAAAAAAATTATTCCGAAAAAAGACGACATATCTTCTCCATTTTTCATTTCTTACAAGTTTTTTTCCTGTAGAAGAAACATTTTTTCAACGTTTCAGATGTTTCTAACCTCTCCAACCGTGATGGCGATTATCGGAATGCAAACATTGGAAAGCATGGTGATGAACGGCTACATTACTTTCGTCCCTAAACTTCTCGAAACTCTTTTTGGCTTTTCTTCCGGAAACGCCAGTGTTGTGACAGGTTTGACGGTTGGAATCCTATTGGATCGAACTTCTCTTCCATACAGGAGCAATTGTTGTGCCTATGGGAGTTATCGGAAGTGTTCTTGGTGGGATAATCAGCAAGCGGTTAAAAAACGACTTCAGGTTCATTCGAAAAGTAAAAATTCAAAACAGCTATTTTCAGAAAATCCATGTTTTCTGTAATGATTCTGACTCTCGTGACTGCCGCTGCAAGCGCTTGTTTATTAATTCGGTGCAATGAAGCTGCCGTAGCTGGAATCACCGCGGATTTGTCCACTTTGAACAACAGAAGCAGGTTGAAACCGTCGAAGTTTAATATTCAACTGGATCAACATTTTCAGAAGTGTGGTAGACAGCTGCAACTCAGATTGCTCCTGTGAGAACATTTTCGAGCCGGTTTGCTCAGTGGAAATGAATGTGAACTTTTTGTCACCTTGCCATGCAGGTTGTCGTACAAACGTAGTGAGTGTCCTTAAAAATGTCTCCTTATAAAAATAAATATTCAGATTGGAGCCGCAGAATGGGAAGGATGTACCTGTTCTGGATATCAAGAAAAAGTCAGCAATGGATGGTGCTCTGTGGACTGTCAACCACAAATGGTTGATTTGGAAGGATGCAGATTTTCAACTTAGATTTTCAGATTATTTTTTTCAGTCTTTTCGCGCTAATGGCTGTGACCATTTTTGCGTGTGCGCCGTTGATGCAAAGTGCATCTTTCCGGTTTTCTGAGTTCTTTTCTTTACTGATAATCAATCAACTTTAGAGTAGTGCATTTCAATCATCGAGATCAGTTTGTCTGCTTTGGTTGGCTTTTCATGAGAGTTCTTGGTGAATTTTTGCGTGAGAGATTTTAATTAACCGCCGACTTAATTCAGGATCTATACCTGGAGCAATTCTCTTCGGACACATCATTGACCGCAACTGTCTTTTCTGGCAGAAAGACTGTGACGGGGAGAAATGCCAGCTTTACAATGCCAAGGACCTTGGTTTCAGCTTTTCCGCTCTAAGTGGATCAAAAAATTTGAACCTTTCAAAAAAAAAATTTTTCAGCGATAGCCATCAAGTTACTTTGTGTTGCGATGTTATCGATAGCTTATTTTTCCTATAGAAAAATTGAGAACGACGCAACGGAAAAAGAGCAATCTTTGGAAGAAAAAAATAAATTTGAGCTGGACAAGGTGAGCGGTGGAGAATTTATACTTTTAAGAAGATTTTTTGCAGAAACTCACTGGAGGGATCTCTGTTGCGAACACGATGGTCTATTGAAAAAACCAAGCTTTTAGTTGTATTTTATCTTCAAGTTGTGTCATTTGAATACCTACTAACAAACTCCCACTTCTAACTTTATTTTGCTGAAGTCATCAAAATGTTTCGATTTAGTGCCTTTGGCTTTCTACGAGTAGATATTCGAACAAAGTTTTTATCGCCTTGTTTAATTGATTCCGGGTTGTGCTCTTCTGTGATGTTCATACAATTGGTATTTTTTAACTGTGCCTTCTTCTGAATAATTAATTTTTCCAAGCTTGTTTTTTTACACACGAAGAGATCAAAATTTCTATAAAGTACGCATTGAAATTCTTGCTCGAGCAATCCTCATCTTTTTGCAATGGTATAGTTTTTCATGTCTCGAAAACTACTGTAACTCCATTCTCCCACAGCGACTGATAAAAAATTAAGAGAGTGACACGAGAAGTGATTTCCTTTCAGTTGTACCGCTCATTTCGCCGGAAACGACGTGTTTTGGGCATATTATTTCGTATTAAGAAACAGGTTCGCGACTATTTCCCACAATTTTATGTCATTATGCGCCTTTTACGCAGCTTTTCTGATTGTAACCAAAAAGCCGTAGATGAAAGGCTTTGAAGACTTAATTTGCGATTTTCGGAAAAATGAAAAGTGAGGTGTTCATTTGAAAAAGATCCCAGTTGAGAAAAAAACCATTGGAAGATGTTTGCTCAGTGAAAAGTTGAAATAAGAAAATGCGACACTTGAACTGAGGTAATTTTTTTTAGTCAGAAAAGCATTTTGAAACTCCTGGAATAAATTAATGTAGATTAATTAGCGGTTCATAATTGTTTAGCGCTTAGAAACAAATTGAAACTTTCTGTCTCAAAATTCGAGGTTTATTTTATTTGAAAAAAATTCAGCCATCTCCCCGGTATGAAAACGGCTAGTTGGTACAAGAAATTCTAGAAAAAAACAGACCTTTTTGCGGAATCCTCCAGAGTTCAAAACCAACACAAAAACATCGGCACTGGTTCCAAATAGAACTTGCCCTCTCTCGATGCACTTAGCCAAAAAGTTACTTTCGTCCCTCAACAGCTGTTTTTTTTTCTTTTTTGTTAAACCACCACGCCCAGATAAATGTTCTCGGGACGCTTTCAAGCGCCGCCAACATTAAAAGAAGCACTCAATTGGGCGTCTTTGGGCGTTGGTTTGGATCTCGTTCTTTTCACAAAACACACACTCATCTCCTTTTTAGCTAACGAACAGCCGAACGCCGATTAATCATCGTGCCCAATATGACGTCAATTTTCCATTCTCGAAGACTTTCTTCGTTCGCTCTGGAGACACGTCATTTTTTTCGCGATGTTTCCGAAAAAAAAACCAAGTTGGAAAGATGACGTCATTTCGAAAAACGAACTCATTTTTTATTTTGAAAGGGTTTTAATTTACAATGAAAACTCATCTTATTCCGTTATAATAGTTAACGGGATAAAGTGAAAAACTCGTAAAAAAAAAAGTTGAAAAACGCTATTTGATTTGAGGAAAAGAACGGAAAAAAAGCAACATCATGTTTATTTTTTTAATCTCGATAGAGATCAAATGAAAAAAGATCAGATTTATTTGAAAAAGTGAGTTGAACTTAATTATTGAACAACTGGACAATTCATCCGTTTGCGAGGTTTTTTTTTCGCAAAATTCCGGAAAATGGATTTTTAGTCCTAAACTTTCAAATTGAATTTTTCCTCAAAATTCACATCAACTTTTTTTTCCGCAAGCAGAAATGGTTGACGAATGAGGTAAAAGCCTTTTCTAATGCTTCTGTTTCGACGACTGTTTTAACAAGCGTGAGAATATATTGAACCTGAGTGCACGTTAAGTTTAAAGAAGCAAGGGCTGTGACCATCAGAATTAATCCAATTGTTCAGGGCTTTTTCTTCGACAACCTACTGCTTTTGAACCGCTTTTTTTTCTATTTCAGACTTGTTCTTTGATGGACATTTTCAGAAAGTTACAAAACATTTTCTCTTTTTTTTCTAGAGATTTATGTTTTTAAATTTTTTTGATTTGTGTTGTGTAGGATTTCATGAAAAATTTGAAAACTTCAAATTGAAGTTTTCTTTTTGCTTCTCGCAAAAAAGTCTATTTTGGGTGTTCGCCCGTCCTCCGAGTACGGTATATCGCGGATTGTTCTTAGAACTAATTGGATTTCCGGCGTCTTTTGCTTGCGAACCGATTAGTCACCAATCTGTTCCTACGCTCCCTTTCTCAGTTGCGTTTACTAGGAAGGACACCTCTGAAAACTGTTCCGTTTCAAATTAGCAAGTTGTGATCTTCGAAACTTAGATGTTCTGTTAAACTTAATTGATGCTTATTTTCTTCAGATTATGAAAATATTGGAATTTTTTTCTGATGTTCCTCCATAAATTCATTACAAAACACTGACTTTATCATTTCGAACAAGCCTAGAATTTGAAAATCTTTGCATTCTAAGGCTCTTGACCGTTAAAATCGTCTACCACTTTCTAGCAAACTTTTCTCAGTTCAATACACTGTCTGAACTAAATTTTCCCAGCTACTTCTTCAACTTTCATTTTATAATAACGGAAATTCCATCCCGCATTTTTCCTTCAGCAAACGCTGATTGGCCAAAATAGATGTTGCAAAAGGATGGAAGCACTACAGCGCCACCACACTTCGCTTGGCCAGATTCCGAGGGCAGAGTTTAACAAATTAGGCAACATCTAGGCGTTTACAAAAAAAGACTAAAGAATATGTTGATGATTGAAACAAGATGAAGGAAAGCGTGAAATGACCTGAAGCTTGATTTCAATTGTCCACTCGTCGTTAAATAAACTGAAACTGGACGTTGTCTGGTCCTCAAGACTTTTTCAACGTGTCCGGCTGTTTTATTGTTCTGACCGAAGTCGTTTCGGTTCCATTGGATTGCGTGCGCAAGAAAACGTCGTCATTTATATGCTTCCGGTAGAGTTCTAACTAGATACTTTTATTTGGAGTCCCTCTTTTTTCTCTGGTTGTTTCGAAATCTTGTTGGTCTTTTGGGTTCGATTCTCCCATTTCTCAGAGCATTAAAGCCTACTAGTTGGAAGCTTATATTTATTCCAATCATCACTTTTTATGATTACTGCACTGTTCCACACGCTGAAGGGAAAATGGCTATTCCAAAACGGCTGCTTGGATTTTAAAAACTCCAACGAACTTTTTCGAAGGTTAACGACAGTTTATTGATCCTTCATACTTGGAACAGAACCTTAAAAATTTCAAGAAAATTTTCAACAGATAAAAATAGAGACGGATGTCCTGTTTTATAAAAGTCCAACACTTTCCAGTTAACCGCGGATTTTCAACTAACCCTGTACATTTGTCACATTGATAATCGAAAGTTCGAAGACCACGCTCAGTTCGCTTTCACAAATCTTAAGATCTCAAGTCGCAAAGTGCATAACGCGTGCCAATTGCGCAATGGCGCACGCGCCAAATCTCTGCAAAAAGACGCATTTGCATCGGGCTTTTCGTTGGGACAGCGGAACCCGTACGAGTCAAATCAACAATTATCAATCACGAAGTCGTTCTTTGACTGTGACGTTGCCCAAGGCGTCTTTTGCGCTAGATGGCCGTTGAAATGGAGAGGGTCAGATCCCATTGCGATCCATCAATCATTTCCCACCTCGTTTTATGCGTTAATCAGAAGTGCGATCGCTGTCGTTTTCATTGTTTGTCGGGCGGCTTTGTAGAGTTGCAGAATTCTCCTTTTTTTGTTTTGAAGTGGTTTTCATTGATTTTTGTTTCAGAAAACGAAAGTTCGAAGCTCAATTAATTCCTAAACCAAACTGAATTTTCTTTAAGCTTGATGGAATCGAATTGAGAAAATGTTTAAAAGCGGGGTTTTTTTTTCCAGCTCAATTTTTTCATTTTAATTTGCAAACTCTCTTTCGCCGGGTTTTGTTTGACTTTTCGCAGTATTCTGAGCCATTTTCATGCTTTGAGCTGTTCTTTTCTTATCCTGGTGAAAAGATAGGAGAGCTCTGCGTTTTTTCCTAGTCATTCTAGAAGTTTTCCGACAAGCCAAACAAGAAGTTTTCTTCTCTGTTATTTGAGTTTTTAGTCCTTGTCAGAAATTATCCTTTTGATCTGAAATCCGCTTTTTTTGCCCTGCTTATTTCGAGATTTTCTGTTCTTACCTCTAAGCAGTTACGATAGGCCTTGGAACAATTTGTGATGTTTTTGAATTTTGCTGGTTTGTGCAAAATGTGATCTTTAATGTGTCCGACAATGATGGTCATCTGTGATGACAACTTTTCGGTCTGCAGCTAAAAACATTGATGTGAAAGCCGTTTATCTCCTTAAAAAACCAGTAATCTGAGAATCCTTTCAAACTTAGTAACGATTACTTGATTGCAATTCAAACAAAGTTATTTTTGCCTTCAGAGGTCTATTTGCAACCCATCTGCTTACGGTAGCCGGGTGCACCTTGACGCGTCTTCTCAATTAATCACAATCGTTTCTCTTAGGTGGGCGAGGTCTTTGAGTATTTCGCAAAGCCATGCCGCAAAATGACTCATACTTTTCGGCGGATTCAAACCATATCCTGATGGGGTGGAGGTGCCAGTTAAGCCAAGTACTCTCTCACGTCGCGCATCTTCGGAATTTGTTTCACACCACTTGTCGCGGTCTTCATTGAGCGTAGAAAGATAAAACTTCAACGATATATGATGGCGGATCCAGTAATTTTGCTACCAGCCGTCAGAAATTCGTTTCAGATATCTTTTCGAATGCAACTTGATCAAAAAACTTGCATCAGATTTCGGAATCGTAAGCCATGAGCTTAGTTGGTCGTCACTTCAAGATTCTTGATTCTCTCCAGTACCACAGTTCAAAAATTCGTACATTTTTTTGGACCGTCAGAGCTGAAGTTTGAAGTTTCTGCAAAGCTTTTTTGAACAAAATTCATGATATTGAGTGATTTTCTTAACCAATCAATAGAAACAGCATCAGAAAGATGAATGAAAAAAATAATTCTGATGAGCATTTTTTTCTGTTTCTGTGAGGAAATATTTTTTTCTAGAAAGAATTGAATAAAAGGAACGGAGTCATATGAAGGCGTAGATAGTATCTCTCAGTTTGTGTCACCGAACTCCTCCGCTAAGCTGAGTCATATTGCCATCTTTGGAGAAAGCGCTCTCTTTCGTCATCTCAATCATCGCTCACCTGTCCTGATGGAATTCCAGCAATTGACATCTGCCTATTCATCACCAAAAAAGGAAAAAAAGGCCACCTCCAAGACATTCAAACCTCCTGGCGTACGGTTTTGCGGGAGACAGATTTGCCTCCTTTTCGCAGCAGACCACGCCTTGCCTCGTTTATGGCCCGGTGTACTACATTAACTGTGAGATCTGGATTCTGCTGGCCTGACCAGCTTATATTCATATCAGACCTTTCGCAGTCACAATTCTCTTTTTTTCCTTCTAGCTGCCGCTGTTTTTGCAACTTTTCGCCCTCATCAATAATTTTTATTTTCTTCTTTTAACTGTCGGAAGCTTTATCTTCTAGAACTTCTCTATTATGTTCAAAAAAATGATTCCTGTGGAATCCGATTCCAGTGTTATATTTTTTTGTCAAGAAACATACTCCTATATATATATATATATATATCTTTTTTTATCAATAAAGTCAAAAAAATAAAGTATCATTCCTCATTTGAATCCCTAAGACCTCGAACATTTTATTTCCCGCTTTTTGAAATGCAAAAAAGCATTCTTAAAACAGGTTTTAACTTCTTTAGGTTTCCTGAGCTCCTGTTCATTGAATCTGAACAATGAACTCCTTTTTTTCGAACCTTATTGTCACTTCCAAGAACCTCCTGACAGGAATGAAAATTTTTCCAGTTTTCAAAAAAGAGAGTTTTTTTGTAGCTCACTTGAAACATGTAAACAAGGAACTGAGGAGTCAAAGAAAATTGACATCATTTTTGACGAATTTTCAAATAACGTCATCTTCTGATGAATAAAACCTCGTTATATTCTTTTTTTTTATTTTCCGAGTAAGGCGCCGGTGATATTTCAAGCCCTTTTACAACCAGGTGTTAACTGTTTAGTGACCTCATTAACACATTTATATGGAACTACGATTGTTCGGAAGTGCGAGTTTCAGCTTGTTAATCACCTCGTTCGCAACTTCCCTCCCAATGGCCATTGTCCATTGTTTCTGTCTCTTCTTATGCCTTGTTTTGCCGCTACTCACACCTCTCCGTTGCTCAGCCATGTTTACCATTTTTCTTTCAGATCTTCAAGATGATTCCTCGATACGCACACATTGCTATACTTTTCTTGGCAATTGTACTTTTTGACGCAGCATTTGCCAGAGACAAGTTCGTGGACATTATTATTCAGTTTTTTTTATCTTCGAACTAAAAGTTTGTTCAAAAGTTTTTTTTTTTCTGTTACCATTCTATTCGAGTAACGTTTTATTTCAAAATACAAGTTTTTCTTCTTAAAAAATGGTCGAATTGTTTGACAAAAAAAAACCGTCGCACTTTTTACGGCCATGTAATGAAATCGTCTGTCGGTATATTTTGGCTGTTCCACTGAAAAAAAAACGGGACGCTTGGCGCCAGAATAAAAAATTAAAAGCCGTAGGAACCATGAAAAAGTTTACAATCGACCTTTCAACAGAGAATGAAGTCGTAAAGGGTCTCGAAAATGACTGACTTCTTGTTCAAAGAACGTTTTTGAAGAAGAAGGTCAAAATAATATTGCCGTGTGTTTTGACGTTCTCCTGTGGGAAAAGGGACCTGCAGGACAATTATTATCGGAAAGACTATATATTTTCAGATTCCTTGTACGAAAAGGAGGTCGGTTAGATAGATTGCACAAACGAACGCTCAGCGAATGGAAACACGCGGCGCATCATCATAAATCTCGAAGACACAGGTAGGCAAGCAAATTTGGAAGGAACGGAACAAAAATTATGATTTGAGAGTTATAGTGGAAAACTACCAGAAGTCTCACACTTCAATTTTTTGTATCAATATGGAATTGAAAGTTCTAGAAATGAGACTCACAAAAAAATTTTATCTTTTTTTATTGTCCAAAGGTTTTGAAACTTCGAACAGTTTTGTGAGATGATTGACATCAAACTGATGTTTTGAACTTTTGCGTAGGCTTCAATTTTTTTAAATAATCACCTTAGTTCACTCACATCAAGATCCAGTTAGTTTCATTATCAACAAGAAGGATAAGAGACGAAAAGAGTGGTCTCATTCTTCAAATTAACAGGCACAAAAGACGAAGACACTATCGTGACGGTGGATTCCGAATAGACCACGTCCTGGCGCAGATGGATTCTTTCGTTCGGCCTCGGTTTGGCCGTTCCGTCGGCTTTACCGATTGGCGAAACCACGTCTCTTAGTCAACCCTCTTTACTAGGATCTTCCAATTTTACAGCGACCGGGCAGAATCGTTTCCGTTTCATTTCTTTCTAGCATTCTCCGATTATAATTGAAATTTTTCGACATAGGGAGTGGTCGAACTTTGAGTTCACATTTTTCAACACGCCTTGAAAATTGAGAGCTCCGACATGAAGGAAATTGCCTTCAAAAAGTCGGAATTATTCCCTTTGAACTATTCTTTTCGGCATGACGACGTCCTGAATTAGACGGTATTTCTCCAGCTTAAACCAGAGTTTTTTAGTAAATCAGCTAGGGAACTATTATTTTCCGAAACGGAAACTTCTGCTCAAATTGTTTCTATTGTTTGTGCATATTTTCCCGGCTAGCGTGCGTGAGAATCCACGCCTCGACGGCCCATTTCCCAGATGGCTTTTCACTTGGATGCTTTATCAATCACTTTACCACTCGTCTCACTTTGCCCCCGTCTTCAAGCTTTCAAACTCAACGTTTACATCTCAACTTATATCTCGAACTCTTACTGCCGAATTTTTTTTCTTCAACAGGGAACGATTTTGAAACATTGGATTTTGGAAAGTTCTGAGCAAAAAAGCTTTGAATCGAGGTAGGACTGAGAAAATTCAAACTCTGTTCCTTTTTGAACCTGAAACTTTTGTTTTTTTGTGTTTATTGTTCACTCGTGTCTGTATAAATTGTAACTTATCGGAAATACTCTTGTTAATAAACTATTTTGATAATACGCATTTGTGAAACGAGATCTAAAAGCGTTGAAACTATGAAATTCCAAAAGCCCTGCTTCCTGGATGCGTTTTTTTCCTAAGATTTTTTTTGTTGATTAAATTGAATCAGTGTCATCGAATTTTGATTGCCGTATTCAGAAAGGTCAGAGTTGCTTTGTCATCCTTTTCATTTCATTTTTTTTCATTCCAACGAAAACGTATTCTATTACTTGAAAAGCCAATTTGAATATGTATTTTTCACAATCAAAAATGTGAATCACTCAGAAACACAACACGAAAATTGGGAAACAAGTTCTAACCAAACGGAAAAAATTTACTCGAAACAAAGTCATTTTGAATTCAAATTTTTTGGTTTTCTTCGTCAAATGTTAAATGATGGCATCTAACTAACGTCAAGAAATTATATGTATGGAAAGGAATTTCACGAAATTGCCAGAAATTCAAAACGTTCGCATTTGGTTTTGGGTTGTTGATCATGAAGAAGAAGAAAAATGTCGTGCGAAAAACAAGAAATACAAGGTATGCGGTAATTCGAGCAGCTCAAAAGCTTTTCCCACCAAGCTTTCTGGATCTTGAAGCGTCCTGTTTCTTCCAAAACCGTATATTCCGCTCATTTTTTTCTCAATTAATGCTGAATATATTTTTGGGAGAATCATAACTTTCATTTTCCGTTTTTCATTTTAAAAATTTCACAATAATCTCAAAAATATAAATCCTCAAAAGTTTGTCACTCACTTTTTTTTTTGAAAGGTTCATGTAGACCATGTTGCACACTTTTTTTGGAGCTGACCCTATATTTATAAATATTAAAAGTGAGCATTTCCAAATTTTTTTCTCGTCTGCCCTTTCGGGAAATGTCCTTAAAAAAATTGTCTGTCCCTGCCCACAGCTCTTTCGCATCGCATTGAATTCGCCTTTCAACCTTTTTTCGAAGAAGGATACTATAAAATAGTCCGAAAATTCCTAAAAGCTGTTCTTGTCTTCTCTTTTCAGTTTGTCAAATCTTCTCCTTTATAATTACTGTTTCAATTCATACTTTTTATCAAAACTCAGTTTAAGATTCCTACCTCATTGTACTTTTTAGGTTTTGGACGTTTCAGGTTTCTAAAAAAAAGCTGAAAAAGGGCGATTTCACATTGTATACACCAACATAAGCCAATAAAAAAAACAAAAACAAACTGCTTCGAGTTGAGACGATTTCGGAAAACGAAAATAAATCAAGTATGGTGTGGCTCGCATTGCATATAATGACGGCGTCTCGAGGGAGAACAAGGCTGCTCGAAATTTGACAGACCACTTGAAAACGTGAAAATCTCGAAGGAGGTTCAAATTGATAAAACAAAAAAGTGATTTGTCTTCTTCGGCTTCCCGTTTGATGTCATTCCTCCGCCTACGAGGTTTGGTCTCCGGGATATGTTGCGAGCCACAACTTTACGACTAGGAGTTGTGGTGAAAACTTGTAGAAACTATTCTGAAATTTTGTCATGACTGTCATTGTAGAAGCCTTTTCTGATGTTGATATTCTCATGGTTTTCTTGTATTTCATTTTTAATGCCCAATTCAACAAAAAAGGCCCTTTTTGGAACTTTTCTGTATAGCCAATTCCTCATTTGTTCGGTAAACCATTTACTTCTCAGCATCTGTGGCTGAACACTCCTCTGAATATTGCTCAATTTTTTCTTTGAGGGTTTCTGGCTGAGATAACTTTGAGGTTTTTTTGAAAAACGAACAAGGGTACCATAGTTTCGAAATCATATCTTCAACATGTAAATATTCATCCACTTTTAAGATCTCAGCATCTAGTACATTGAGAACTGTTCCGAGATTTCAAAACATTGATAGAGCTGAGCCCAGAACCTCTCTTTTGTGAGAAACAAAATACCATCAACCCTGCTAAAATGGAATATCTTTTTGAAAATCAAAATTTGGGCTTCCGAAAATCATCAAGTTTGCGGTTTAGAAACTTCGCTTCGATCTGCTGAAAAACAACGTGTCCATCTACCCACGTCATACTTCTAAACTTTTCCCTTCTCGGCCTTTCTGCCCACTGTTTTGTTGGAACTTACTCCCACTCTAAATATGAAAGAAATACGCTCCAGGATATTTGCTAATATCGCTTATTGCAAAATGAAATAATCGCCGCGGGCCATTTGGTGGTTATTCAGGTATAAAAGGGGCTCGACGCGTCTGCAAACACTTTGCAATTGCCCCTCCAAGATGGTCGCTTCCATCCAAGCCGTACTTCTTGCCTCTCTGTTGTTTGTCGCAGTCTTCGCTCAGTCCTTCGATGACCTCAGGTTTGTGGTGTATAACAAATTCCATGACTTGCTACTCTCAACATTCAACCTGGGCCAGAAGTTCAATTCAATTCCTCTTGTTTTATTCACGATTTCAGTGCTGAAAAAAGAGCCATGCGTAACGCTTTAGTGCGTTTTGGGCGAGCAGGAGGCGGTATGAGAAATGCGCTAGTAAGGTGAGTAACAACTTCATTTTTTGGTTTTTAAAATATCCTTTTCAGATTTGGAAAACGGTCGGCGATAGAAGAGGAAGACTACGACTCGAGCGTTCAAGACAAACGTAACGGTGCCCCGCAGCCTTTTGGTAGGTCTAATTACGTAACGTTTCTAGTTTGTCCAATGTTCCTTGCCTAACACGTATCTGCTCCAATTTGAGAGCGGATTATGCCTGGCTTATGTGTTTTGTGAGCTTTTGTGTCGTCTTCAGTTCGGTTTGGCCGCTCCGGACGTTTGGACCACATCCACGACATTTTGTCAACGCTGCAGAAGCTGCAGTACGCCAACAGCAAGTAGAGTCTCTGATGCGGATTCTGCAGCAGCCTCAGCTTCAGACGACCAACTGACCTTGATCTTCTCATCCTCTAGTCACACCCTTCCACTTAATTCATGTATGACTCTCTTGCAAATGACGTAATAAAGGCGTTGTTAAAAATATGGTATTATAAATATTCTTTGTCAATGAAAATATGTACAGATTTAAACACGATGATGAGAAAGAGACCGATTTTTGTCGCTTTTTCGAGCGTCACTACCGGTAACAAAAGAAAAAAGTGAAACCCATCAAAAAGAAAATTAGAAGGGAGATATAATGGAAACTGAATTTTCAAGAAGAGATGTGCAAGCTCTGCTAAAAACTTAATTTTCCAAAACAGAAGGTTTTCCATAAACAGAAAATTAACTTGGGTACTTATCTGGATTCAATTGGTGAATTTTCTATCTTGTGCCAGCTAAATGTTTGTAAAGCATCGGATTGATGGTGACATAACGAGGGTCGAGATCGAGTTTTGCGTCGAAAAGCACACGAGAATGGTAGCCGAACTCGTCGATCAACACCCGATTGAAGATTTTGTACCTGAAAACCCGAATAATTTGACATTGTTGGAATTTTTTATATTCAATCAGACTTCTAAGACTCTTTTTAACCAAATTCAATCTGGCAAAATTTAACGAGGCGTCAAGAAAATTAAATCATTCGCTGAGAGAAACTTGCCCAAAAACTTCCTAGGGACTCGAGACAAGAGTTTAAAAAAACTTAAAAATTTTCAATCAGTACCTGTTGCCGACAAGTCCACCGAGGAAGTTGAGATAGCCGGATCGGATCGCGTGGGGCTGAACAATTACTTGCCACAGAACATATCCCGTGGTGATCGTGTATAGAATTATCTCTCCATGAGGGACTAGAGGCAGGTATCCACGATCCACCAAGTCGAAGTATAGAGACTTAAAATTTAGGATTTTTTGCTTTCAACTTTTTTTTCAGACCTCGATGGCTTTCCACATGCAGTACATAGCAATGCTGACGTTCGGAAAAACTAGCATAGAGAGACCAGCGAGAGAGCCTGACGCTACATTTCTCACCGTCTTGGAGATACCGTCCACTCGATTCAGAGAACAGCGTGAAGCCTAAAAACCCATGTTTCTTGTACTCAGTTTAAAAAAAAGGCTAGAATAGCATGCATAAAAAGGCAAAAATGACATTTTTTTTCAATTCTAGAAAACTTTCTTCAATTACCCCACTTAATATATGATAAAAACAAATCCTGAAGCCACATTCGTACAGAAAAGAAAAAAACAAACATTGAAAATTAAAGGCAGGAGCCCGACAAACAACGGAATTTTGAAGTTTTTGGCGGCAAACAACATAGAAATGAGCTTTGTTGGACTTTTGAACAATAGTCGGAAGTTGCTGATAAGCGTCAAGGCAGAACTTGCGCCCAAGCCAACAGCGAAGTTTTTTTAATAAAACCCTGAAAAAAATTATTAAAAAAAGTAAGTTCGAATTTTTTTGCATACCTCTGTACACACACTGACACAAGAGTGCACATGTTCGCAGTTTTTCGTCCTGCCGAAATCTGTCCTTAGCTTGTGAAGGAATGCATGGAAATCGTCAGGAAGCTTCTTTCCATCCAAAATTTCTTTGCTCACGTTCAACTTGATTGCTCCACTGAAAAAAAAAAGTCATAAATTCATTTCTCAATTATTTTCCATCTTGGTTTTGGCGGGATTAAATTTACCTCAGCATATTGGTGAGAGATTTAGAAAGTCGTTCTTTGCTGTACAGGTACATAAACAGGCCGAGACCAACTGAGAAGGGAATGAAAATTCCATGAGGAATCGGTTTGATGTATCCAAAGTTAACCAACTGCCGGAACAAAGTTTCGGATGCCTGATAAAATATCAGAACTTTAAATCCCTTGTTCTTCAGTAGATTACCAAATTTGTCAAATAAAGTGCGAGAGCAGATCTCCTGGACGGTTTTTCGAAAAGAATCGCACTGAAAGAAGCCATGCAACTAGATATAAAACCCATGCTGATGGGAGTGAAAAATCCGAGCAAGTGTCTGAAATGCTCATCATTCGATTGTATTAAAACAATCATGATACCTTAATTGACAGAGATACATCAAGAAGAAAATCATATTCATTGTCAAAAACACAGAAGACTGAAGGACGTCCCGGATAAATCGACCCCAATCAACTTTTTTTAGATTTCCTCGTTTGGAAACAAGCGTGGCTAGCTATAATTATAACTTCATCACTTTTTTTGTTGATAGGGAAACTCACAAAGTAAAATGAGAAATAAGTTTTCAAACAGAACAGAAAAGCGCCAGGGGTCGCTTGCTGAAAGGTTGAACTGGACTTTTCTTTGGCTTTTCTTCAGAACTCACCCATGTGGCTTTGTAGCAGTTGGGCTCCCAAGTGTGAATCGTTTCATAGCAGTTTGCTGTGGAAATCTGCATTCCCAGAGCATGAGCTAATTTCGACAAGTTGCCCATCTGGAATCAGTTTTTGTAGTAACAAAAGCAAAAATATTTGGACAAAGGCCAGTTCATCGGAAAAAAACGCGAGAATAAAACAAAGCCATTAAAATTCACCAAATTGTCTACACTGTAGGCTGAGACGCTGTGCTGAGAAGATGAGCGCAATCACACCATCCGCATCAAACTAGACCACATTTCCCTACTACTTCAACCGTGTTTTCCATTTCTCAACGCCATGGTAGAAAAAAGCTGGCAAATGTTGCGAAAAGCCTTATCAATCTCGAAGATACGGATGCGGCGTCTGATAACGGAACATTGTTGCAATTTGATTTCCCAAAAAGAAAATGCTAAATTTTTCTTCACTGCTTGCTTCCGAATTTTTTCATACAATCATCTAGGGAAAAACCTTCCCCGTATTCTTAAACAAAACACCAGTGTGCCTTGTGTGGATAAAAAAAAATTTATGGATCATAAAAAACGTCCTACTCGATGGTACCATTTTGCGAAAATAAAAAAAAATCATTTTTAATGTTTATGGCGAAGTTTGAATGGAAAAAAAGAGCGATAAAAACTTTTCTGGCATCAATAAACACAGAAATAACAACTCATAAAGGTTACCTCATCAAACTTTTGAGAACTCTCCTTTGAAAAATTTGAAGACATTTTTGAGCAGCTTTCAATGAAAAAGTTATGACATCCAAAAAAAAACAGCTCGCAAAAAAAGTTTGACAAAAGTTAACGAGTTTTTTTTCAGAAAAATCTTATACAAAATCAACGAAGTCATAACTTTATTTGAAATGTACATGTAAAGTAACCATTTCACAACGAATCTGTATAAATGCAGCTAAAAAAAAATCATCACATAGAATTCTCATCACAGATGTTTCATTTGACAACGGAGCATAAATAATAAAGCCGTGAAAGTTATCGCACCAAGTGAAATTTATTCCTAAAAGAACTGGGATATGAAAAAACCGTTGATTTATGTACATTCATGAAAAACAAAAAAATAAATTAGAGGCTTCAAGTAGACCTGAACTAACAGAGTTCAAAAAAAAAGATATTTACAGAAGAGGATCGAAAAAAAAGTTTCAGATCATTCGAAAGTAGAAGTTTGAAAATTGGAAAACAAAAAAAGAAAGGTTTGAAACTTGGTCCGATCAGAGTGCCAGACTAGAAGACAGTCCGTAGAACAGGTTAGGCGCTATCAACGTCGTCAAGAATGGCCACTTCGTCGTCTGCGTCTGCGAAGCCATTCATTTCTCTCCTTGTTCTACATGCTTTTTTATCAGTCCTTTTATTTATTTTGATCATACTTCCAATATTATTATTCTCGCTTTTTTAGAAAATTTTTTTTTTGTTATAAGATTCTTGTTGCCTACACAGCGTTTATAAATTTACATTGGTTGAAAAACTGGGAATTGACAATATTAAGCTACAGAAATCCAGTTGCGCAATTTCGGAAAGTTTTAAACGGCCAAAATATTTTCAAATGTAAATTTCTAAGTTCGGATTTTTGCGAATAAGGATTGCATACTTTGAAAGGATATTTTCTACTTCTCCAAAATCAAAATCGCTCTAATTTTGGTTTTTTGTATCATTGATAGGCAATTGTCTGAACTATGACTTCCCATCCCCAACAAAAACCTGGTCTTCTACGGCTTCTGCTGCCAATTGTCGAAGGAATCAGGCTGATCAAAACTACCAAGGCTAAAATCAAACATCCTCCAGGAACGTAAACCATAACTTGTCGGTAGAAGATTGTACATGCCTTGTGAGGTTTCAACGCACTGGAAATTTCAAAACTGAAAGTAAAAAGGAGATAATAAGAAACTCACTCGCAAGTTGGATTCCACAGCTCGATAATCTGGTAAGCTACTCCATTTGTGAGCTTATCTAGAAAACTCATAGCTCCATAAACAAATGCACCGCTCTCCTGAAAAGAAAAATAATTGTATTTTCACACGGAATTTTTCCTACAGTATTTTTATTGATGAGATCGGCTGTTATTGACAAGGAAGTTATCAATAAAATCGCTTGAGTTATGCCAATGACTATTGATAGGGCGTAAAGTTGCCAGCCAACCAGGTCGAAAAGCATTCCGATGCATGCGCACACTCCCGTAGTCAGCCCAAAAGCGAATAGAATCTGAATTTTGAATGAAATCAAGCTTCATCAAAAACGGAAAAAATGAATGAACCTTCTTCGAAAAGAAATCCCCAATAGCTGGCAGACTGATCAGCATAGAAATACAGAAAGAGGCGATGTAAGAAACCATTGGCAGAATGGCAACATACTTCTGAAAACTTCGATGAAACTTTTTCATTGAAAACTAATAACCTTGTCACAATTCTGAGTGAGTGTGATGTAGAAAGGAAAATAAACTTGAGATATATTTATATAAAGCCGAGACAGCATGTAAAGCAGCGCTATCTGAATCATTATATTTCTTCGGGAAAAAAATTGTGTCTCACCTGGTAGAACTGAATATGGCCAAACCAACTGGTCCAGTGCATCCTCATGAGCTCACTGGCTTCAGATGAAAACGAGTTCAAACGGCTGGAAAGAATTATCCTCTGTCAAGATGATTTCCAACCTCAATCTTCGCCCATGAACCGGCTCCCGAGTAAACGCGTAAAACCCGATGGTAACAACTATTCCGAGGGTTACAACCATCAAACCAGAAAACTGAAACCCGACACTATTTAAATACACAATTGTTTTACTTACTCTGAAATGCTCAAAATCCCATGGGCCGATCGATTTATGGCTTGTACTTCCTGATAAAAGCCAAGCAAGCGTGAAAAACACCGTCAAGTTGGCTATAACGCTGAACGAATATCTGAAAAGTGGAACTATTACCAAAAAGTCGATAAAGAAAACGCTTACCTCAGAGAGTTCATAGTTGATCTACTTGATGGGAGAGAAGAGAGTTCAGGTATCAAGGCGAGGTGAGAGATCTGCAGAAAAAAATAAGATAAGTTTTCTGTAGGATTCCAAGGAATTCTATTAGAAAAAGAAACATGAAAAAGACAATTTTTTTCTTTCTCAGTTTCACAAATTTTCCAGTGATCAGCATCAGAATAATATTACAAAAAAATTATCAAAAAAATACTTTCCCTTACGGAAAAATGAATCCACCACCGGGATCACTATCCGAAAAAAACTAATAAATCTGATAAAAAAACATCTACTTGACTGTCCCGCTTAATTTAAAACTATTACATACAAAGATTAGTTACTGAAAAGTTTAATTAACGTAAGCATGCAGATTATACACAATATATGAAAAACTGCCTGCATAAACTTGTAGGAAATAACAAAGCTGAAACAGAAAATGACATGTTTCAAAACAAAAAAAAATGAGTGAAAGTTTTTGAATTTTGTCAGTATTCTTCACATTTATGTCATTTATTCACTTCGATTCAACTTCAGAAAAAAGACAAAGACTGGAATTAACCTGGACAGACGCCCAGCCGAACTGGAAGACCATGATAAACGGCACAAACCAAGCAACAGCGTACCATTCGGAAGTGGAATCAGTGCAAAGCAAGCATCTATTGAAAATGAACGGAAACGAGACAGACACCAGGATTGTTCCTGAAAAGCTCATGAGCCAACAAATAACACACAAATCGATTTATTTTGTCATAAATTTTAAGTTTTTCAAAACAGTGGATTATTGAATGAATCAGGACAAAACTAGGAAAACACAGGGACTACAGGAAACATTTTAAAAGTTATCTGTTTAAAATCGTATCAACTCGAAATAGTGAGAATTATCTATGAATCAGTATGCTGAACGGGTTTCTACTTACTATGGTTGAGAAATGATTTATAACTGTTACATAAAAAACGAAAGGATAGTGTTTCATGACGAATATAAAATAAGCTACAGGTAAGAACAATGAAAAGCTGCTAACGGGTTTCATTTACTATCACAAAACAGAAAAATGCCTTATTAAATAAAACTCACCTATGATGTGCCACGAAATGCGTCGACCGATTTTATCAAAAGCAGACGGCAAAATGTTGGAATCGCTGAATATCCCGACCAAAGGCGTGGAAACCGCGTCAGTGACCTTTAATTAGAAATTTGGAACCCTATCAATTTCCGGACTTTAATAAATAAAAACATACCTGTCCAATCATCATCAAAAAACCAGCTCGACTACTGCGAAACTTCAGAACTTTTTCCATAAAGATCATCAAATATGTGAACCACATGCTTGCCGCCAAATCGTTATAGAAATGCCCAACTCCTAAAAAAAGCTTAACTTTAAAAAAATAAAGTTAAAGATTACCAAATGATAATTTTTTTCACGAATGAAATGTCGTGATCGAAAACACTTCTGGAGTTGACGATTCTTTCCTGAAAGTTTTTAGTTTTTTGAAACTTCCAAAAAAGTGAAAAGGATGAAACAAAAAACTCACATTGGATCTTTCTCTGACTGGAATAACTTCGGAATCATCTTCGGGAACATCCACCATCGACCTTAATCACAAACTTTATAATTTTTGAAATGACATTGAAATAATGAAAAAAAAAGTAGAAATTGGGGGAAAATCTGAAGAAGTAGGAGCTTATCGATGAGACAAAACAAAAAAGTAACTTCGTGATCCTTTAAATATCAAAAACTATTTATTCGGGTTTTGAACCCGAAAAATGAAAAGTAGCAAAGTGCAAAAAAAGAAATTTCCCAAAAAATGCGTGGAAAAAATGCTCCACCGCAATCGTCGTTCAACAAACTCCGTGAAGAGTTTTAATTTATCATGACCAAACGTATGAATGAATTCTCGACAAGCTTTACCGCAAAAAAGAAATTTCTCAGATCAAATCTTTGTGATGAACTTCTCTCAAATGATCCATAGTTTTCTCTCAATTCCAAAAGTACAGCACTGTTGAACGTAATTCTTCTAAATAAGCTCTGATAAGATATCTGGCCACCAGAACAGCATTGTGACGTTATTCTGGCCGGCACAAAGCAGAAAAAAGAAACAAGGCACGTGAATGGCGGTCGGCAGACAGATTGGAAATTTCAAACAAGGTGTATGGTGTTTATTTTCTGACGCAAAAATAGCCACAGAAACAGACACGGTTTCAATAAACATTTTGAAAGTACACAATAACTATTTATATTCATAAAAAACAGTTTATATTCGATTATAAATTCTTCTAAAACCACCATTATAAAAAAATCGCGGTAAAAAAACTTTAAGCACTACATAATTTCTGATAGAAATGTAATTTCAGAATTCCAAATGAGTAAAGAGTTTCGAATGATATGAAAACAGCCGAGATTAGAACAATTTGGGGAAGGACATTTGAGGAGGCCGACAGATCAGAGAAACTAAAAGAGGCTGTATAAGCCCACGAAAACCGGTCTTTTTCCCCCAAAAAACGAACCAGACACTCATTTCAACATCGTCCTTTTTCTACGTTTATTGTTTGAATCATTTCATGGTTTCTTTTTTAATCAAAAAATTTTATGTAAGGTAAAAATGATACCTCAAATTCAACAAACGAGGCCCTTATTTTCAGTTCAAAAGTTTTTTTTTACCCAATTGGATTAAATTCAAGTTTGTTCATGTCTACATGAAAAAATTCTTGTAATGACAAAGAACATTTGATGATAAGATTTCACAAAACAACACATCGCTTTGATTTAACCAACGAGATGAGTTATCTCATTTTTTCTATTTTTCTTGAAGTCAGTAATTTGATCTCATTCCTGATTAGCTCCAAATTACATCTGAAAAAGGTCTGTCTGTTTAGCAGTCTGCAGGAAAAAATTACCTTTCAGACTTTTTGGTTTTAGAAACCCCATTCAGAACCTTCCATTGTAACGCTCGCCCTCGAACTTTCCACCAAAAAGAAGAAACTATAGAAAGTTCATATTTTCACATTCAAAAAGATGCTTGATTGTTCCATGCTCAAACCAGACACCAGTTTCCCGAAATTTTTTGAGTCGTAGCCAACCTGAAGTGTGTCAGTGTTTACCAAATCGATAGTCTGCCGCCAACGTTTGTATTCACAGACAATTTGTCGTTTTGCACTTCTCCGCTACTTCGAAACAATAAAATGCTGAGAAATTTTCATCATGCTTCAATTCCCTTAATAGAAACTAGATCATGATACTGTATTTTTATCCTGAAAAAGATCTTGAGAATTTCCAAGATTTTAATAGACTCAACTTTTTCCATTTATTAATCGTCCTCGGTTTTTGATTTTAGTGGTCATAAGGCGAAAGATTTTAAATATTTTTAGTGAAATTTGACCGTTTTCTGTTTCGAGAGGTCGCCCTTTCATACTACAAAAATCGTCGAGCTCAAATGTTTCAAAACGAACCAACGTGGTTTTATCTTATCAGCAGTTCTTAGACCTCTTCTTTCCCTTGTCTATTTCTTTTTGAACTCGTCAACCTCGTCGAAGTTCTTTTGATTTCATCATTTTCCTCGTTTTCTCAAATTTCACATGATTTTCGTTCACAGCAATGAAACTCTGTGTTGAAAAATTTTCGAGAAGTCCATTTCTTTTCCTTTTTAGCTCTTTTCTGACTAGAAATTTTTGAGAAAACGCAGAAGCCTTATAATTGTTTGAAGACCAACTTTCAACCTTTTTTTTTAATGAAGAACAATCGAATCGTCTTATTTATCGAAATCGCAGATGCAAAAATAAAGTTTGGCACTACAAAAAAAAAATCAAACTCGTTGAATGAACTTTGAACTCGTGGAAAAACTTTCATAGTTCTTTCGGATTGATTTTATCGCTGAAAAGCTTTTTTTTGATTAGTCGTTTTTGATCATATCAACAAGCCGATCTCAAAAATTAAAGTAAAAATTGATTTTTTTCTTCCAAAAATTGATGCCGAAAAAGTGTAGCTATGACGACGAACTTTTTTTGGAACTCAGCCTAGATTTTAAGTGTTGCTCAAAGCTCCACATTTTTCTCGCAGAGTTTTTATGAGCAAATCTTGCCTTCAGATTACTATACGAATATCTTTCAGGAGAATTGAAACAGCAATGTCATGCTTGGTGTGCGAGATGACGGCCAGCGGACAGCACTTTGGAGTGAGGTGCTGCCGTGCCTGTGCCGCATTTTTTCGTAGGACGCTCAACATGAGTCTTCGCTACAAATGCCGTTTTGAGCGCAAGTGCGAAGTTACCCTGAGTGAGTTTTTTTTAGAAAATAATAAAGCTGAAGATCTTTTTGAAATCAAAAGCGTCACAAGTTTTGCTTCTAGACATAATTTTACTCCTTTCAACGCTTGCTGTAGGCGGAATCGACTAAAAATACTTTTCTGAGGCTTTTCATATTTTTTTTTGCCACTGTGAGAGAATCTACATTTTTTATCTTGAGACATAATTCCAAGCAAATCATTTATATATTTATATGTTGAATTTTTTCAGACAAACGGTACTCGTGCAGGTTTTGTAGATTTGAAAAGTGTCAGAAGCTTGGAATGAAACGAGAAAGTGAGTCTTTTTTATCGACTCTCAAAGTTTTCATTTGTTTTTTTATCGTATCGGCAATTTCCTGCAGAAAAAAGAGTGTTTCAGATCCTGGACCGACAAAAATTTAAAATTTTTTTTTTCAGTGGTACAAATAGGCAAGAGGACAGAAGTAAAAATGGAGCATGAAGAAGTTGACGTCAACAACGACAGTGCTGGAGAATCTCCTTCGTCGTCTGTGGACTCTGTACATTTGAATCCTGGAGTGACATCTGCAGCTCCAAGCACCAATGCAACTTTTAATTATGAAAAAAGACGATCTGAAACGAATCAACCAAACATTTCCCTGCTCCACCGCTCCGTCATCGAAGAGGTTTTGATGATTTTCTTTAATTTGGAAATATGAACAAGGTTAGGGACCGCAGGCCAATTTCCAAAGTCAGTGATATAAAGTTGAAACCTATATGAAAAGAAAGATGATGGCAATCGATAGCTAACTGCGAAAACAGAAAAGAAAAATATGAAAAATGAAAAAAAGTTATAAGCAAAAAAAGTGGCGAAATCGGGGGAACCACTTTTTGTGTAGAAACTTTCGTCAGGGTCGCAGGAAAAAGGGGCGTGTTTATAGATGCCGCGCGCTCCTTACTGTGCGTTAACTCACGCAGGAGACGTTTCGAAAAACATATTTATTTGAGTTTTTTTAGAAGTTTTTAAATGAAATATTAGAGTTTTCATATTGAATATTGCTCTTTTTTTCAATATCAGCCTACTCTTCAAGCACTCACGCTGCTGAAAAAGCGAGTTTTGAAGAAGGTTTCAATGCATTTGGTAAAAAAAGAAAATAACCGACAAAATAGACCTTTGCGAAGGACGAACAGCATTAAACCGAATTGAAAAATGTAACAGTCTACTAAGAAATTTACTGAAAAAAATATGTAAATAATCACCAAGTCCTTTTTTTCAGAGAGTTTTTTTAAAAAGGCGAAAGCGTTTTTTTACTTTTTGATTTTCTACTTCTTTTTATTTTTTTTCTCTAAAGTTTGTGCGTCTACATGGAGTGTACGTAGACAATTTTTTTAGAATTCTTTACTTGACATTCTGAAAAAAATTCAAAAAAAGTTGAGTAAAAGCGAAATTTAATACTTTTTCTCGCTGCTACAATGGATATAATGATATAGGAAAAAAAGATTCCAATTGTGTAATGAGTAAAAAGCAACTGTTAAGCCACAATAAAATGAGAAAACTTGAATAGAATACATAAATAGTTTAAAAAAAACCTTCCTCACACTTTCGAAAAATTTCGTGGCCTTCGCGGTGTCTGCAGATTTCCAGCGACGCGCAGTTTTAAAAATAACTTTCGAGCGTTTAAATTAACCATACTTTTCGGGCCATCCTAGGAATTTTTTTATTTTTTGATATGTTGTAGAGAAATGTCTAATGTTTGATATTATGAAATAAAAAAACTTGCCCAGAACGCTTTGGGCCGTTTTTCAAAGCGTTACGAAAAAAACCGAAATTTTAAGCTTTCATATAAACTATATAATCGATGAAAAAAACTTAGTTTTTCTTTTTTTGCAAACAACTGCAAACAACCGTTTAAAAAAATATAATCAGTAATTATCGATTGCGTTTTTTTCGAAAAATAAGGAATTTCGAAAAATCGTGATTTTTCAAATTGCGTTATTTTTTTGAGGCCAACCATAGAAATTTTTTTATTTTTTTGCCAGAATATGCGTTTTTAGTTGCTTTATGATATTCAAGAATAAAAAAAGTTGCCCAGAAACTTTCAAGAAAAAACGGGATTTTTATCCGTTTTCGGCCACAAATGCGTTTTAAAAAAACTGTCGTCGTACATTCTTATTTCTCATTTTTTTCAGTATTTTTCTTTTTATGTAGGATTGTTAAGCTTAGCCGATTAAATGTTTCCCCAATTTTTTTCCCAAATCGGTACAAGAAAAACTGTTTTAAAAATATAAAAAGAACCAAAAATGCAACGAAAAATGATGAAGTTTTTTTGAACAGCGAAGTGGGCGTGGCTCTGCGGTCCCTAAACAAGGTCTTTGAAAAATTCGTAATACATCAGAAGTTGCCATTTTTGGTCCTAAAACTCTCTCTTCATGTCTATTATCGGTTTTCAAAAAAAAAATCCTCACACATGTTTTTTTAAGCATCAAATTCAAAGACATCATTGGAACGTCGGTTCAGAAAAAGTACACCATCTCGATAACCTTCAATTGATAAATAAAAAAGTTTTCGAGCCAGTTATCGAAAAAAGTGCGTTTGGAATGTGAAAAAACAAGATAGAAACAAAAAATCTAGAGGTAGCTGGAAAGCTTGAAAAAAATGTGAGAAAAAAAGAACTTGCCTCAGCTGGACTGGATACTCTTAACACAAAATGAAGAAAAAGACTCCAACCTGGATCAGTTTTTTTGAGAAAAAGTTTAATTTTTTTGTAGTCTCCAGAGTTTGTTAAATTTTTGAAATAAAAAACTTTTTTTTATTTTCTCGAAAAATTTGAAAACAAGTCACCTTCTTTTTTTAGGTTGGAAAAGCCGTCTTACCTTCAGTTAAACGAGAAGCGGAGTGTGGAAGCGATTCTGAAGCTTCCCAAAGTACCATTTTTGCCTTGGCTGCTGCTCAGGCGACGCAAGATCTCCATACGAACGTTCAGCAAATTTTAACGCCAGCCATAGATGCGATGTTCGACAAAGTGAGTACGCTTTATTTAATGAAAATGGCCTTTTATTACTTAGAGAACATTTCAGAACCCCGACGAAATTTGTTCGTTTCCTGCTATTCCACTAACAATCTGTCAACAGGCGTTATTAGCTTATCACGAACACAACCGACAATGGCCTTCTCAGGACAATGTAAGATCGTATTTCTGAAATATTCATTTTTCAATTTGTAAAAAAGAGGGTCAGGAATTAGTTACATACAGGCTGCTTTAGAACGTTGAACACTATCCTTTTCAGCTCAAAAGTTCGAATGAAAAGAAGCTTTTCAGTTGCGTGAAACGAAATCCCTAGACATGGAAGTGTTCATGCGCCACCACTACATAGAAATCGAGCACATCGCCAGATTTTGCATGTCCATTCGAACTTTTGCCCAACTGCCTAAGGATCAGAAGGTTTAAGATTTGAAAGACTTTTGTAATCACCATATTCCAGTGGATCATTTTCAAGCACTTTTGGACGCGATTTTACGAGCTCGATCGGAGTTTTGCCACTTGTCAACGTCTTGGATACAACATCGAAGACGAAAGATGCGTCTGTTTTGACGGCCTTATCGTGAACATGGGCATCAGCATTGTGAATATCGAAACTTTCAGTGACATGGATGCTAACGAAGTCAAAAGGTTCAAAAGACCGTGAAAAAAAGGTTAGGGAGGTTTGCAGCTTCATGAAAGGAACACACGAGAAATTCCGGTTGATTTTCATCAATCCCTTCAAGAAACTCCGTCCGTCGGAGTTCGAACTAGTCTACATGATGATGAGCATCATGTGGAGCGTGGGAAGTGAGTTCAAACACGGAGAAGTTATATCTAATCCGAGTAAACTTTAGTTTCCACTCAGCCAGACATAACCGACGAAACCCGTGCAATTGCGAAAAAAGTAGAAAACAGGCTGGCGGAAGATCTACACAACTATTATGCGGAGCAACAGGATCAATCGAAGCCCAACTACGCCAGCAGGATAACCAAGCTCAGTAGCATCGCTTCCGCCGTGAATGTGAGTGATTTTTCAAACCAAAAAATCTTTGAAAAATTCCCAGGAAGTGAACGAGCGGCGACGGGAGGACAGTCAAGTATCGAAAACATTTAACATTTTCAAAAGCGACATATTTTTCAGTGATATTTCTGTTTGATTTAACCTCATTACTTTAATGACTATCTTTGTCGTTCGATATTTTTTGCATTTATTCTGATAGGTGCTATCTTGGAGAAGGAAGTAAAATGAGAATTAGTCAAGAAATTGTATCTCAAAACAGGCTTGATGAGCTTTGAGAAGGCAAATTTATCATATTTTTTACGAAATCTGTAGAACTTCAATTGTTTCTGTTTTCCCATCAGTATTAACCCAATTTCAATTGTTGTTTCGATTCTGATTTTTTGATCATTCCTATTCTCCACAGTCATTTTTTTTCCACTTTTCTTTAATCTCTGAAGTCGGCATTCCATTAATCCCTCAAAAAACAAATTTGTACTTCAAGTTGGTCTCGAATCAGTTAAAATAATCAGTGTGTATAGGAAAGCCAAGAATAAGGACTTTTTTTCGTAAGAAAAAAATGTAAAAAATAAACGTTTACTTAAACTTTTAATTCACAAAACGACCGCATGGACTATTATAAGAAAATGGATTTAGGGTGAAAAAAAGAAGAAGTTAATTTTAAGGTTGTCTGAAAATAAAGGATTCAGCGGGTTTTTGAAAGCTTTCGAAATTGGCGGAAATGTTGCTTTTACAAAAAAAATGTCGGGAAATAAAAAAATACTCGAATATACGAAACAGGTGTACAAAAAACCTTGTGTTTTTTTTTTCTTAAGACTAGGAATGGAGAGACTGTGCAGATTATTACGACAGGATCTTCTGAAGAACATCAAGTAAGTTTTCAGGCACTCGTTAGGTATTTAGAAAGTTGAAGAAATCGCAGTCCCCACGTCTCTTAATAAAGACGTCGCATTTCTTGACACTTTTCCAGTTGTTCAAGAAGTTCTTACAGGACGTTCGGTTGGATTTTTGATAAAACTTTCCTGAAGGGAATTTTAGAATGTCCTGAATCCAGAACAAAAAATATTCCAGCAATCAATTAATGAAGCTTTTCCGACGAACGCGAAATGTGGCAAAGAAGGGTATTCCGTCCTTTTGAAGTGTTCACTCAAAGAGAAGATCTATGTATTGCAAAAATTTATTTCCTTGTTCTGGGATCAAGAGGTTCGAAAATACACGTCAGCCAAGTTTCATCAAAAATTCAACCGGAGACTAAAGATCTTTCCTTTGTTAGTTATATAACATTTATGTATCGCACTGGATCAAACTGAAAGTGAAATCGTAAAATAACCTGAGAAACGTTTCAAGCGCTTACAGTGTTCTCAGATGCCAACACGAAAGTGTAACTGCCCATTATTTTGAAACGATATTTGAGTTTCCGGGAAACTCACCAGGAACACAATGATCGCGAGTGATGGGTGTGAGAAAAGTCCGTGAGCCGACGGCCCACCAATCACTGCTGGCTCCACCTCTTCCATTTATTTAGCGGCTCCGCACACGATTTTTCTAAAACCGAGCAGCAACGCAGCCAGCTGTCAATTGCTTGAGACTTCGGCCATTGATTCATATCAAAACCACAAACCTGATTAACTGCCTTGTCGATAAATCGAGGAGTTTCAAAGATTACTTCTCGATTTTGATTATGGCAGCTTTTCTTGTGGAAAACTTACTTGCTGAAAGAATTCCGGTCGAAGACTCCGTAAAAGGCTCTGGTAAGTCGAAAAAGTTCAGAATCCTCTTTTAGATTCCATTTTGATCGTAATCAGTATTCCATTCTGATCATATTGATTTTTTTCTTTAAAAATTTGAATTTCGAAAAAAACCGATTGTAAAATGTATCAATTACTGTAAAATTGCAGATAATGATAAGCGTAGACTGAAGATGCGACGTGCCAGGACGGCTTTCACTTACGAACAGTTAGCCACTCTTGAGAACAAATTTAAGGTTAGTGAACTTTTTAAAAAAAGATTAAAAAAAGCTACTTTTTTTAACAATTGTACATGTTTCTATCGAAATAGCTCTCGGTCTGCTAACTCATCAAATCAAATTAACTCATACTTATCTTTTTAAACTTTTCTGATTATCAAATTAGCCTTAACCTTTTTGCAGACCTCCCGATATCTCAGCGTATGCGAGAGGCTTAACCTTGCAATTCAACTGCACTTGACAGAGACGCAGGTTTATTTCAATTTATGAGCTAACTTGAAGGGTAATTTATCTAGGTTAAAATTTGGTTCCAAAATAGAAGGACCAAATGGAAGAAACATAACCCCGGACAAGACGCCAATGCTCCGCCGACCCCTCCATCTGAAGAGATTTCTCAGCCAAAGACTTCGAATTCTCCCACTCCCTCTTTCAATCAACTCGTGAGTTTAAAAAAGCAGAAGAAGGAGATTCGACGGTTCAGTATAAAATGTAGCCAATGTCATGCAAGAAGATATCACCCCATAAATTTTGAAAAATATTTGTACTTCCTGTTTCCACAATCTAGGCTTCTTGTTTTGTTGCTCCTGTCGGAATTATATTGGAAAGTTCAAAAATTATTTTTAGTTCAGATTGATGAAGATCTTTTTATCTTTTTTGTTCCAGTTCATGCCATCGATTGTGCCTGCCGTTCAGCAGACGTTTCTTCCGGCTGCTGCTGTGCTTCCGCTCGGGTTCTACAACCTCAACTCCATTATGGTACAGCAAAAACTCAGTTACAACTAATCATTTCATCTAGAAAAAATTTTATTGAACGGGTTTGTACATTATTTTTCTTGTTACTTTAACACTTTAAAGAGCCCTTGCTCGCTTCTTTAGGGAGAACTACTAACTTTTCAAAATTGAATATGTTAAAGTATTCATTTTTTTCCCTTTCCAATAGTTTCTGTAGCAGTTCAGCCCAATGAAGTCCTTTATACCCCGTGAATCTTTTTTTTTTCATTTATTGCTCATTCATCTACTCACCATATCAACTTTAGAGCCGGAACATGTGTTTTCTCATAAAACTTTTATATTTGTCGTTAGTGAAAGCAGAACTAAGCGATTGCAACCGACCATGTTGCCAACCAAACGACACAATGATGATTGGAAGCAGCTTTCAAGCCAATTTCGAAATTGCTCTTCAAGTTTTGAGTATGTCTCTTTCTCAAAATCAAAGCTTCTAGAGAGAAAGTAGGGTTGGGTTGTTATACTATTTTTTGAATAGTTGGTTCAAAAATCCTTGCCGAGGGGTTTGTGAATGCAGAAGTCTTGGGTGACCTGATATCGCTCTGAAAACGGTTTTTTGAATAAAAACTCTTTTCAAATTATCCAATTTCGAACGGCTTATGCAAACTTTAAACTCATTTAAAAACCTATAAACGCAACTGAAATTGATTTTTGTATGTTCATTTATTAGAAGAAAATGCTTTCAGACGCGGCATAATTGAATTAGAGGACGCGTCGCAAACATTTCTTTGAAAGAGCATTCACTTTCAATTAATTGACAATTACATAAACGCCTCTCAATGTCTTGAGAATCCTATTAATGACGGGCGGACAGCCGCTATAAATGCTTCATACTAATTACGAGGCTCCCCAATTGAGCGTAGCAATGCAATATTGCGTTCATGTCTTTCTGAATCGCTTTTGCAATAGTCAAACGGAACATATTGTATAATGAGCGGGATCTTCCTCGAGCTCTTAAAAATGGTTGGTGTAAAATCTGAAAGGAATGATATGAGGGAGATTTTTTCTCGCGAAGAAAAAAATTCAATTTGACAATATGTTAAGAAAAAAATTGAATTGTTGATTCTCAAAAACTGCAAAACTTGTTCTAATTAGCAAATCGAGTTATCGTCTTAAATTGATAAATAGGAAGGAATTGACGGCGTTAGTTTTTTTTTTGGAAATGTTCATATATAGCAAAAATTTAATCTGATTAAAAACCTTTTCAACTTACAAACAACATTGAAAAAAAGGCAGATTTATGCTGCGTCACACTCGGAAAAAAATCTCATTAATTCAGCTTTGAGAGTTAAGAAAAAAACTGTAGTCTGACTAGATGAATTATTTGAGTTTTTTGTGCATTACCGTTTCAGGGTCATCACTTGAAAGTTTCAAAAAATATGAAAAATATCAAATAATGCTCAGAAAAACTAACTTTCAAATTTGAATTCTCAGGATATTCGGCTACCCCGTATGAACTTGTATAAAATAACGTCATAAGTGAAACAAAGTATTTAAAAAATGAATTTTTTTAGATTCTACTCTCTTCTTAGTCCGACCAATAGCAAATCATATTTTAAAAATATTGCAAGCTTCCAGGCAAAGGTTACGGTGGATCAAAAAGAGCGCCGCCAGTTAGGCTGAATGTGACGACTAAAAACACATAACCGCAAGCTTTTGTGAGAATCGGCAAGTGATGAAGAAAAAAGTGGCGACACTTGTGCTTCCGCCAGAATCCCCGGAAGTTGATAGAGCATTTGAATTCGGATGCCGCAACGATCAGAATCCCACGGCCACCGAGTAATACATAACATAACGCCTAAGTATCGGCAGTCGCTGGCGAGTCAGCTGCCCACTTTGATCCAACCGCCATCATTCTTTTATCCGACCCCGTTAATACAAACAACGTGTTCCTTGTGGCTTGGTAACGGCTCAAAATGATAGTGCACTACCATTTTTTTCAATTTTGTTCCATAGATCTCAGATCAGTTCCAGGATGTAGAAATGAAGTTGCAGGAACGATAAGCTTGAAAATGAATTCTAGGAAGATTATCCCGGCTCGAAAAGTTCGCATCTGGGGTGCGATTCAAGATTTAAAACTAATCAAGGTTATTTACTTTTGATCAGATTTAGACTTCGAACTTCTCACAAAATCCATGTTTGTAACCGGATCTTATGTAGAAAAGGACTTGAGGTTGTTCGTCTTCTCAACAGGAGCATTATATAACACGGAGGAGTATATAAATTTGCTCGAGTGAATTTCGGTGTTTCGATATTATTTCTGGGAATCTGAAACTTCAATACTTTCTAGTCTTGAAAAAAAAAGCGTCAAATTCTTCAAATCAAATCTAAAAGATGAGATTGGAAATCTCTTTCATCAAATCCTTCCTTTTTGGTAAACATTTTATTTTATTTTTTTATTTTTTTTCTGGTTTCGCCATCACTAAGTGGCGCCAACATTAAAAATACATTGCATGTCAAGTCACATCGATTAGGAGTAACGACAAAAAAATTATTTCTCGAGAGAATATAATCTTCCATTCTAAAAATTTTGAGAGAACGAGGTTTTTTTCAAATACTAAAAATCAAAGAAAAAAAGAAAGAAATTAACCAGATAATAGGCTGTTTTCAATATTTTAACTTTGTTTGCCCCGTTGCAAACAGGTACTATCACCTTTCCTTTGTATTTTGTTACTGTATGTTTTTTGAAGATCCTAGGCACAGAATCACGGCAGACGACCAACAAGTGCGCTTTGAATGAGAACCTTATTTCACGATAGGAATCGTTTTCTAAGCTCTGACAAATTGCTGCAGAGGGCAGCTGCAAAAGCGCACATGTTTTTGCCTCGATGACACGGTCGTAAATGTGACGAGTTGAAGTTGGCTCCGGACGGTCTGTTAGCCCAAGGCGTCGACACTTGCGCCCGACCGCAGACCTAAATGATGAGTGACAAATGAGCACCAGCCAATTACATAGAGCACTAGGCTCACACATCTCAACGCGGCGGCGTTTGTCAGAGGATTTGTCGACACGACCACACGGCTGTTGTCCCTTGTCGAACAAGTGTATCGCCTTCCGTCGAGTTGCCATTTTGTCATGTCGGCTGGGAAATCCGGGATTTGAAACCCTCGAACCTCCTTAGAACACATCTCAAGACAAAAATAAATTTTCTCACAGAAGAGATAATCTAATTTACAGTTTGAATTGTTTTTGAAAATGAGCAGGTTGATTTTGTAAGTTTTATACCGAATCGAGATTTCGAAAACTTCAAACTACAGAGATTTCAATGCTTGAGATATACGGGCTCAAATTTTAGAAATAACCTATTTCAACTTCTTAGAGATGCAAGAAGTTTAAATTAAACCTCTGATCGTGGTGAAAAAAATTGGAAAGGGTTGAAAAAACCTCAAATAAAGTTGAGAAAAGTTGATGCACGAAAATGACATAGACTAAAAAGTTCAGAAAAATTACAGTAAAAAACGAACTGCTATAATTAATTACTAATAAACAGAGATTATTGCTGCTCATTTTTTGAAATCCGATTTTTATGAACTGGTACACTTCTTTTTCATATAAACTTTGAAAGAGAAGTCGTGGTGACCAAAATAATCATAATTGGCTACGAATTCTCAACAGCTTGCTATTAAGAAACCTCAAAAATCCCAGTTTGCAGCTCTTATTTCAAAAAAAAGAAATTGGAAAGTAATTACAATTTACAATTATGAAACTTTTAAATTAACACGAAAGATTTGTTCAAATCGATTAATATTATGGTTCTCATTGACAATCATTATATACTGCAACTATTTTTCAAAAAAATTCATTTGAAGGAGTTCTCTCTTCATAAATATTTTTAAATAAATTTCATGTTTCCGCTTTACAATCTATTTTCATATCAGAAGACCTTATGCGACACGCAGGCTTCCCACGTAATCCAAAAGCTCTCATCCAGCATTTTTTATCATCTTCTCGCTATCCGAGACTCAATCGACTTGCCATGCTCGACGTAAGTTTTTGAGCGGGTAGGTCAGTAGATACTGTGGCGCGAATTCGGTTGGCGCGAGGCCGCCCTTTTCCTCCACAGCGCGGTTCACAGTCATTGTTTTGTCGTACATGGTAGTGTTTTACCACCTTCGTTGCTTTCTACAAATGCGTTTTGTAACGTTTTTTTTTCTCTTTAGAACCATGTACGTGATATTTAACGCAGCGTTTATGTGAGAGCTTCAATAAGTGAACTAAAAGATGAACGAATAAAGAGTTTTTAACACGTTTTTTCTCATAATGTTCGTTGTAAAGGGTTAAATAAAACTGAAAATAGAAATATTTTGTTCTGGAAACTTATTTACGTTCTCGCATTTACGCCGTGCATTTTTTCGACATCTAATCACAGTTTTTGTAAACTCGTGACAGCACTTGCTGAAATTTCAGTGCATTGAAATGAGATCTCAAAAGTGACGCTTTTATATCGGTCAGATTACAGCAATCAGACATTCAAATGACTTTTTACATTCTCTTGAAAGAAAAAAAAAACTAGTAGCCGCTTTTTTTTTCGTTAGAGCCACACGAAGTGCAGAACTGTTCTGAAAAGGAAATTTTTTTACGCATTTCACAATAGGTTTTTTTTTTCTAATTTTGAAAAACAGAAGACGCCGGAGCCTATTGACACCTTGTCGGTTTGTTATAAAACGTAATGATGAAAATACAAAGCATTTTTTCTATTGTTCTGCTTTTTCCAACCAAACAAACCATAAATGAAACTTTTTCAGTTCATGACAGGTAGAAATTTTTTGAATTCACACTTTTCCGTCCTTTCACTTATGAATTTTTTTCCGTTTTGATGTCTTTTGTTTCAGGTCAATCAATTGAAGCGTACAAATATGGTCAACGTCGAGAGATTAGACGCCGACGGCGAAACATCGGGACCAATAGACAAAGTAAAATTAAATAAAAATGGTGTTATTCCGATTCACGATTTCAGTACAACATGGTTTACTATTCTGTTATGATTGTCGGATTTGGAGTGCTGATGCCGTGGAATATGTTCATCACTATCGCTCCCGAGGTTTTTTTTTTGGATCATTTTAGAAAAAAGTAGAAAAAAAGAATCTTATAACTTCTTATTCTAGAACAGTTTTTTCCTCATACTGGGTGCGTTGCTATCGAATGATCTCAGCAGAGCAAAAGAGTTGCGCGTGAGACGTCGCGCGGCGTTTCAGATTATTCAAGGCGCCTGTGATCTTTGCTTATGGTCAAGTACGGCGATAAATGTACTGGATCGATTAAAATTTCATCGTTTATCCAAAATATCGAAATTTCCAAAAGTGGAACATCCAAAAATGGGCATTATCATTCGATAAACCCAATATTTTTTTTCAAACCTCTTGCTGTTCAGATTCAACAAAAATTCACATCAACTTCACTGTAGTCACTCTGACAAAGTCATTTTTAGCATGAATGAAAAATCGTACATAATTAGTCACGACGTTTTGCGTTCATTCTCTAGCTGCAATCGACAGCTGATTGAGACTATCACATTTAGACCTCTAATTGAATATGACAGCTGAGGTTCAATCTGTCTGATCTACGATTTTTTTATTCAAAGAAGAAGATCAAGGAGTTCAAAACAAAAATTAAAAATATTCATTGACATCGATTTATTCCAGTATTACGTCCACTATTGGTTCACAGTCAACGGGACGCAGACGTGGTTTTCGAAAGAGTTCATGAGCTCTCTGAGCATCGCCGCCCAACTTCCTAATGCATCCATCAACATTCTTAACCTGTTTCTCGTCATTAGGTAAATTAATGTAGAGTTCACTCCGGAACAGTTTTTTTATTTAGTGGTCCATTGATTTACCGTGTTCTCGCGCCTGTGGTTGCCAATATTGCAAATGTCGCTGCCGTTCTGGCCATGGTCATTTTCCTCACTCCATCTGTGGGCTGTGAGTTTTCCTTTTTCTTTCGTCCTTGGGTCAGTATAATAAAGAGTTAGAGTTACAGATCCAATTGATGATACAATAATATCATATTCAGAGAAAATCATCGTTGGTTATGGGTTACAAACATCAAACAAAGCTAGTGATTAAGCAAATCAGATTGGAAAAGGATAATTTTCAGAATTTTCGACACGTCTTTGTTTGAAAATTTGCAAAATGTCATTCGATTTTCTCTATTTTTGCTCTACAAAAAAGCGCTGCTTCACACAGACCTTCAAATTTTAAACTTAAAATAGCTACTACTGGCTTTCCCAGCCGTGTTGCGGTTTGGAACTATTGTTGAAAAGTTCAGGACGAATTTTACTTGACTTGAACCATTTAAGAACAACAAAGTTGAAGATATCAGATAAATAAACGAGACTCTCATAAATTCAAATTTTCCAGCAATGGTCGCCTTCTTCTCAGCAACCATTGTCATTGTCGTGCTCATCAACATCAGCAACGGACTTTATGAAAACTCGGTCTTTGGAGTTTTCGCCGACTTCCCTCACAACTACACGAGCGCTTTGGTCATTGGGAACAACCTCTGTGGATTGATCATTTCCATTCTTTCCATAATTGTTACTATTTGTGAGTTTAAGCTTTTCATCTTTTCAGAAGAATCCTTTCTTGACTATCCTTGAAACGCTCTGTGAAAAGACCCAAGCTCTCTTCCATGTCTTTGAGGAACATTTTCAACTTGCACAACTTTCCAACTTTCGAAGCATTTTCGAAACTCCTTTTGACTACAGTTTCATGGAAAATTGAACCATAAAAGACCTTTTTTGAAAATCATAAAATTGAAAGATTTTAAGCTTCTGGATAGCAATCAAATTATCAAAAAGAGTTACGAACAAGGTTCAGAATTAACTTTTTCAGTGCTTCCTGAAGATCCCAAGTCTGTCGCAATCGTTTACTTCGGCATCTCCCTCTTGATTCTGGTCTTCTGCGGTCTGGCTCTTTTGAACATCACCCGCCAGGTTTTGATAATTTTCGAAGTTGATTTTGAACCACTTCATGTTCAGGAGTTCTATCACTATCACCACATTCGTGGAATGGAAGTTCGTGAGAAGGCGTCGCACGAGAAACCGTCGCCAGCGATCTTGTGGAGCGCTTTCACGAGTGTGAGTGTTCGTTTTGAAAAAAAAATCAATATCTGATCAGCTTCTCTTTGGGGCAAGTCCCTTAACAAAAAATCGTTCAGAGCTGGCCCCAGCTTTTCAACGTTTGGTTCTCTTTCTCCGTGACCTTGACGATCTTTCCGGTCATGACGACGGCTACGTCGAGATCTTCCGACGCGGATATTTGGGATTCCTACATTCCTGGTAATTGAGTGATATCACTGATTCCATTTTCAAAGTTTTATTGAAGATCATCTGTTCGTCCACGTAACATCCTTCTTGGTCTTCAATCTGTTCGCCTTTTTTGGTGCCACTCTGACGTCATACGTTCATTTCGTGAGTTTTCTGTACTGACAAAAATGAAAAATACGAAAAATATTCAGCCGTCTCCTCGGTATTTGTGGATTTTGGTCACTCTTCGGGCTCTATTCGTCCCATTCTTCTTTTTCTGCAATTATCGTCTAGCTGATCGAGTGTATCCTGTTTATTTCGAATGTAACAAAGACTTTTTATCTCATGAATACCTATCCCATTCAGCCACTGGAAGTTTCATTGCTGGAGGAGTTCTGATGGCGTTGACATCTGGTTACTGTAGCTCTCTATCTATGATTTACACTCCCAGGTAAGAAAATAACGGGGATTTCAGAGGGATTGGATCACACTTGCTTTTCAGAGTTGTTCAGCCATCTCTGTCTCGATTTGCCGCTCAGCTTTCTGTCTGTTGTTTGATGCTCGGTAAGAGTTATTTTTGGGCTTTGAAATGAACTATGTTTTATCACAGGTCTCTTCAGTGGCGCCACTTTCTCTCTGATCATTGGACGTCTTATCGCATGGGCATAATTATGATAAAAACCAAATTTTTCTGTAAATTGTGAGAGTTTTATCCATTGAGATCTAATAAAGAGTTGTAAATGCTTATCTTTGTTTTCAATAATTTCACCGACAGCACGAAAAAAACTGGTTTCAATAAACTGAACAATTCATTCAGAAAAAAAACAAGAACTGCTTTTTCAGCTTTGAATTCTTACTTGCATCTAGAATCTTGAATTAAATTTCGAAACTTTCTAGAAAAATATTTATGCTTTCTTATGATACCGAAAGCGAGAGTTTGAAAAATTCCCTTTCGCATTACAAACTTTTTCTACACGCACAATAAATCTTAAACAACTTGATATTTTGAAGAATTTATTAAAAGTTATTGTTGCTCTGAGAAAAGAAATGACCTGAAAAAGCTTGCGTTTCTATTAGAATGATACCCATAGAAGATCTAAATTATGGCTAGCCGGAAGAAAAAGGATCACAGCAATCAAACAGAGTATACAAACAAAAAGTAAAAGTTGCATGCAGATAGGGAACTTTGTTTTTCAAAATAAAGTTTAAATATATCAGGGTACAGTGAGAGCACTTTCTAATTATTAAAAAAACGCAAAAAAAGCAATTAAATATATTCGTGGGATAAAAATAATGGCACGTTCCAGCCGCTATACACAATAAATATGAACACTTGTTTGAGAAATGCCTTGATATTGCACAATCGAGAAAGTCGGAAAGAAGATTGAACCGTCGCCTATGAATATAATAACATTATCAAATTCGGTCATCTGAAGTCAAAGGGATTCCTAAGGCCTGCTTGAGCCGTCTGATGCACATTTTCGCGCCGCGTTTGCATTCGGGAGAGATGAGGGAGAAGTTGAGGAACCCATGAGGAACGGAGGAGAGAAGGTCCACCGATTCTACGGTACCGCCAGCGTTCCGAAGCTTTGTAGCGAAAGCGATAGTATCGTCGAGTAGTGGATCCAGGTGACACGCCTGGAATGCAAATACCTCATTTTTCTTTTTTTTTTAAAGTTACGCTGCTCCAGTTTTCGTTTTTATCAAAGAAAAAACCAAAATCACTTTCCGGTGAACCTTGTTCGTCGATAAATGAGAAATATTAACTTTTTAGTTTCAACAATGAAAGTAGGCTAATTGGAAAATATTTTGACACATATCGACGAGTAGAAACGAGTTCTCTGCTGTTTTATAGTCCCAAATCGTTTCCCGTGGGATTTCAAGCATCCCGAAAATCGTGTGCATTTAAGCATAAAAAGAGGAATCCATCAAGATTTCACATCTTTTTAAATGTATCTAACCAGTAGCTTACATTGAAACCACAAACTGACCAAGAAATAACAAGGAGGAAGTTCTTTCAAAAGATCGTCGCCAGCGTACATGGGAGAAATCAAAGGATCTCGAGGCACGCTGGTAGTATTGACCAATTCCAAAATGTGACTTTTTGGAGGTGGGATTTCTTCTTCCTTAAAAATGACATGAGAGGAACTATGAGCTTTTGAAATTACCTCCAAGACGGTGTCAATTTCTTCTTTGTGAGAAACAGTGCGGTCGAGCTTTTGCTTTTGCCGCGCAGGCCTTTCCAGCCATTCTTGCAAGTTGTCGAGAGCAAACGCTGCTGTAGATGCGGCAGTGTCAGCGAGGCTTTGAGACAAGGATCTTTTTTGCTGCTGAAAGCATCAGTTCACAATGGAGGTTTTTTGGATGAAAAAATATTTGTTGCTGAATTCAAAACACTAACCAGAGCTGAGGGTGTGAAAGTATGGACAGAAGCACTAGAAGTGAGAGTCTTCTGTACTGATTGGGGAGTAGAAGGAGCAGTGTGCGATGGAGCGATGTTTGCAACGCCGCTGATGAACTGCAGAAGACGAGGCCGTTTTGTCACAGTTTCTTCCGCTACGATAGCCGCGCCAAACTCTTGAGCCATCAGTTCTTCTCTGGAAACTCATTTTGTTCTGCCTTCTTCTACGATTTCTGTGTTACTTTTGGGAATCTCGAAAATAAATCATTATTTCTTTTTGAGAACGTGCCAATAGTCTTGTCAGGGTTTGCAAAAAAAATAAAAAACTGAAAAAAAGCTTAGACTATTTTCTGGTCATTTTTGACTCAAGATTACGCGGAAAATATAGGCATATCGTTTCAAGAACATTTTATTGTTTGTACAAGCAGAATTTTGCTGAATTCCGTTTTTTCGAGAAAAAAAACCAACGTCGCTTCTTGAGCGGGTTCAGTAGGCATAGAAGGAGAAGGAACGTCAGGCTCATTTTCCGTCTCAAACGACAGTTGACTGAAAACCATTTCTCTTCGTAAAGGGTATCTTTAGTAAGCTCAATACTAGTCAAAAAAACAAACTCTTTGGTTGTCGGATGTCGAGTGAGAAAATCGATAAACTGTCCATCGTACAGCGACGTGCTCAACTGGATGTGAAATGGATCCGAGTCGATCTGAACCATTTTCATACTTTTTAAATTTTAAGAGATTATACTAGGTTACCTGGACGCTAGCAATACTACGAGTTTCCAAGTCGTCATCGCTTTCGTTTTCTTCCTCATTTTTTTCGTTTTCTCTGGATGTTTCTTTCCCGTCACATCCGTTTGCGAAACCGTCGTCCTTAATTTGAGAAATTGACAATTTATCAAGAAAAATTACAAGGCTGCTATAAGGGATTTCGCTCGTCAAATTTCCAATAACTCATGAATAATTCCAGCTCAGTCATCATTACATACAGTACACCTCCATAAAACAAAAAAATTTCAGGGACAAGCGAAATATCTAATTTTCTCGTTAGTTTAAATGTCCCAGAACCTAAACATTTGCATCATCTTCAAAAAAAAATGGCTGAAGATAATGATGGGTTGGAAAATAACTGGTTGCACCTGCGTCTTGAAATAAGAATTGGCTTTGGCGGGAGCATATCCGTTGTCGTCATGGCTCTTTTGAACAAGGGAGACGATCGACTGAGAGCCGCCCTAGCGCTACGGATGAATTAACAATTGGTTAGAAATATTTACCGCAAAGTCGACTTGAGTTTTCTGCACCTCGTTGACATATTCTTGAAGAGATCGGTGGGTTTGTCCGTCAGTTTGGTCGACCGAGGCTCCGTCGCTGCTCACTTTGTTGTTGTTGTTCAGGTGGGAGCTGTAGGCGCCGGTGTAAGCTGAATTGTTCTTGATAATCGATTAATTGAAGAAGAAGAGCTCACCGGCCACACAACGCAATACTACACCCATATGAAGAAGAGGATCCATGACACTGAGCATTCGAGAAGGAGATGGCAAGTACTAAATTCTCAGAAAATGATTTTTATTTCATTTCCATTCTTATTTACCTGGAAAAGGAAAGGCGTGTAACAAAGAACAAGACCGTCAGGTTTTCTTCTGATATTCATTTGGATAAGACGTAAATTTACAGACATTATGAGGTTCCCGCCAGCTGAGTCGCCAACCATCACAATCTTCTCTCCAGTCCAGCCTGAAGAAATACTTTATTGCATAAATTTCTGAGAAAGTGACCAAGAAGAGAAGGATTGTTGATGATGTAAGCGTAGGCGTAAAGAACTTCTTCGGTAGGCCGTGGGAATGGATTTTCCGGAGCAAGAGAGTACTCCACAGATACAACTGGGCAGTTCAGACTTTTGGCCCAGAAGCGCAAGTAAGTCTGGAATTTCGAAGGTTGAAATCAATACAGTATCCTTAGTAGGACTTCATGAGATTTGCTCGAAGTTGCGACGTATCCACCTCCATGGCAATGCAAAACCAGGTACGGGGACGGAGGATGAAGAGCGGAAAGTGGAGAAGAAGACTGCAAATGCAATGAACAAGAATAAAGTTTGATCTGATATACAATTACCAGGTGTTGACGATGAACGGCAGAAAGAACTCGAATTTGTACCGGCCTTGGACCTGTGTGAGCGGTGGGTTCAGGGACTTGAACTGCAAAGATTTTTTGAAAATACTTGTTTTTCGTCTCAAAAAAGACTTGTCCTAACTCTTCAGATAATTCTTACCTGAAACGCCAGATGTCGATTCCATCGGTATCGGCCCGCACCAGTCAATTTCTCTTAGTTCATTCAGTGCCATGTTGGGACAGAACAACTTCGGCATGTTCTAAAATGTACATCGCTTCATGAAAAGATCTTTGCGATACATTGCTGAGCTCCGACAAGTTCCAGAAGCCTTTGCAAAAATCGATATCCGCTTCTTTGGTAACCTGAGCCAAGAAAAAAATTAGTATTTTATTTTTCCTATAGCTCACTTTAATGATCCTGGAGGCTCTTTGTTCCGGGCTTAGGAAAAATCTTCCACCGCTAATTATTGATCCGATTGGTCCATGGCCTTTTTCCCACGAAAGGCTGTAAGTGGCGAGAATCACTCCGATCACGCGAAAAATGCGGTTGACCGATGGAGAAAACTGAAACCAAAGATTTCTACAGAAAATCTATTTCCGCAACTTGAAATCCCAAAGGGCGGCCAAAAAACACGGTCGAGTCCAATTTCTCTATGCCATGCAGTACTTTTTGGTACGTGTCGTACTCTCCTTCGAGCGGAGGGAAAAGAGATCCATTGAGAGTTTGTTCGTTGCCTAGCGTCTGCACTGCAACTGTTAAGACAATGTCCTTTATCCTATCCTTACCAAGGGAACAGTCTGATTGAGGTAGTCAATTATTGTGACGTAGGCTTCCAATTCCTTGCAGAAATGCGAGAATCGGAAAACAAACGATTGCCGCTGGTCCGTAATGGCTTTCAACAAGGACACCAGATGCAAAACTGCCGTGTCGCACACGCAGACCAATGATCTGGAAAGTATTAACTTCTTTGGAGCTTGCAAAACGTTCCGTTTTTGTTTGACACAAACACGCATTCTCAATTACCAACTTCTCTTTAACAAGGAAAAAACCAGTTCTCAATAAAGTCGCTGATTACTCATGTGTTAATGGGACGTTCCCACCCAAATGAGTCACGTTCTCTCTGAATTTTTCGACATAAGCGAAAAAAATTCATTCCTATTTCTCGCAGCAAAAAAGACTTTTTTGGGGGCTTCCTCCTTCTACCTAGCAAAACGAACGAATCAAAAAGAATCGTAGTTGTCCGCAAACGACGCAAAGACTACAAACGCCAACACGTAGGTCAAACAAAAAAAACGTGCCTGTAGCCGTTTCCTGGAGTTTTCTCGTCGAAATCGTACTTTGGAGAAATTTCTTGCAGCTGAGAGATGTTTCCTAAACATTTTGTAGTGAGAGTAGGTAATCAGGATGAAACGAACCTTTGAGTTCGGCAACCGATTCGCGAAGTTTGAGGTACACTGAAGTCATACGTTCTCCATAGATACCAGAATAAGAAGACGCATTCTTTTCAAAATATCCGTGGTTTTCGACGGCCAACTGAAAGCACAACAAATGCTAAATTCTCATAAGAGGCTTCTCTTTCTCAAATTATTTGGTGTTTCACACTAAATCTCAATTTGTTTTGAGTGAACTCCTACAGTTTATAATCAAGTTTATGCAACTTTTCTTCCAATCAATTCAATTGGAAGGATGAAGGTTTCAAAAAACAAAAAACAACATCCAAGCGCCTCGCACAATCAAACAGGAGGGCACCAAATGCTTGTTTTAGGCTGAGCAAATAAGACGCCAGAACAAGCCATAGGTCCTGGCAGAAGAGCGCTAAACCGTTAATTTTCTTTCTTCAAAACAAAACAAAAAACTTCAATTTTACTCATAATCTCAAAATAGGGGAAATATCGTATTACTAATTTACGTTTTTTTGTCTCGCTTATCATGATGTTTTCTATGAGGAAACAAAGTACGTGGCGGAGCAGATTAGTATGCGGATTTCGGGATTAAAGAGTCATTCAAAACTCATCTGCAACTTTGTTCATTTTTATCCAGAAGAGGGAGGAAAAACAGAAGGATTTTTGGCCAATTTAATTTTTCAAAATTCTTACTGGTGTTTTTGGAAGAGCATTCATGATTTTTTTGTAAAAAATTCAGCCTGATAACCGTTTACAGTCAAATTTTTACGTCGTGAAGGTTTTATTTCAAAGTTCCAGAAGGAAATTTTTTTGAACGGACTCTTTTATCGCAGTAATAAATAATTAATAATAAAAAAACTTTAATCATCTCTGGATATTAATTTAACCAAAAAAAGAAGTTAAAAAAACGCTTTTTAAGCTCAGAAAAAAAGAAAAAAAAATTTACAGAAAAAAAAAATGAATAACGCTATCTTCATGCAATTACAAATTCAATATGACAAACCTCATCAAGAAGGTTGTAAATAGCAGATCTGTCGATTGAAAATCGCTGTCCGAGGGATGAACGCGGCTTGGCGTCGCCAGAACTGGGTTCGCCCATCCGACGACCTCTGGAACATTTCCTTCTGAAGGCGCTGATGATCTTGAGCCGACGGAAGGCGCGCAGCCACAGCGTCCGAGCCATCGCAAGGCGATTTCGTGGAGACAGCCAAAGCACGGCGCGGCGGCACAAGGAATTGGGCGGGGAATGATCCTTCTACGCAACGCGCTCCGAGCCTTTTTGCTCTACCTTCGCTCCAAAACCCAACTAATGGATTTGATCTATTTCTTATAGACAACACTACGTTTCTGAGTTTGTTTTTTTGTTATTTTCTTTTTTTCTAAAAAAATCAAAAAAACGGGACATGATCCATGTTGCAAAATGTGAAAATTCAGTTATTTCCGAATAAAAATCGGCTTGCTCCAACTGATTCGAATAATATTTTTGATCAAAAAAATGGGATTTATTGAATTTTTTTTTTTTTGTTTACACATTGAAATGAGAAAAATTATCTGTTATAAAATGACGATTTTTTTGAAGCTCGATCAAAAATATTTTTTTGTTTTATTCTCCAGAAAAGTTGAAAAAAACTATTTTGCATGCTTGAAATTTCCAAATTTCCTATTAGAATTTTTTTCCTCAGTTGATGGATTTTGGTAAAAACAATTGAGTGAAAGGATTTTTTTGAACTTCATATTTCTAAAAAATTTTTCAAGGGTCTTATTTTTTTCTCTTCAATATTCATGCTCTGTCTGATGGAAAAACGACGGTATTTATTCTTTTCTATCACTTTTATATTCCTAATTTTTTCGCTATTTCTTTCTTCTCAAAAACATCGAGAAGCCTGTTCAGAAAACAAAGTAATTGGTTGAAATTTCTCAACACTCCGTGATTTTTCAAAACTTAGAAAAAGCTGATCTAAAGAGCAAAGTTCAAAGGTTGGACTTTTTTTAGCGATTACGTTTCTGTTTTTTGAAAACAGAACTATTATTGTTTTGTATCTATTTCTGAAGAAAAAAACAGAAGTGTCATTCAAAAAAATGTTTGTCACTTTGTTTCAAAAAAATAATAGAATAAAAAAAGATAAGGTTAGTTTTTTTGGCTTCATCTAGTTTTTTTGATAAACTGCAAAAAGTAGCCAAGATGTGAAAAACTGCAAATATAATCAATTTTAAAAACTTTCAACAATATAACTCAGAGCATAGTTATCAGAGAATACATGTTGAATCGACCTCGGTGAGGGAATCCGTGATTCAAAAAAAAGTATCTTGTTCAGTCAGCTGGGTAAACGTCATAGTCTCAGGTCATATTTCGTTCTGGAGAACTTATGCTATTCATCAGAAAGCTCTCAAAGTTGTAGAAGGTGTTCATTATTCATCTTTTCGTGACCGCATCAAAAAGAAAACTTCATGGGTCAGCCTGAGTTGATGCAAGAAATAATGCAAAAACAACAAAATTTTAAAGATTTTTTCAGAAAAAATGATGAAAACTGGTTGAGAATTATTTGTACTGCTGTCTGGTTCAGACTATCCGATTTCGGGAAAAAATGTCACGCGAGCTTCAAAATGAGACCAAAGGAGTCTTTCACAGACAAAAGTGGTGATAACAAATGTTTTCGAAGGTTTGTCAAAAAATTTTTTTGAATTCAAGGAGCAAAGTTTTGATGTGTAAACTATCTTGTTCATTGATATGTGGATATAATGAAGAAAATTATTAATTTGAATCTGAATCAAACAGTTATGTAATCTTTTTTTCTGATAAACTGGAAATAGGTTTCAAAAAGCAATGGAAAAAAATTGACATAAAAATAACCAAATTTTTCAAACAAGCTTGGGAAAAAAAATATTTTGCTACTCCAAGAAACTTCAAAACAATAAGATAAATATGATTAAAATTATAGTAAACAAAGCAGTTTTTCCTGATACACATCATATATTTTGCAACAGTCATTGTCAAATTTTTTAGATTAAAAAAGCCCACAAATTTCAAGTAAACATCGTACGATCGTAAACAACTTTGCACGAGGTTTGTAAAACAAAACGGAACGGTCTTGAAAATTCAAAGTGCTTGAAGAGTGGAGGACGGCAGACCGCCCCAAATCGTCACGACGTGGTCCCCGATTCAAAAACCGGCTTTTTGACGTCACCAAAACGGAATGCGTACAACGGGACTTCGCGCCTCGAATGAACGACCGAACACGTGTATCAAGGTTTCCCACAAGAAAGTCCTCGAACAAACTTTTTTTTTTCTCATTCCAAGCTTCTGTTTGAGTAAAAAAACTTATTGAAATATTTATAAAAAGTCCAGAAGCTGTGAAAATTTGATCCCTTCCCTTGAAGTTAGAACATTTGAGTTAAAAAAATAATTTGAATTTGTTTGAAATCATTTTAAAGAAAAAGATATCAATTTTTTTCTGGTTTTTGATTTTATTTGCATTTATTCTCGACAACAGGGAAAAAAACAGTCTTTCTCCTAATTTTTAATATAATTCTTGAATATAAAAAAATTGTTTTTCCACTTCTAATACTCGAATCTTAATAAATTTGTAGGATTTCCAAGACTTAAAAACGTTGAAACCCTTTCAAACTGAATTCATAAAAGAAGACCTGCTGTTTTGGAATGAGGTTTGGTGACATTAAGGCGCTTAAAAATGGAAACATCGCCGTAAAAAAAAAAATTTCCAAAGAACGTTTTGCGTTGAATAGAAGGCATTCAATTGGAGGAGAAAATGATGGAAAGTATTTCAAATGTAATGAGGGAGAAATTGAGGAAAATTAGTGGAACGAACAAATAGAGCATGGGCTTAAGCACGGGACTGCAAAAGAGCATGCGGCAGACTAGCTTTTTCTGCAAAAGGCGCGCAGATAAATCAGAAATGGCGTATTTTCGGGTTGCGTTCGTTTTTCATTCATGGCTGGTCTAGTTCTCTTTTCTCTCATTTCGCCAGCATTGTTTCTCAATACGCAGCGTGAAAGATGTCAAGTTTTTCAATAACTGTTTCGTGATTAGTTTCGAGCTTTGAGCTTTTTTCCTAGAAAGTGAGAAAATAATATATTTTTTTATTTGATTAGACATAAAAATTATCAGCCTTTAGGTAAGTTATGTGGTGGAAAAAAACCAGAAAATTTTAGCGATACAAATTTTGAATTGGAAGAAGGTAAACAAGGTGAAACCAAATAATCATTTTTTTAAATTTTTTTTTCAAACGCAAAAAAAGTTGTATCAAAGTAATAACAAGAAACTAACCGGTTCTACAAACTGACCCTGTTAATTTTGAGCACATCTACACCTACACAATATAAATAAATGAAAACGGTTCAAGATCCAATGTTTTCTTTTTTAGCAACAACATGAACAACCGCATAAACAGCCACGGCGACGTAGCTTAGGCCGGACATGAGAAGCCAAACAAAGCCCTGAAACCGACGAGATAAGACTTTTCTGCGCAGAAGAACCATTAACCTGGTACCAGTCGACAGTGGCGATGTAGATGTTCTGCAACGTGGCGGCTTGCGCAATTCCAGCCAGTTTTTGAGCGATGGAGCTCACTGCATAAGCTTTTCCTATCTAAACCACGGACAATTCGAAGATAAAGTTCTGGATGGCCGACTTCATCTTGTTCTACCAGACAGGCCATGAAGGTGTAAGACATCGGGTTCAGAAGACCGTGGAAGCCTCCAGGCGCCAAACTAGCAAAAATGACCCACGAAGCCTGTAAAAGATGTTTTTGAGTTCGAAGTCTATTCACTGCTGTTTTGAGACTAAATTGGAAGAGTTTTAATTTCTCATGATTAGCGGAATAATATAGATAAGTAAAGTTCAGACGTTAAAATTTTCTTCCCAACATGAATAGTGTAAACCTAGTTTAGGTATGAACTCCACCTGTGCCAATCCAATCATGAGGACACATAGACCCATACTTCCAATGGCGATACAAATAATCATCGTGTCTCGCAAATGGAGAATCCGTTTGAAAATCAGCATCCCCACAAACATCCCCGCTATTTCTGGAAATAGTCGTCAGTTGCTACAAAACTGATCCGTCTGAATGCAAAACTCACGCACAAGAGGCCGCAATGTTTTATAGTTTGCATACTCGTCTGTATCCCATTTGAAAGGAGAGAGACGGGTGTACGTTCCAATTAAGCCTCAAATCAGATGAGTTGTGAAAATAATCCTTTAAAGTCTGAATAATACCCTTTTCTTCTCCAAAGACAAACTGATCCAAGAAATTTGCGAAAAAGCACATGTAAAGGAATAGCCTTCTGTGTCCCTTACGAGGCTGCACAAAAATCTTCACCGAATCGTACAAAGAAATAAACGATATTTTGACGATTTCCAGCAGGGAGCTAGAAACCTCAGATAAGTTAGGCTATTTTCGAGAACGCACTGGTCAACAGCAGGAGGTACTTCGACAGGTAGAACTTCCGCGAGTTCATCTTCTGTATAGATCAATTCTTTCTTGCGTGAATTTGGAGGCTGTTGTTTGAGCATCAAAATACCTATCATCAACGAGAAAAGGAGCATTCCTGAACTAATTGATCAAAACGTTTGGCGAACAAAAATACCTTCAGCAATTCCCAAAACAGCAATCTCTGAGGTCCATTTTACAACGTGTTTGGTCAATTGAGAAGAAGCAAATGAACCCAAACTGAAAATAATCGAAACAACGACCATTCGATAGGAAAGCTGAAAATATTCGTAGGATTTTTGGAATTTTTGCACATGTCAGACCACAATTTTGTCTTCAAACTGATCTGCGACGTAGGCGTTTATGCAACTCATTGTGAGAAGAAAATCTCCCAACAGTCCAGCAATGACCGCTGTCGGGTAAAGCCAGTAGAGAGGAAGATCTGTCGATTCACTCCAAATTAACATCCTCACTGCAAAAATCCTTCATTTTCATTTTTTTCCAAATTATACGTGATATATAGTTTTTAGTTATTTCACTGTACACCTGGTGAAAAAAATTTAAACATTGCAGCCTGATTCTTTATAAACGTTTTCGGAGCATTAAAAAACACGGAAAGTTAACTTTAATTTTTCAAATCCTGCTCAACAAAAAAGGTCATTTTTAAAAAGGTTTTTAAAAATAACTTCATAAAAAAATCACATGCTTAAAAATCGCAGCAAATTTTTTTTCGTAGAAAGTTTGAAGTTCCAAAATTTTCCAACTGTTACTAAGACGATTATACTTCTTTTCAAGATTTCGAACTAGATTTTTACGTGAAAAAAATGCCAGTTACAAAAAATTATATTTCAGGTGAATCTTGGTAAGGTAACCAGCAGGAGGTTGAAAGGTGTATGGAAGCTAGAAAGTCTTAAGAAAGTCTTTGGAAGGTGTTCGGAAGGTATTCGAAAGGTAAAAATGGGAATCTTCTGCCAGAAGCCTGCTGAAAAGCTTCTGGAAGGCTTCAGGGAGGCTCTTTTTCTAAGTATAAGATGTTGGGAAGCTATGTGGAAGGCGTTCGCTACTTTTTGGAATGCTCCCAAACGTTTTCCGAGGAAACTTTCACCTAAAGTTAAAATTTTGCTTTCTGACATTATAATATCTTCTCATACAACTATGACATTTTTCATCCCCTCTTGGACCAAACCAAATCAACTCACTAGCAGTTTCATAAAGAACACTCATAATGCCGACAAGCAACGGGAGTTTCCTTCCTTTGTGGTCACTGTATCCACCTGAATCGGTTTCAGCCTCCGATTGACATTTAACTACCGTAGATGATTCCAACAATGCATGCGATCGGCAAGTTGACGTATTCGTAGTTGTTGTCCCAAAGAACCATTTTTTTGTTGTAGAACTTGTCGAGATCTTTTCCGGATAAATGCGGAGGCGCCGCATAAACTCGTTTCATTTTAGCTTCCGATAAAGACGGAGTTACGATCCCTCTGAAAGTAAGAGTTGTCTATGGCTCTGACTTTTGGAAGAGTTTCGAGAAAGAAGTTTGCATTTTGACTTCTTCTACATTTTTCTTGAATCGCGAGATTTTTTTTTATTATATTGATTCCAAACATATTCATCACTGAAAAAGTCGGAAATACGGAGAACGGGTGCAAAAAGGAAGTTACTGCAGAACGGCCGATGAAGGGGTTCCGTTTTGCGGCCTTTATGGAGCCTTTCTTTCTTGGTGGACTAAAAAGTCTCAAAAAGGGTGAAAAGGGTACTAAGAGTCTCGGCCACTAATGAGATTTTATCCTGTAGCACACATTGGTTCATACACAGTCCCTGGTGAAATTATTCTCAATTTTTAAAATTCTGTGTTTTTCAAAAAGGTCCGATGAAAGGACGAAAAAAGGCAGTGAAAATAAAAACGTAGCCACCCGTTTAAGAAAAAATAATGGAAAATTTTTTATAAAGGTCGTTCAACGAGCCCGTAAAGGACCCTTCCGACTTGAATTAATACTTTTTTGCATATAATTCATACCTGGCCGTATTAGCTGCGGCTAAGATGAACATCAGAGGTTCCACAGTTATTTGGAGGCTTTTCAGCCACAACCCTAGGTTTCTCAGATTTCCCATACCTGAAAAAAGCCAACAAAGTTGGAAAAACGTTTATTTTTGCACGATGTATAAAAAAAAAGAATAAAGTGAGAAGAAACACCTGCGAGGTCGCGCAAACTGTTATCTTTGTTCATATTGATCGATTCAATTGTGGCGCGATAAGTACACAAATAAGCGCATTTGAATCGAGGATTGGAAGAAAAAATTCGGATAAGTTCTAAAAGACGGACGATTCTTTTCCCGTACCTACAGAAGAATGTACAAGAACGCTGGAGAAGATAGAGAATGATTATTTAACAGCTGGAGTCAAAATATAAGGAGTTTCAGAGTCTAAGAAGGCAAAGCACTTTGAAAACCCTATCAAGCAGGTTACATGTGTGGATGCTTTCGAGAATGTCAAAAAATTTCATTTTTATCGGCCCATATGAATTGGCCGATCTTCGATTTCGAGTTCAGCAGTTGCAGCGTGATCTCCCTTCTGCTTGTGGGAAGCCCAAGCAAAGACGATGGCGGCGAAAATGCAGATTCCCACGACTGCTTGGGCCAACCGAGTCGAGTAGCCCATAGACTTGCCGGCGTCGTAGTTGAACGAATTTTCCTGCAAATCATTCATGTTAACATCGAAAGATGCATCGATTAAATGTCACCTAGTGACAGGATCCATCGGAAAATTGATTATTTTTGAGATAAAAAAATATTTTCGAATGAGAGAGACGAAGATTTTCGACTTTCTCATCATTCGCATAAGTTCATGACAACATTATCTTATGGTATTTTGTTACTTGAAAGTCAGTGGAGCTTACCGCATCTGATTTTCCGACGCTGCGATTCCACTCGTCAATGCTGTTTGACAAAATTTCGATTGTCACAACAATTGCCATTGCTGAAAAACGCTTCTTACGAGTTTTTTGTTTATCGATTTATTGGAGGGATTAGGAAGAACATTTTTTTTTCCCAATTAGCTTGTGTTTATGGGCAACAGTAACTTCCTAAAACCTTAGAAGGTGTATTAACGCTAAGTTATCGGGGCGTCCTAGAAGTAAATAATCTATGTAAAAAGCCAATACAAAATGATACACGCAAAAGTTTTACGTGACTTGATAAAATCACTGAAAACCTTTTTTTCTGTTTTCTATTATTGATTGTAACGAATAATGACCTACCGACAACGAAGTAAAGACAAGCCACAGCTCTTTTGTACATATATCGGTGATGGTAGAAAGTGTACAGGGCCAGAAGATTCGTGGACAAAAGGATAATCAAAGCAATCACTCCAATAGCCGCCTGCGAACGATAGTAATCTGCAAAAAAAATTAATCATCGAAATTCCCTTTTTCACATCTTTTTTCTCATTTTTTTCTTCATATTTCTCAAAGTCGAAGCCGCCAAAATCTTCTCATGAGAAGACTTTTTAAAAAGTAAACAGAAATTTTTAGAGATGCATCTGTTTCGCCTTTCTTATTTACACACTTCGCACTTGAGGCGCAAAAAAAACTTTGGAAGTTGGCCAGATTTGTGGGAATCCCAGGTGATTGATTAGCGGCGGCCGATGTTTGTCTTATTTCACCAGCCTCAGGGGCGCCGTTTTCCATCCAGCAGCTACCGTTGAAAAATTTTCTCCACATTTTAAAGTCACGCGAAAAAAATGGATGATCTTTTGATTATTTTTTTCGAAAGGAAGGCATTCAAAAAACTTTCGATCACTTATGGAGGAATTTTTCGTTAAGTCTTCTTGGACCACTTACCTCCTGGGAATCCTTCTCACTGATCACAACCGATGCTTTCAGGCAAATATTTGACAAATTCTTTTTCTTTGTTGAAAACAAAAAAGCTCGATGATTACCGGATTTTTCAAAAACGCAAAAAAAAAGTGCAAGCTCACGTTTAAGGTCTGCGTCTGCCAATCTCAAGATGCTCTCTGGCGGAGATGGAAAATGCGGAATCCATTCAACTGCAAGTTCTAGTCGTTATGGTCAGTAATTAAAATGAGCACTTTGCTGATTTCTATGAATCTTCGGGACGCCGCCGCTGCACATGAAATGGCTCAAAGCGCATAAAATAATTTACACTCGAGGTTTCAGTTGTGTAATCTTGCAACAGCCGATTCAAAGCTTTCAACCATTCCACATGCGACCAAATTTTGTCGAAAAGAATCAAGTTCTTTTTTATTGCTTCAGATTCAGAACCAACCTGCTTTCTTTTTAAAGTTATCAAGAGTTCGCCATTCCCCCCAAACGCCAAGTTCAACTTTTACCATGTGGTAATCGGTATTCATGAACTCAATGATGGCCCAGTTTGTCGTTGCTAGAGCGACAATCAATAAGACCGCTCCGACCTGGAAAAATCTTTCTGTCTCAGAACTTGAAAATGTTCTTCCTTGATTTTGATTACTCGATTCTTGCGTTCGAGAGAAAAAGATTCCGTGAAGAAGATTCAGGAGATAAATTGGAGACAATTATCAGTTTAAAGCGTGATCATAAAACCTAGCAGTCCGTAAACAAATCCCACCTGGTATCTAAAAACACGTTACAAGATTCAAGAATTGTTATTCGGTTCCAGCATGTAAATCTATTTTTTTGACTTTTTCAGTTAGACAACAGCTTTTTTCTTCTTACAAACACTCTTTCTCAAGCTGTATAAATTACAGAACTGAGCGATTTTTTTTCGAATACTGAATCTCATGATAAAAATATGGAAAAAAAATGAAAAAGGGAACGAGAGAATTCAGCATCTTTCAAAAATTTCTTGAGAACAAAATTATTGCACTCATCTTCATCATAAAAAAAATTGCTAAACGGTTTCGAAGGATTATCCATCCGGTGGTTCATTTTTTTAGACTTATATTTCACTCTGAGCTTGAAAAAAATAGTGTGAAGCTTTAGAGGATAAGTGAAATTTCAACAGATTAAAAAGACTTTTTTCAGCCGCCAGTAGCACTTTGCAAATTCAAAAAAAATTGATATCATTTTAACGCCAAATCTTACAAGCTTAGATAGAGATTATTTGCTTTCACACTTTTTAAAATCTCCAAAAACCGCCTATGAATGATGTGAATGAACTGAAATAGCAAAACGGAACGAACCCAAGCCAAAATAGTGGCGACGGCCATGATGCGACGCTGGCACACGACCTCATGGTAGGTCCGCATGTTGAGGATCTGGCTGCCCCGGAGCTCAACGGTTTTGTCAATCAGCTCCATCGTTCTCGCTTTACGATGCGCTGCTGTTGTGAAAAACGAAAAGTTTCTCTCTGCTCTCTTTTTAATGATGTATCAGTCCTCAATTCTCTTCCGCTCTCAGTTCAGCGGCAGAATTTCGAGTCTGAGAGATATGACGTGCAAGTGACACCTTGCCCTCTGAAAGTCCTATAGAATTAGAAAGTGCAAGTTCGCGGGAAGAAGATTTTTCTAGCGACATTCTTCATTCAAATTGCAAAAATTGGATTATAAAACATCCACAATGAAATAATCAAAAATGAGAATAAAAAGTATCAGTCAATTTTCCACAGGATCATCAAGGAAAATTACTGAAAAGGAACGTTATTTTGCTTTGAAGTTAGGATCTTGCTGAAAACAGCCCAGAAGACTCCTGGATAAACTCGGTAGAGATCATGAAAGTCATTTCCAACTTTCTGATTTCAAAAAGTACATTCCGAAGCCAAAGAAAACCTTGGAATTCCGTTAAAATGAGCTTTTTTTAAAGACTTAAAAGTTGTGCAGGTTGAGACTAACAGAACCTTCACCTAGTACATGAAGAAGTTTTGGGGCTAAATTTCAAGAAATCCCCAACCGCAAAGAAAATGACACCTCTTGTAAGTCGACGACGAACTTTCAATACTTCAAACCATCATTTGAAAAAAAATTTGAAAAAAAATAAGAAGTTTTCAGTAACTTCTTCTCAAAAACTTTTCATTCAGTTGAGAAAAAAATATTCTGTGTGCAAAAGTTCGCATAACTAGAGCAGGCGTCGTGCAGAAGATAATTATCTCTATGGTTAGTATTCAGCGAAATCTCACGACTGCCTAGGAAATCAAAGGCTTTTTCCCATCTCTTAGATAATTGAAAAGCTTGAAATCGAGAAATAAAATGAGAGCGGTTTTCTTTTCGCGTGCAGCCTAATCAAAGTATGAAATATAAACCAGATGATGTTCGAAATTACAAAAACGCACGATAAATAATATTATGAGAAAGCGGCGGTTTTGATGAGCTTAGAAGGAATGAAGAACAGTGTAACGCTTCATTTTTATGTGGTTCGTGACAAAGGCCATTCAGAACGTCGTTGGACACGAAAGACATCTCAAAACCTCAAAACAACAGCTTGTTTTTAATTTACCGCTTTCCTAGTCTTAGTTCTTAGACCACTTACAAAAATGGAAAAAAATTTTTGGTCGCATTTTTTTATCTTTTTTTCATGGTACTGAAATATCAAACTCAAACATTCGTCGAATTGAAAAATAACTGAAAAATAAAAAAATATTTGATGAAAAAAACTTGTATTCTCTAAGTTCTTAACCAAACGGGATTTGAGTTTAACATATTGAAATAGGAAAAACACCTGGTTTTTTTGATAAAAAAAGCTGAGACAGGTGGAAAAAAATAAGAAAAAAAGAAGATATTAATTAACTGGAAAGAGCAAAGTCGTAAATGAAATAGAATACAAAAAAATCTATAAGAAAAAAAGTAAATGAAGTGACTAATTTTAGGCTGGGCGTGTCTTGAAAAAAACCGCTTCGCAGCCGCCTTGCGTAAAAAAATTCTATAAGATGATAAATATTTCCAGTTGGATCTAGTTAGGCCCATCAATTTGAAGAAAATCAAAGTTCTCAAATGTTTGTGAAATCATCTGTGTTTAAATAAGTCTTATTTAGTCAGTTCGATAAGTAAATCATTCACTATCACAAAACTTGCATTGTCATTGTGATCTTTTTATCTTTGTGAGTAAGTTTCAAAAAAAACATCTTGATCGTGAAGAGATCGTCTAAACGTGGAGAAAATCCGAAAAAAGCTAGATGCTTTTTATTAAAAATCCGAGCAAAGAGATAAAGTCCGAAAGTTCGCGGTGTCAGAAGGAAGTAGTCAAAAAAACCTTGCGCGCCGACAACGAGCAACTGCCAAGCAGACGCGCAAATTGACGAGCTCTTACTCGTTGCAAAAATCGCGACACTCGACAGCAATGTTTCTGTAAGTAAAAAACAATGTGACTTCTGTTGACCGCCGCAGATTTTTTGTTTCTACAAATATCAGTCACATGCAGCTGAAAAAAGGGTACTTACACATGTGCGGAAGCTTTTAAAGTCACGCACATTTTCTATCTTTTAATCTTCATAATCCCTGTCTGAGGTGAACAAACTACATACAGAGTTTAGTTGCAGTGTTTGAGCATATTTGTAAACTAGAATGGATGATAGGGAACTGTTACTAATACTTCTTGAAGAAATTTTCAATTTGAATCGCGACTGATTTTCATTCTCGGAATGAGAAAAATTGCTGAAAGAAACGTTTGAACGTTTATTGCCCTCTATTCTATTAATAATTTGAAAGTCCAATAATTCGTTGAAAACTGATTCAGAAAACTTTAAAATAAGACTGGAAAAGGACTCCAAATACCAATTTCATTCTAGAATGTTTTGTTCGAGCGGCGGCGAACCTAAAAATATTTACTGCATACAAATTAGGAAGCTTCGATTTCATTTCAAGATAAACAACAAATAAAATGCAGACGTTTGGGATTTTTGAATCTTTTAGCAGGTAAAAAAAAGGATGAATATAACTATAGAAGGGAGGGTCCAAGAAAGATGAAAAGGCCTTTTTATGCAATCCTCAGAGAAGGTCTCAAATATCCGCGCGAAATGTGTGGAGAGTCGAGAGCTTTGCGGTGAGACAAGCGAAAGAGAGGGAGGAGACCAGAGCTTTTCGTCCTGTTCTTCGGCCGACAGCCCTGACCTCACGCGATCGCAACATCTCCCTCGGATAATTACCATATGCTGCTGGCTTTTGGTATTGGAAAGGCAGAGCAATGGAGCGGAAAGAAGAGACAACCAATTACGAGAATCAACTTTTTTCAGCTTCCGACAGCTGGAGCACCACTCCAGAGAACTTTTAACTTGATTATTGTGAGAGAAATGATTCAAGAGAAATTCAATCAAAGGTTGTCGAGGTCTTTTATGATGTTTCCTGGGTGAATGGAGAGGAAAAAATATTTATAGCTTTGCACAATTTAATTTAAATTATAGTCGGGTAAAAGTTTGGGAGCTTCTGCCTTCGGTTCCTCGGAGGTCTGGAAGCTCTCCAGCGAGTGGTCAAACGCCTTCCACATTGCTTCTTTCCAACATTTTCTATATAGAAAAAAGTCCGCCGAAAGCCTTCCAAAAGCTTTCCACAGGCTTCTGGAAGGCTTCTGGTAGGCATTTCCTGGTTTCACTTTCCGAATACCCTTCGAACACCTTCCAAAAGCTTCCCTGAAGCCTTGTACACCTTTGAACTTCCTGCTGGTTACCTTCCCAATACCTTCCCAGGATATGCCTGAGTAGGAACTGATGTTTTGTAGTATACGTCGAAATTTTAGCTAGGCATTTAAATGGACCGAAATTCCGATGTAATTGTTTCGTTCGATAAAAAGTCACGTTCAAAAAGTTAGAGAAATAATTTACATTTCGCGCAATTTTTTCTGATGTATTGGGCAGAAAAAAGCGGCTCAAAGAAAAAAAGCAACTTCAATGATATTTCTCTGGTTTCTTTGTTAGAGAATGAAACCGCATCAGAAAAAAAGTCCATCTACTTTAACTAGTTGAAAACTCGATTAAAAATTAATTGAAGAGTCATTTAATTGAGGCATCGAATAATAATTCGTCTCCATTGAACTTTACTGAAATAAAAAGGTCTATTAACTCATTGATAGATGATCAAACAAAAATTCGCTGTCGACGTTTGAGAATCTATGTCATGGACAAGTCATCATGTTCCGAATTTTCTCGCGACAGCTGTTGTGCGGCCTTTCTGATATCACAACAACAACCTCTAAGATCGGGAAGTTTTAACACAGATATGCATCAGGTTTTTCGGAAAAAACTTTTTTCCTAATCTTTTTTAATCTTTTTATTTGTTCTTCTCTGATGAAGATAGTTCACTCATCAGTATCTTGATAATAGGGGATCAAGACTCTCATATTTTTTTCTGCAAACTGTAAATACCCCAAAGTTTTTTCAATCCAGCTGTGAACAAAAAAATATAATTTTCTATCAAAAAGTTATTTTGTCAAACATCCTGAAGGGAAAATAAATTGTAAAAAAATTATTTTTTTGAGGTAGAAAAAAACAAAGTTTTTTTGTTTAAAGTGTATTTGACGACAAAGAGGTCATCTTTAATTTTAATGTAATTATAGTTCATTTCAAAAATTTTTGAGCTTCAAACTTTTCGATGGTGCAGAAATTTAGAAAAAAAGAATGAGCGTTATCGCCAGTTTTTTTCTCTTTGACCAAAACAAGTTTTCACTTTCTCTCATTCGTTATATTTAAATAAATAAAATGAGAAAAAAATGTTTTCATTTTACCCAAATTTTGATCCCGAATAGCAGTTACGATAATCAAAGAATTTGAACGCGGCCGGTGTATGGACGCAATAGATTGCGGCCTAAACAACGCATCACACGGCTTTTTATTTTTTTCTCATCATTTTTGAATTTGTTGTTTTTCATTTCTGTTACAATTTTTTTATTTCAGTATGGATGACGGGAATGCTCCACCAAAACCACCGGAACAGAATTTACCCTCCTTTTCTGGGAATCCGGCTCCTCAACCGCGAACGACAGCAAATGCTCCTTTACAACAAAAACGTCAGTTTTAACGTTTTCTATTAGTTTTATTGCTTAGAAATTGCAGTTGACTGAATAAATGTATCGTAACTTGTCAGAGCTTAATGAAATTAGGAGAATTTCAGTAATACTTAGCTTTTTTGGCACGAAATCATGTTTTTTTTTCGTTTTTTGAACTTTTTTCGGCAGCAAAAACTATCATTTTTGTTTGAAATATGAAAGCTCTTGAAAACTCGTAGATTTCACGAAAAAATGAATTTTTCAATTGAAGCGATTCTTCGAGACTTTTCTTCATTTTACGTATAAAATTGGCTTTTAGCGTCTACTTCGGGAGCTACAACATCTAATCCAACGTCATCAAGGCCGCAGCCAAACCAACAATTCAGTTTCACACATCCTCAGAATGCTCCATTGCTTTCTGGACAGCGAGTGACTCCTTCAGTTCCTCGTGAGATTCCGCCAGGTAACTTTTAAGAAAACTTAAATTTATACTTTTTATTATTTTGATCCAAGTATTTTTCTTTTTCGGCTCTAGGAGCACAAGTAAAAATGTTACTGTTCAAATATTGCTAGAAAAAACTCCTCAAAACGCAAAATGTTCAAATTCGAGTACAGCAAAGACTTATCCCAATCGAGAAATTGTGATAGCATTGATAAGAGCAGAGTATTATAAATATTAGTCCAAAGAATATTCATTTCTTAAACAATTTGGAAAGTTGGTGATAAGTTTTTCTATCCTACCACGTTGTTCCAGTTAGATCCAATCGCAAAAAAATATTTCGAAGAAAAAAATTAAAAATTTTTGAAACAACAAAAATAAATTCTCTCATCTGTCTTTTACACAATTCCATTTTTCAGATACGTATCCGCCTTCAATGAACAATCAATACCTTGCGCGGACTATGCTGAATTCGCAACACCATTTTTCTCAAGACCTATCTAATTTTCAACCGGATCCGCATCAATTTGTGAAGATGCAAGAGCAAATTCGCGTTGGAGAGCTGGATCCAGAGCTGTCGATTCGAGAATATCATATGAAGACGTTCCAGCTTCTAGAATCTCCCATTCACAGTCCAGCGTTGCGATCTCCACGGGCTCCGCCACGTAGGAAAATAGCCGAAACCGCAGCCCAACAGCAGCAAATTCTACAACAGCAACAAATGGTTAAACAACAAAAAATCGCTCAACAGCAGCAAATGATCCAGCAGCAGCAAATGATTCATCAGCAGCAATTGGTCCAACCGCAGCAAGTAGTCCATCAGCAGCAAATAGTCCATCAGCAGCAAATAGTCCATCAGCAGCAAATGGTCCAACCGCAGCAAATGGTCCAACAGCAGCAAATGGTCCCACATCAGCCAATGGTTCAACAGCAGCAAATGGTTCAACAGCAGCAAATGGTTCAACAGCAGCAAATGGTTCAACGGCAGCAGCCAATAGTTCAACGGCAGCAGCAAATGGTCCAACAGCAGCAAATGGTCCAACAGCAAATGGTCCAACCGCAGCAAATGGTTCATCAGCAGCAATTGGTCCAACAGCAGCAAATGGTCCAACCGCAGCCAAGGGTCCAACAACAACGAAGACCGCCTGTCAAATCATCAGCGCAATCAATAGAGCGAAGGATGCAAGAACATTTGTACGCCAGGCCTCCCGAAGAGCAGCCTATGCAGACAGGGTCGACCGTTGAACAAACGTCTGCTGGTAGACGTTATGCCCAACAAGCGACTTCTCGAGGGCTTCCACCCAAAACCGAAACAGTCCTTAACATCAAGCTTCAGGAGATTTTGGCCAAAGCTGCCAGAGAAGCTCGGCAGGAAGAAGAAATGATGAAAGCACGGAAAAGAGCTGTCGATGAAAAGATTCAACGGCTTGGAGCTAGAAATCAGTTACCACAATCTTCTTACGCTAATCGAAACATCAATGTTCAACGCCCTTTGCCAGAAAATCCTCAAGGACTAACAACGCAGCGAATAGGAGCTCCTCAAACTAATTTGTCCCGGCCGATGGTTCAGAATCCAACTGTAGATACAAGAAACCAACCATCAATCTTGGCTCATAATAAAGTGTCCAGTCAACCTGGACCTTCGTCCATGCAGCAGCCGATGCGCTATCCAGTGCAGACAGCGGCGCCTCGAACAGAGTCTTTCATGTCCCAACTCCAGCGATTGGCAGAGCATCCTCGATCAGCAGCTCCTCGTCCCAGAATAATCGCTCAGAGCAGTCTTTACCCGCAAACGAGCACACAATCTGTCGGGTTTCGTCCTACAGACTATAATATTGGTCCCTTCCGTACACCTCCTAATGTTCACTCTTTTCCTCAAAAAGCGCCGCCGAAGGCAAAAGAGCAGGCTAAAACGCCACAGAAAAAGTCAGCGCCTAGTCGACCGCAACCGTATGAAAATGAACCACAGATCACGCAGGAAAGACTACAGGAGATAATAGGTACGGTTGAAGCACAAGTACAGGAGCAGCAAAGAACCCAACCGAAGCCGCCACCGAAGCGATCTCGAGCTAAACATACGCAGCAAGTGATTGTTCAACCTCTCATTCATAGAGAAAGCCTTCCTCCTCCGGTTCAAGTCATAAACCAACGTTTTGCCAACATCTCCATGCAGCAGATGCAGCCAAGCACTTCTAGAATGCCGGATCAAGTTCATTCATTGAATGCCCCTTCAACACAAGTTACGACAACTATGGGTACATCCACTCAGCAGTTTACTGTGCAAAGACGCCCTGTACAAAACCAACCTGTTCAAATGCAGCCAACTCAGCAATTCTTTGCTCAAGAACGTCAAGCACAGCAGCAACTGCCTCAACAGCATCTTGTTCAACAGCGTCTCGTTCAGAATCGATCAGTTCAACAAAATCCAGTTCAACAGGCTCCTATTCAACAAATCTCAGTTTCACAAAGCTTTAGTCAACAAATGCCAGTGTCGCAGGCTTCTAACCAACAAGTTCAAGTTTCACAGGCATTTATTCAGCAAACTCCAGTTCCGCAGGGCCCTATTCGACAAATTCCCGTGTCACAAGCCTTCATTCAACAAACTCCAATTCAACAGGCTCCTATTCAACAGAATCCAGTTGCACAGGCTCCTATTCGGAATACTCCAGCTCCACGAACTTTTATGCAGCAAAACCCTGTTCCACAAGCTCCTATTCAACAAGTTCCAGTTTCACAGGCCTTCATTCAACAAGTTCCAGTTTCACAAGCTTTTATCAAACAAACACCAGCTCCACGGGCTCCTATTCGACAATCTCCAGCTCCCCAAGCTTTCATCCAGCAAAATCCAGTTGCACAAGCTCCAGTTCCACATGCTCACAATCAACAGGTTCCCGTCCTACAATCTCCAGCTCAGAACTATACTGTTCAACAACATCTTGTTCAAAATTTCCTACCTCAACAGACGAACTTTTCTCCTCAACAAGCGAACTTGCTTTCTCAACAGACTGTTGTTCAACCAACTACTGTTCAAAAAGCCCCTTCTCAGACGCAGCGTAAAGGAAATTCTTCTCAAAGCCGTCCTACCCCGCAGAAAGCAACCTTCGCTCCTCCAGTTGTTGTTCTTGATGCAACCAGCCCACCGAAGCCTAAAGCACCACGCGTGCGGAAAAAACCAGAGCCAAAAGTGACGTTTGTGTCAGTGATTCCGGGAGAGATAAAACAAAGAAAGCCGCCGTCGAAGTATCAAATTCGAACGACTCTCCGGCTTATGAGAAAGCTGAGGACCGCAGTAAACTTACCTGATGATGAGACCAAAAAACAATTGGAAATGCGCGTTCGTCGCAGAAAGTTGCAGCAAAAAATTATGAAGCGCAAAATGAAGGAAGCTGCCAAACGCAAGGCACAAGCTTTGAAGGCTAAGAAAGCTCCACCGACCGGCGAACCACCATCCAAACGAGCGAAGATGTGCCCGATGCAGAACAAGAAAAAGAAGACGATCGTGCCAAAAATGGTGAGTAGATTTCTTTTTTTTTTGACTTATCAGGTCATACTATCCAAAACTTTGTCGAATCTCTTTTTTCGAAAACAGGAAAATTCCCACAATTTTCTCTGTCAATAGTTATTTTTTTCGAGGCACTTTCAAAAATTGGAAACAATCTTGTTCAAAACCCCTATGTTTCTAGTAAGTAGATTACGAGAGATAGAGTCAGTTTGACAGATTTTTATAGCCAGACGTAATTATATTTTTAATAAAAACAAGTTTTTTGCAGGCGGTGACTCCTGCGCCGCCCACGAAACCACCAGCTCCTCCGGTTCAGCAGATGGTGCCACGTCAGCAAGTGCAGAAGATCCAGGAGCCGAGTCAACGGGAACTCCATCAGCGGCTTCTGATGGAAGAAAGGAAGAAACTCGAGTTAGAAATGCAACAAGCGGACAAAGCTCAAGAGAAAAAAAATCTTCTCGAAAAACAGCGTCGAGAAGCGCAGGTACAGCAAATGCAGGTTTATTCATTTCTTTCAAGTATAAAAAGAGAAAAGCCATTTTCAGTTGAGTCGTCAATATCAATTCCAACAACAGCCTTCTACGTCGAAAATTCAGATGCATCCGACATCAGTAACCGACAAAGTTTGCCTCCAGTTTTATGTCAAAAAAATCAAATTTTTTAGGGCGTACTTCCACCATTCAATGAAAAAACAATGATCAAAGCTCCCAGAATTGTGAGTTTTTTTTTGTCATCATAAGTGATTCAAAAAAGGTACTCAACACTCTTTTACCTATTAAAATCTAGAATTTTTTCAATTTATAACTCTCTAATTCTAGAAACAAAGGTTCAAACTCTCAGAATTTTTTTTTGCGTTTAAATTCTGCTTGTTGGCTTTCTCATTCATTGAAGGAGTTGTATGAAAACAGCTTAAAAATAATTTTTATGTCAAATTCTGCACGATCTTCCTGGGCTGCATTAACGAAAAATAACCAACTTTCAATTTATTTCCTAATTAAAATTGCGTTTTTTTCACTTTTCTCTAAGAAAAAAAGTTTAAAAATGTGAAACTTGAACGATTGTGATTTATTTTCAGCAAGGTGCACCTGTTCAACTGATTTCGCCAAACCTGACAGCTTCTTCAAGTCTCGAACCACCTAGAAAGAAAAAGAAGAGCTTTGTAATTGAAACCGGACCAGACGGAATGCCCAGAAAAGTCTGCCCGGAAAAGAAAAAGACATCAAAGAAGGGTCAAAATGAGCAGAAGGCTTCAACTTCAAAAACGACCAAGAGGATTTTGAAGAATAAACTGATGCAAAGACAGCCAGGCGTCACAGTGGAATACCTGAAAGACGACGAGAAAAACGATTGTCGGCTCTTCCCAGACCTATCAATCCTTGTAGAGCCCGAATGTTTGCCTGGTCCTTCCGGCCTGCCTCCTCCACCACTTGCCTCTCAGTCTTCAAAATCTCGAGCTCACCCCAGCAGTTCTGCAGCTCAGAAAAGACAGCTCATCCCAATAACAACTGCTTATCCGAAGGTAAGAGTATTAAAATGTCTGAGCTGGAGTAAATTTTAGGGAGAGAACAGCAAAGGGCCGGTGGTGATCACCATACAAGATGTGAGTTTTCTACCTTTTAATTTTTAATTCCATCCACCCAAATTTTAGCATGAAGCCGCTCGTCGTGCTGCAGCAGCCGTACAGAACCAGATGCAGATGCAAAAACTCATGGGAAGAAAAGTTCCGCCAAAGTAGTTGGATCTCTCCTACTCTTAAACTTATTATAATTTCAGCTATCAAAAACACCAATGCACAGATGCTGAAAATTACGGTAACACAATTGATAATCTTCGAAAAAATCATCACAAATTTTCAGCACGGGTAATCAACTCTACGGAAACGATCAATGTTCATCTTGCTCCAGACGACGTGTTCCAAATTCCGAAAATTCTTATGGACAGCGTGAGCACTGAAATTGAAAAATGAGTAAAAAGATATCGTTTTCAGGAATTGATTATGCGGGCAAGTGTGACTGTCGAAGCCTACTTTTCCCTTCCAAGTAGTGTAAGAGAACATTTGAAGGTATGATGATTATTTTGTGAAGAAGACGAATGACCATTTTGCAGAAATTCCTCCCAAAGGCGGAAAATAAAGAAGAGGAGACGAAACTCGTTCGATGTGCATTAACTCGTCGCTGTGACTACACCCGTGGAAATCCTATCAATAACTTGCAAAAAAGATTGAAAGGCTAGTGAGAACAAGAATTTTCGGCAAAGATGGAAAAATGGGTTAAATGGGCAGTAGTCCAATCAGTTTTTATATCAAGCCTGTTGGTGTTGAAGTTCGTTTTGAAATGACGTCAAAAGTGCTTCAAAATTTTTATGACATTTATAAATGATATACTCGCGTTTCAACTTCATAACCCAAAAAAAACTTTTCCAAAAAATTAGCAAATTTTTATGCAGAAATCGTGTTTCGAAGCTTTTTTTTACACTGAACTGCATCTTTTTTTCATTTATACTTGCTGGAATTTATATCCAAGAAGATACTTCAAAGCTTTCTAAATTAATTCTTTCAGGTGGTTGTTATGGAGAAAAGCCGTCTGAGAGAGCGCACCTGACTAATAACTTCAAGGTAATAATTATTGTTTTATGAATTGCATCGCAATTTTCCAGGTCCTCTACGAGCATCACTCTCGTTTATATCACATAAGATTGCTGAAAAGACTTCTCATGAACCGACAGGTTTGTTCATATTTTTGATTGGAAAAAGTAGTGCAAAAAGATGCAATCAATTTGGATTAATGCTTTATATTTTGCACCGATTTGAATTTTAAACTCCAAGAAAAAAACTCAATAAAAGACTTTATTCCATCTTTCAGCTCATCCTGACGGCCGCCATGCACACCGCTCCTGACGAAGCGATGCGAATCAGAGAAAATCCCGAAACAGTTTTTCAAAGAAAGCAAATTCTGGAGATGAACCAACGCGTTAGGCGGCGCACCAAAATGTATTGTGTTTTATTTCGAAAAATATTCCACAAAAACCATTTGAGGATGCTCACCGATGTGAAGCTAAAGGCTGGTGATCCATCTGTGTCGAGTGATGAAGAAGGTTTTCTTTTGCGAGTTAATCATGAAATGTTTTATTTTTCCAGGCGAAGCGGCTCTTCCTCCAATTCCTAAAGTTCTGATGGCCAACGTTGCTCGGTCGACCATTTTCAAACCTAGTTTAAAAGGTGAATTGTCTCCGAAACTCGAATTCATCTCTCAAATTCAGACTTGGATCTTCATCAGCCTGTGAAAATAGATGATGTCAAAACGATGATGCGCAAATATCGAGAGACTAAAAAGAAAAACCCGGTAAAAAATCAACTCAACTAAAATTCTTATTTGTATCTGTTACAGGATGAGCCGAGCTTGAATATCAGAGGAATTCGGCTAGAAGATGTCTACAAAAGAGCAGGAATCACTGCACAAAGCGACAAAATTCGAACTCAGATCCACGAACTCAAAAGTTTTCTGCGAGCTCCGCTGCCTGAATTCGACATGTAAATATTTTCTATTAATAACAAATTCTTGCCGTTAATATTTACGTGTTTTTTAATATACCCATTTTTTAAGCATGTATTTTTATTGAACTTCGAGCTTTAAGTATATCTGGGTGCATTGTTTTGCTCAGTTTCATGATTCTTTTTGATTATGTGTATTCTTGTTTGGTTCTGGTATTTGTTTTATGTTCTTCTAATTGAAAAATTCAGTTGGCATTGTTTTCTTGTTTTTTCACCAGTTAATGAACATTTTTTCCGCCTTTGTCCAGATTTTTTATTCCACAATCAAGTCCATGTTTTCTTGATTATTGCTGTAGACATAGATTTCCTCAAAATTTTGGTTGGTTCTAGGTGCTTTTCTACCAGGAAAACAAGTCTGCTCCTGTTTTATGTGGGTTAACTTTTTGATTTTCAGAAAGTCGACCAGTTTCTTTTTCATATGTCTGAATATTGATAGTCATAAAGGAGTTAGGTAACAATAAACCTGTAAAAAAGGCTCTCTTAGAAAAAACTTCAAGCGACTATTCTCTTTTACTTTTCAACTGCGCTTGCGAAAAATCAAACTTTTATTGAGATTCACGTGAGATTGATAAAACTGTTGGAAAACCAGACAGAATGGTAAAGTATGGGCGAGTTGAGATGTTTGGGAAGGACAAACTCGAAGTAAGTACTCGTGGTTTGGAGATAAATGGGAGGGAAATGTGCAAATTACAAGTCCTTGTCGGCTACCAGTCAAGGGAACGAGTTTCAAGGCAAACGAACAGTGAAAGCGCAAGGCGTAGCCATGAGCTGTACATTTCATTTAACAGAATAAGTTGAGTTTTGATTTAAAAAATGGCATTGTGGAATTGGCTAATTCAGTTTCTCAATAGCTTACCTAGGATTTTTTGATTTGAAAGTCAAGGGTTCGGTCACTATGCAATCTCAATTATAGCATGTACAACAATATTGCAATGAGATGAAATAAATTAAAGCTTTGGTGATTAAAACTGGGCTTTGTTGGCTTCCGCCAGTTTCAGGAACGAAGCTAACGCGGAGAAGTTGGAGTTTTGGAAAGCCGGAATGCTCAGAAGGATGTTGGCCTGGTTAATCGAAGCTTCTGTTGCTGTTGGTTTCGGCTTTAAAGTGACTTCCGTGAGACATTGGATTTGTGCTTCGATGAATCTGCAAAGAGAAAGAGATGCTTTATAATTTGAAAGATCTTTGAATAATTCAAGAAAAAGAATGTATGATTTTACCCACCTTTTCATCGTCAAGTAGCCGGCCAGCAGAGCGGTAGTTCCAAAATTGTGAGTGTAAAGGTTGAAAGTGTCGAGAGGCTCTTTGAGGGCAGGATCAATCGGCTTACTCATCATATTTATCATTTCGTTGACCACAGCTCTGAAAATTCGAATTTGATCGTCTTTTTTCAAAAAATAATTTTTTGGAAGCTGGATTCAAGAGACACTTACAAGGCGGTGTTGAGATCTTCGCGCCGTTTCTGTATGTTCTCCGAGTCGAGCTTCTTCCTGGTGGCTACCACGTGCTGTCCTAACGCTTTGGCCGGAAATTCCTTCTCACAAATGTAGGAAAAGTCGCGTCCAAGGTGCTCGGCTTCTCCTGCAAAACAATATAATGAGAAATTATAACTATATTCAGCTGACAGGTAATTTTCAGTTATAATTTATTACTTTTATCATTCAAAAACTTGGAAAAAAGCTTGATCAGTTTATTATTATATTTAATGAGGTCATCATTTATTCGAAGCGGTTTCAATTTCCCAACGGATCAGTTGACATTCCTGGTAGATTTCAAAGAAAAAAGCTGTTTTTTTGAAGTTTTTTTGTATAAATCTCGAGGATTTATAGCCAGTAACACGAATTCCTTCGCCATTCAATTTTTCCTTTTTTTCATAATTTCAGAAAAAAATTTCACCGGCTAAAAATTTGAAACTTTCTGGGGTCTGAGCATTACTTAATTTTACGCAAATGCTTCTGGCTTGTAACCAAGGTTTTTTTTTTCGAAAAACCAAAACTTGTGGGAAATATATTCAGATCTAATCATATTGTACTGGCTGCTATGAAAAGACCTTTTTATTTACGTTTTTCCCACCCCGAGGGGAGCAAACGCAGTATTTCTTGTTGACTAGTTTACCGTTTACTTTTGGTCGCGAGCAATCGGCATTTGAGCAAAGTCACAGACTGTTTTCAACAACCAAAAAAGTCGAGAAACTAACACCACTCCATATTTTACCTTCCGATTCTCGAGTGAAACAGGGAAACACTACAAGATTTGCGTTGGCTAGAATCCAAGAAACTAACAAAAAAGTAACTGATAATATACAAGCTCAAATGATAAAAATATGTATACTTACCTTCTACCATTGAAGTCAAGAGCGTAACTGTAGCCGACTTCCTTCTTCCGGCTGGCAAATTGAGTCCTAGTTTCTCCAAGGTTTCACGAAGCTCTCGTCCACCATTTTTCGATTTGGCCCTTCTCAAGATTCCGCCCAAGATCGAAGCGTTGAGATTCTCCGGATGCCCAAGACGTCTTTGAATCTGAAATCACCAGATTCTTAGAAAGTACATAGGGCTACGTTTGAGAAGTTTTCCCTACAGTTCTTAGAATGTTCGTTTTCGAACTTCAATTTTGCTTTTCAGCACAGCCTAGTAAGGTGGACAGTAGCCGGCTGGGTATTTGCGGTGCAACGCAGCTGAAGGCCGTTTCAAGCTTTTTTTCTGCGGTCTGTGCAGACTTGAATTGAAATTGCCTGTTTTGCGTCTGCCCGCCGGCAACCTTCTTTTTCCCGCTCATCATGTTCAAGGTTAGCGCTTCCTCCTGCTGTTCCTCCATTTCAAAGGTCCTCACACACCCCGAGGCCATCAGTTTCTCTTGCGGTTGAAGAGAAACAAGAGTGGGAAAGTTTGCGCAGTTTAACTCAACTTTTGATGAATGATCGGCTGCGGAAGTTTTTTTCTAGGAGGGAAAACCGAGATCCAAGACGACCAAAAAAAGTGACAAAAACCAATCCGAAACCGACTTGGTAAAAAAAGGTCTTGCCGAAAAAAATTATTTTGCACTTCTGTTCATGAGCATTGATCATGTTCATCCTCTACACATTTTCTAGATTTTGAGAACCAATTAAATTTCGAATCAATACCAATTGGATCAAAAATGGAAGAAAACTAGCTTTATTCACTTCAGAAGATTTCAATGTTCTTTTTTTGCATCCTATCATGGATTAGCTTTGAAGATTATCTACCTTAACTTAACAGCGCTAAAATCATTGAACCCCTTTTGAAGCTATTTCTGTTCCTACTTTTTCCGAAAAAAGTGGTAAACACAATCGGCTGAAAGTTGCGTGCCTCAGGCCATCAGCCCCTTTAATATTTACCTACTGCGCGGCTTCTTGCCTGTGGGTTTTGGCCTGACGTTACAGTAATCTGAGAAATAGTGTGTGAGCCTTGGAGTGTATCCCGCGTACAGAATTTACCCGCGGGCGCCGCCAGAAAACTTTTCTCCCTTTCTTCTAACTTCGAAATGTCGCCCGCTTTCGATAGAGAGACCACATTGAAAAAGGGTTATAGGGTGCGAAAAGACATTTTAACAAAAACTCGGCGATTATCCAAGATAATTATGTGAAGAAGCAGTCGCAATATTGAATTCTTCGATCAAAAAATGAACTCGTGGAAAGATTTTTATCAATAGAAAATGGTTACTGTAATTTCAATGGTCTTGTCTGGATTTATTTTTTTGTCTGAAACTTTTTTTAAAAATTGAATTCTCAAAGTATCTTCTGGCGAAGTTCCAGAACTCAAATGTTTTCAACTGCTCGAAAAAACGACGATTTGGCTCCAAAAAACGGTATAAACATTCGAAGTTAGCAAAAAAGCCGTTTTGGCTCAGATCTAAAACCAATTTTTGAGTTTTTGTCATCAATTTCAAAAAGCTTTCAAAAATCAACATTTTTACTTTTTAGTTACCTACCCATTCAAGATTTTCACAAAAGATTTTTAAACCTCGTTGATATGAATCTCAGCTGATTTATTTCTAATAACTTTCCATGTTTTCTCGAGAAAAAGATGGTCCCGAGAAATCCCCATCAGCTCATTTGGGTCTATGGTGGGCAAATTATGGTTGCGCAATGGCGGTCGGGGATAAACGGTTCGGCCGAGATGTTTAGCTCTCGCGGAGCACATGAGATGACCTGTGCACATGCCGTCGTCTTTGGGATGACGTCACGACTGCTGGTGTCTAAGGTACCTATGGCAATGCCAGCAACGACCCCTGCTGGGTCCCACGCGCCATTGATTGATTGTGACCCACGGCGCGTCCATTCCAGGTTTCGGTTGGACACCGTCCAACACGGAATAGTTGTTTAGATTGGAAGCGCAATCCGAAGCGGACCCAAGAGTGCAGATTTAACAACCTAATCGAACATTTACGCGAGTAATAAAGAAGCCAGTTGAGCTTGATGGTCACCATAACGGATTCTACTAAGTAGATGAATTGAGAAAATGTTGAAGAAAATAGATTGAAATCTCAAATTGAAAGAAACATCTGAGATTTTTTTTTGAAATTGAAAAACAACGAAAATTTTTTAAGCCGCTTTCTGAGCCAAAACTTGACATTCAAAACAATTGACTCTCTGTTCTTTCGGATTTTTTGGTTTTCATATACCAGACACTTTCAGAGCTGTAAACGATTTTGACTCGAAAAAAAGAAATAGAGAAAATGCCTTTGGAGCTGGATTTTGCATTAAAAAAGACAACTACAAAGTTCTCAAAAAAAAAAGGAAAACGAGGAAAATTTTGGAGCATAATTTGGGATAAAGTAATTCATTAAATAGCAAAAATTTTAAAATGTGGCTGTTTTTTCACTTCAAACGAATGAGAATCTGCCAGAAATGGTATTATTCTCTTCAAAATTCGAAGGTTCTCAAAAGATTTACAAAAACCGGACAACGAAGAAACGACAAAAAATATTTTGAAAAACCAATAAAATCAACCAACCTCTCCAAGTGTGACTTTGTACTTGCTGGTGGAGCTCAAGAGAGAAAGTCGTCCGGGAACAGAGCAGAACACTTCCTCCGGGCACATCAGAGAGCCAGAACTGATCAGCGGTGATATGCATTCGCTACTGGCGGCGTCCTCATGAGTTCCATGATCCGAGGAATCGGTGTCAGAAATAAGATCGTCGTCTTCCACTTTGATGTAGCGCTTCTTGCAGTCGACGTCGCAGTGAATAGGAGAAGCTGGTCGTTTCGCACAGAGAGGAGACCTTTGAGCAGGACTGACAGTCTCAGCAGGACTCATGTTGGGAGAAGTCTGGATGGTGACTGGAGCAACAGCGATGACATCCTGAGCTCTCTGTTGAAGGATAGAGCCGATTCTGTCGATCAGAGAGCCGTTGTTGCGAAGCTGATGATCGTATACGCCCGTGTTGACGTACATGCCGACGGTTGAGCACAAAATATTGCCAGTGGTTGCTTACTAGCACACGAGATGATCGTAGCGGTAACAAACGAACGAGGCGGGGTTAAAGGCAAGGCTTGCACTCACTCACTGTGCCCATACTGCACAGTCTTTGGCATCGCGCTCGTTTTTTCTGCGACACCCTCCGGCTCTCTCGCAGTGTCTTTTGCCGACGACCCCTGATGGCAAAAGAGGCGGCGAAGGTCGCACCGCTGGGTCAGGCAGCGTCGCCCGCCCAAGGGCCTATATGCGCGTCGCTTTTTTTGTGTTCCTCGAGCCACTGACCTCCGCCGTATGTACAGGAGGTCCGAGGCCTATCGATTTGCATTTTCTGAGGATGACTTGCTGAATCAGCCGTGAATGAAGAGCCAGATGGCCTACGGGGTATGGAACCATGGAGAGAATGGCTGATATAATTTCGAGAAAAACCATAAAATTCAACAAAAAAATGAGAAAAAAAATTTTGAGTTGAGTTCAGTATTTTAACTGCGAAAATTTTGCCGAATGTAAAAAAATACTTTCAATTTCAACTTTTTTTACAACAAGAAGTCGTTTGAAAAATCAAAATAAGGAGGTAAAAGAATGGTAAAAAGTTAATTTAGAAACCTCCTCCTGGCCTTTTCAAGACCATAAATGGATGAATTATGATTTTGGATGAATAATAATTTCGAAAGCCAAAAAAAGAAATTTTGTTTGGAAATGACGATAAATATTTTTTGACCCTCTAAATTTTGGCGCCAAAGTTTGAAGGCTTGGAGTGTTAGGCGGGCGATTTTTTAAAAGTGTTTCCTGAAAAACTTGCTTGCTTCGAGATCATCGGAATTTTTCTTTCAAACTGGATATAAATTTGGTCCACAGGTGCATGCTTAATAATTTAATGAAAATCAAACCGTTATATCTCAAAGTGAAGAAACATTTCAGACAAACCTTGAATGAACTATTTTGAAGACTCAGTATCAAAGACAGCACATGCAAAAAAAAATCTTGATTTTACTTTTTGGCTATGGTAAAAGCCTCGAGTCTGTCAGGGATCATGTTGGCCTCCGGAAGCAGGTATTTTACTAATAACTCTTTTTTCATGATGGTAAAAGTTTTTTAAAGCTCAGGTTTCACACGCGTTCAAAAATCAGGTTTAGTTTCCATTATTTCCAAAAAGAACGCCTTCAAATTACTGAACAAATGGCTTTTTTAAAGTCATCTTTAGACTGGAAATATTGCACACGCAACAGTTTTCCCAATCTGAGCTTTGTAAACTGTTGTTTGGAAGGCTAAGAATTAGTTAGGTGCCAGATTTTTTTTTTCGAATAAAACGCCTCGCGTACGGTCCCGCCAAATTCTCAAGTTGCTTGAAGGTCTGGGCAGGTACGAAGGCCTTTTTTAGAGCAAAAAAACTTCCTTGCCTTCAGAAAGAGACATTTTAGAAAAATTTCGAAGCTTTCAAAATCGCCAATAGGTTCAAATAAAAAATTTTCGCATATCTAATCATTGCTATTGTTTTCTCAAAATAATTCAACAAGTTTTTCTGAAACTCCTCCGACCTTGAGGAACAGCAATTTAAATGCCGTCTAATTATTAGCCCTTCTCCTTGTAAATGTAAATTTTAAATTTTTCTACAAAAAAAGCGTGGATGGTATAAAGAAAAAAACCACTTGTAAAACGGAAAAAAGACGAAAAACTTTTAAAAAAAATTTAAATTTTTAGGTGCCTCTCTCCATTTTAGACTTGGGTTTCATAGATTATTTTGTACACTGTGTCGGATGAAACTCAAAAAATTTTTAAAATTTTCTATAGAGGTGCCAAGAAGTTTGAAATCGAGGGGTACTACCTTTATTGAAAGCAGTGTATGATACTTGATGGACGAGGTCAAGATGGTTCTAAAAAAGTCGTCGGCTTTTCTCTGCAAAAAAACTTGTTGCAAGAGGATAATAACTGTGTACTAAGATCTACTAAGAAAAATCTACGAAAAAGTTCATTTTAATGGAATTTTTCATTCATAATTTTCACTCTGAAAACTGATAAAAACCTGGGTTAATTCAATTTTTCTTTTCATGGATCGTTCAAAAGAAGCTATTCCTTTTTTTCTAAAAATGATTCTTCTGTAAGCGGTCATTTTTTTCACTTCCTTTTGGAATTTTTTTGAAAATTTTTCCCAAATCAAATTCCTGAAAAAAGTTTTTGGCATGAAAAATTCAAAATAAATCCCTCTTAAGGCGGCAAAAGATGGATACATATTCTTTCAGTCTTTGCAAGAAATAGTACTTTGAAGCCTAGATATCCCTAGGTCATAGGTCACCGGAGACGCACTTCCAATGTTTAGAAGCTCTCTGCAAACGAACAAACTGCAAAGAGCATGGCTCATGTTTGCACTCTGTTACTATCAATACTCATTCTCCTGCCCTGGATAGTGTGAAAAAAACTGAGATTAATTATTGTATATATATATATTTAAATGGCATTTTCCGAAAAAAATAAAAACGTCAGAAAAACTTTTTAAACGCATTCACCTGTTGACAAAGGCCAAATGCTCTGAAAAACCTTTTTAATGCGTTATTTTACCCTGACCATTTTAAAATCTGTCTTTTTTTGCAATCAACTTGATAAAAAAATGTTTCTCGAACTAAAAAGTTTTATTACGACAAATGGATTTTTTTATTGCTTTTTTTGTAAAACTTTTTATCTCCTTTTTGCGAATTCGTTGCAAAAAAAAAAACACAAATAAGCTTTCAAGACTATGTTATCAAAAGATGGTTTCAAATTTCGATTTCGCGTATTTTCCCGCCAGCTTCTACGGCAACTGAAATTTTGAAAATTACTCATTGAGTGTAGTTCAAGCGTATGGGTCACAAAGTGAATAGAAACCTTGATGTTCAAAAATAAATCTGATTCATTAAAAAAGTCTTCCATATGAATTCGTTATGAAAATTCAAAAAAAAAATTATTTCAATAATAATATTTCCAGGAATGATGAGCAAAAATGTAGCTTCTGGAAATATTGGATGAAGTTCAAAAAGAAAATTTTCGAGGAATGTGAGGAATTTGAAGCTCGCTACCGCCCTCTTACAAAACTCGCTAAAGCAAAAAAATTTTAAAAAGGTCGAATCCCTATCTGCTATAATCTTCAGCTTAAAGTTGAAGGCTCAGTTTTTCGACATATTTTTGGGATAGTGCAATTTTCTCTCTCTAATGAACATTGTTAAAAATACTTTTCAAAAAAATGAAAGGAACTATTCTACCTAAAAAAACTGAAAAAAACTCAATATTTTCTAGAATTCCCCTTTTGATCAAATTCCTTCAACATCATAGGCTATTTTTCGCGTGAAAAATCTTTTAATGACGGGCTCGAAAAACATTTGCGCGTTTTTAACGCTTTTCTTCGTCGCGATGAAGGTTTTTATTGCACTTTTGTACAATTTTAAAATGTGAAAGCGTCCTACATTAAAAAGTTGAGTGCTCGAGATTTCATCTGATAAAATGTGTTACACATAGCTCTGATATAAGAAATGGTTCACGTCTTTCATTCTTCTTTCTGTGCTTCTGGCTCACGGCTCGTCAACCACGCAACAGTTTCTGTAAGTCTGACGGATGTTCCAGTTAAGCTTCATTGAGTGAACGTTCAAAACAAGCATTTATTTACTCCGAAAAGGTAGAAAACAGTTTTGAAAGTTACTTTTTCCGTTAGAGTCAGTAATAATTTGATAATTTCTAAAAACTTTATCCAAAAAAATACGACCTTTTAGCGAGAAGACAAATAGGGCAAGAAGTGACTGTAGAGTTAATCAATGAGAAAATCAGCCACGTATGATAATTTTTGCTATCCGAAAAGGCTGTAATTATCACATGCAAAAAAATTGCCTAAAGATTTCCTGCAACATTCAAATTTACCAGACACTCTTTAAAAAAATATTCATAAATCAAAGCGTCTAGAAAAAAACTTCAAGTCAAACATTTTCATTTGAATTCATCATTAACATTTTAAAAAAATTTGGTTTTGAATTTTCTCGCTCTAGTTGTTTTTTCCCCAGCGGTCAGAAGGCCGTAGATTCGCTTTGATGAGAGGCTTCCCTCATTTCGATTGCAGCTCAAACGAAAGGACTATGTAAAATGAAACTATCTGATTCTCCCTAATTGTGGTGAGCTCGCTGTTTCAGATTTCTTGAAGCCGTCGTACTTAAAATATGAACAAAATGATATTTTTTTTTGAGACACTTATGTTGAGACAATAATTTCGAGCATTTGAATAATTTTTCAAAAAAATGTGGTAATTAAACAAAAACCCGACAATTTTTCAAGTAAAAATGACAGCACATAATTTCCCTGTCAAAATCAGCTATTATTACGGAGTGTGAATTGTCATTCTAGTCGCTTCTGACGATTAATTTTCCTTTTTGCTTTCTTCGGAAATTTTTCATCATCCTACTCTCTAATTTAGAAAAACAACGGCTTCATCGGAGGCTTCTAGATGAAAGCCACTCAGCTATTCTTAGCTTCAGCAACCGTCATATAAGAAAATTTATGTTCGGCGTCGTTATAAAAAATTATCATATAATTTTCTCTTTGGATTTTTTCAATAGTTAGCTGAGAAACGCTTTAGACACTCACGATAGACAGCTCAAACTTTCAAAAAATATAGTGTGTCCAAAGAACAATCCCAAAACTACCGAAATTGAGTAAAATCTTTTTTTTAGAGCGGGCATCTCAAGAGGAGAAAAATCTTAGAAAAACGTGTCGTTTTTGAAAAGTTGAAAAAAAAATCCCAGATTGAATATTCAATGTCCGTTCTTGACGGAACTTTGAAGGAAATTGAACTTTCTACATTTGAAGTTATCTTTTCTTTTTGATTTGAAAATGGTTGGCAGGGCTTATTAATTAACAATAAATTTGTTCGCAAGTCTGCTCCTTATTCCTTCTCTTCTCATTGCAATTTTCCTTTTCTTCCGTTAAAGGGAAACTTATCTTTGACAAGTGTGAATGCAGTTCCGATCATTTTTTCTCAGCTGAAGTATAAAGGCTGCACACCATCTGTCACTACGGATTCTCTCTCGGATCGGTCAGAAACCACTTTATAACGAAAAAGGAGAAAAAAGTGTCATACTGGTACGGAAACTGTCTGCATTTCCCTTTCCAGTCTCTCATAAACTCAAGAAAAGGAAATTTCTCTGAAATTGAAATTTTCAAGCGCTGCAGGTGATTTACAAGCCCCGAAAAGGCTGTACTGCAATTAGCCAATTTCCTTGGCATAAATTTCTGCGCTTTCTCCTATTTCCTCTCTTTTTCAGTCTTTTTGCTTCCTTCATCTCGGGAGAAATTTTTCTCATCCTAGAATTATCAGTAGAGCCTCAACATTTGCACCTGCTAGTCCTTTCATGAATGGAAAGCTCGCTAATCTCCCGGCATTTTATTCAAACATCTATCAATTAGACTTGCAGATTATCCCCTACGTACATTCCGATCAAAGACATTTCTCAAAAATTTGCTCTCCGTTCCCTCGGATGAATATTTGTTTATTTTCAAAGAGTAAACTCTCCTCAAAGGTTTTTTACAATGCTTTGTAAATTTAAAATAGCCCATTTGATTTATTTTCAAGTCGTTTTTTGCAGCTCACTTCACAACTACATCAAAATCACTTCATCTCCTACGCAGTTTCTTTTTTCTCTCAAAGTATGAAACTAGTTCCGCCAACTTATTTTTATTCTCTGCGTCCACTTTTCTAGACAGTTTTCGGACTATTTATTGCGCTAATGGGCGTAGTTAGTTTTTTCTTAAAATTAATAGACGCTCGTCTCTGAAAAAAGGTCCTTTCTTCTCCCATGGCGCTGATTTCTTTGAATTACACATTTGGGCGCAAGAATCTATGCCTATCTATTCACATTCGCCGGGTTACCTCCCGTATCTTTTTGTGTTCTTTTTTTTTTGTTAGCGCCGTCCATTTCCAAGCTTTGTTGAAATTTTCACGTGGTCTCGCGTTTTTTTTCACTGCTACTTTACGATTCCTATTGAATTTCAGGGTTTTGATCTTTGCAAAAGGTGTCCGGCGACTTCTGTGATCTTTTCCTGCTGAAACTCCTTTTAAGGTATGAAATAAAAAATAGGCAAACCTTTACCCGTTTTTTTTTGGTTCAAGGAAAGAAAAACAAAAAAAAAGATTCTCAATGACTTTTTAAATATGAATTTTTCTGAATGAATAAAAATTTTTTATTGTTTTTCACTTTTTCTCGAGAAATTCATGTGTTTTCCGAGCCAATGTGCAGGTGCGAAATACGCTCAGTTGAATGTCTATGAACTCGATACTTTCTGAGAAGTTCAAGAAGAAACTTCCTATTCTCGGAAAGAGAAGGTTTCCGAAAAAAATTTCGGAATAAACAGGTTCCTATCGCAGAGGGTCATTTGTTTTTGTGATGAATAGCGCGCCTTTCCGTCTCCTAACAGCTCAATTGCTGAAACTTCTCCATCCTGTCTTCATCTGCGAATAATTTCTAATTTTTCTCTCAATTGTAGTTTCGAGGTCAAATGTTATCGTATGAACAGTTTGATAAAGGGTTCGCAGACGGCGACTGGGAAAATTAAATTACACTGCACGTCGAGAACGTTTAATCAAATTTCCGGTTTTATTTGCTTTCAGGAAGCAATTTTTGATTAACCGAGTTTGTTGCACTTGTCTCGAAGCTTTTTTTCCTAATTCATGTCTAGCAATTATTTTTTCTCCTTTTTCCTACATGCCACGTAATCAGGTCGCGGAGAAGTGTCGGAAGCCAAAATATATTATGTCAGAGATGTTTACAACGAGAGGCTTTGATGTCGTGGTTCCTCGTGGATGGAAAGGAATAATTTTCAGCGTCTTACCTCTCAGTAATTAATATCGGTTCATGAAAAAAATTAATTTCGAGTAGGCTTGTTTTTTTATAACAATCAGTATAATTAAAAGAAAAAAAGTTTCCTAGCTGAAAAAGATTTGAATTATTCCTCTATTCTTATATCTTATGCCAATGGTGTCCTATTTCATTTTCTTCTAGAAATGTTTCTTGTCTCCATTTTCAGTGAAAAAAACGAGAATCGCCCTTTTTTTTCTTCGAAAATTCTATCTGGTTTTTTTGGAAACGCAGAAGTTTTTGAATGATTAAAAAAACTGAAATTGTTTCAAAATGAAAAATTTTACTTTAATTAGAAAAAAATGCTTTTGTAAGTTTATTTCAAACACTCTGAATTTGTTTTATTTGCGCCATAGAGAGCCCATAAATTTAAATTTTTGATGATTTTATGGTTTCATGACGAAACCCGCGTGTAGTACAAAGAAGGAGAACGGATCGAATGCCGTGCCGCGTGCTGGGCACAATGTGCGCTCCACCGCTAGTCACCTCCTTCTCCGTCGATCGTCGCTCCTTCTTGTTCCTTCGTCGTGGTCCTCTGGCTATTGCTTCAGTTTTCTCTATTTTTTTCTCACTTTTCATTTGATTTTCAAGAAACAGCTGTGATTGTGAAAAGCTTCTTTCTCAGTACTTTTCTCCGGTCTCCATCTCGGCAGGAAACTTTCGATAAAAATCGCTTTTTAAGTTTGTAGCGTGTACCATATCTTTTTTCCTGATTATCTCGCAAGTTTCTTAATGAACAAATCAACAAACTCATTCATAGAAACCAAACAAATTTAATTTTATTGAATTTTTGAACAATAGTTATCTTACTCAAAACTTGTCCATCATTTTCAACTGAAAAGGACAATATTCTGGAGGTCTCGGAGCGAAAATCCACTAACTCATTCTTGGCGTCTGCTATGACCATAATAGTTTGATGAGTTATAAGCTCCTCTCATGAAGATTCAGTAACAACTTTTGAGCTTGTATCTGCATTTTAAACTGATTCAACTCAAAACTTATGATATCCAATTTTTCAAATTTCTTTCAATATCTTTGATTTAAGTATAGTTTGCTTCAATTTACTGTTTGGTCATGTGAAAAATGATTTACGACTTCGTTGCAAGACGCAACGCGATGATTTCATGGTTGTATGGTTTTCGAAGTCCTGGTTTTTTGCACTGGAAACGTACATCTCATTTCAAATGTCCCTGCAAAATAATTTGAATAACGTATACCATCAAAAAAAAAAAAAATGCAATTTTGAGAAAAATATTGTGATGGCTTCATTTCATGTTTTTTTGATTTATTATTATTTTTTTCTTCATTTTTCGTCATCGTTTTTCTGTTCGTTTATTTGTATAAATTGTGAACATGTTTTTTTTTTCGGACGCCGGGTGAATTGACCATGGCTGACGGTAACAACTTCCATGATCAACGGGTAAACCAAGAAGATCTGAATCAATTGTTTGTGAGTTTTCAATGAACTTCTTTTTTATGAATATGACAACTATTTCATTTATTTTCTATAGCAACTTCCCTCAACGAGTCAAACGCGTATGGAATGGGAGCCCAGTGTCCAAGATCAACCAGGTTGTAGCGGAACTGGCGCAGGATATAGAGCCGAAGAAGTGGTTCCATATGAACTCCCAGAGGATGATCCCGAAAACTTCGAAGAAGATGACGATGAAATCGGAAATGAAGAAGATATTGAGAACGGAGATGAAGAAGGCTACTTGGAAGACGAAGAGATGGAAGGAGAAGAACTGGAGGAAGGCGAAGAAGGAGAGTACGATGAGGAAGAATATGACGAAGACGAGCAGGAGTACGAGTATGACGCCGAAGGGAATCCCATCTATCCTGAAGATCCGGACGAGTACGACGACTCGGAACTTGCCGAAATTCTACTCTCATCCAACTCGATGGAAGGAAAGGCCCTAATTCTCAACGCTTATGATCGGGTGAGCTTTTATGGTTTTGAATGATGAAAATTTAGCATTTTTCCTGTTTTTCTATTTAGTTGATTAAAGTTTTTCAATCAAGATGAAGTGAGAAATAATTTTTGAAAAAAAGAAGGCCTCGATTTTGATAAAATTTCATGGCCAACCTAATGATGTCTTTTTCTGCACACTATGAGAGAAAATCTCGAAAAATTAATATCCCAGAACTGAAAAATAAGTTAAAGGTCTGTAGCGCATATTTCTGTATAGCTTTCATTAACTTTTATATAAAAATAAATTTTTTTGCCAAATTATCGCTTCACCAAGAAATCCAATTAATAATTGGCGCTATAGAAGTTTTTAGAATTTTCGGTACAATGAATTTCGAACTTTGAGAAAAAAAAACATCTGATGAGCTCAATGAATACTTTTTTCACTTTTTTGTTAGCATTGTTTAAAATTCAAACAGCGGTGCCATTTTTTGTAACTAGAGACAAAAAAGGAAAGTTTTTTCCGTAATGCAAGGATACGTTCTAAGTTTGTTATTCCTCCTTGAGATATACATTTTTGTTTTTTCTCCTAAGCTTGATTTCAATTTGAACTTCGAAGCGCCTGAATACACAACTGAAATAATTGAAGGTCCGAGAGCCGCAAAGAAAATTGCCGCCGCACACGTTAGCTCAAGTGAACGCGAGAGCCCTCATGACGGAGCTGTGCTGTCCGATTTGCCTGGATCTCCTGTCCGACACTTTGACTACGAAGGTTGGAATCTCACAAAAAAACCTATCAACTTACGAATAATTTCCAGGAATGTTTGCATCGTTTTTGCTCAGAATGTATCACAATGGCGCTAATGCGCGGTAATAAGGAGTGTCCCACTTGTCGCAAAAAACTCGTTTCTAAGCGATCACTACGTCCTGATCCAAAGTTCGACCTCCTTATTTCAAAGGTACAGTATAAATCCCACTCCTGAAGATTTATATCATTTGTTACAGATCTATCCAGATCGTTCGGTTTTCGAAAAAATGCAAGCGGCCATGCGACAAAAGAAACCGAAAAAGTACACCAGAAAGCATATGAGAGGCGTCATTCAAGGAGTCGCGAGACAAGAAGAAAGCATCGATAGACAGATTTCTACCTTCAAAAAATACAGTGAGTGGGATAAAAACGGATAGAAACGCTATTAGTTTACGCAACAAAAAAGCAATATGAGGAAAAAAATTGTTAAATAAGAAAAACTATCTTGAAACTTTTTACCAAAAGCTGTTTTCTCAGTTTCGAACTGTAATCAGATTGCAAGAAGCGTGAGATTTATGGGTGATGAATATTTGGGGGTATCTATTTTTTTCCGCTAACACAGTTTAATACAAAAAAATTTATAACTTAAAAAAATAATTTCACTCCGACTGAAAAAGAAAAACTTTAAAAAAACTGAAAATAAGTACCTCCGCACCTTTTTTTCCCAAGAAACGTGCACAAAAAAAGTAATAACGTGGGATATATCATATACTTTTTATTTTATGAGGCACAAGCACTTATTAATAACTTTTTTGAACTTTTTTTTTTTGATTTTTTGAACTTTTTTTTTTGATTTTTTTGTAAACGTAAATTGTTTTCAGGACGCAGTTTCGTTGCGGGGGTAGAAACGGAGGAAAAAGAAGGCGACCAAGAGACGAAAAATGTGATTACGATAGACGGAATCGAGATCGAGATGTGCTCTCAACCGGCTAGTCCTAAACCTAAAGAAGAACCCGAAGCCGTTGAGCAGCCGATTGACGAAAAAGAGGAAAAGACGGAAGACGTCGATAGAAAATCAGAAGAAAGAGAGAAACAAGACCCCATTGATCAACCAGCTGCTGAGGAGAAAGCTGAAGCTACAGTAGTAGAAAACGCAGTCGAAGGAGAGGAAAAGGTGACTGAAAATATCGAGAAGACGACGGAAGAAACGGAGAAACAACCGGAAAGGGGATCGAGAAGTGGCTCTGAGATGGTTTCTGTTTGTTCCTCGAGCGAAGAGAAAGACACGGAAGACAGTGGATCGGTTGGTTTTTTGTAGTTCTACTCTACAGTTTTTTAACTTTTCAAAACTGATTAGACTCATTATCTTCCCAGTAAACCATCATATTCGAACCAAGAAAAACTCATATATTGAGTTTTTTTCATTTTCAAGATTAACTCGATTCCAGTAAAAAAAAAAAAATAATTTTCAATTAATAAGGATTCATTTCAGACAACCTCCACAAATGATCCGACTCAAATTGGTGATTTAAAAACGGCCCGTTATCGTCTAGTAGCTGACGCAGATAGCGACGAAGACCTCGACGATCCTGACGGCGACTTCTTATGCGAAGAGAACGAAGATGAAGAGGACGAAAATATAATTAACGATATCGTCGACCAATTGTTGGACGACTGCGAGGAAATGCTTCAAAGTGAAGATCCTCGGGAAAAGTCCGTCTCTGAGGATGAACTTTCTTTTACTATCAGTGGCGAATCCGATTCTGAGGAAGAAATGAGTACAAGCTCTTATGAGACAGTGATCGACGAGGATGAACTGGAAGACGAAGAAGAAGAATATTACGATGACGAGGATTACGAAGACGAAGATGAGTATGAAGATGAGGATGAAGAAGAGGACGAGATAGAAAGTTCTCCTGAAGCAAACGAGTTGGAGGAAGGTTCTTCGGTAGCAGGAATCGTGGTGGAAGCTGAAGCTTCAAGCTCTGAGAAGCCTGATGTGCCCACTGTTGAGAATGCCAAAGTGCAGAGCGTTGAAAAGTCTGAAACGCCAATTGTTGAAGGAGCTAATACGGAAAACGATGCAGCAGCGAACTCCGAAAGTGTCAACGTCGAGCCTCTTCAAGGTAATCGTTGATTTTATTTCAAACTTTGGAAAGTCATAAATTAAAAAAGACGTTTAAAACTCTTAATGTTGGTTGACTAGCAAAATCTTAGTTTCTTTGGAGTTAATATAGTAAATTTTTGTTTTGAGATCTTTATAACTCATTTTCGAATTTTGTTCCATTGACAACTTTTTGAAAAATGCGAAAAACTGAGTTCAAATGTTCTTCATTGCAGATGATGGTGAAGAAGATGAGAAGATGGAAGTAGATGACGTCGAGGAGGACTATGAGGAAAATGAAGAAGACAACGAAGAGGAAGAGGGGAGCGAGAGCTCTGAGACAAGCGTCTTCACAGGTAGAAAATAAAAAAATCTCCCATTCAAAACTTTATTCAGATTACGATCACGGTAGTTACAACGAAGAAGCAGAAAAAGAAGGTTTCAAAGAGCAGTTCGACTCCAATCCAGCTTATTACGTGATGACGAATGGCGAAGAAATCGGTTGGTTTTCATTTAACTAATTTGGGATCATTTTAGTTCTGTTCAGAGTATATATCACTTGAAAAATCTCGATCATATTGAACTTTTGCAGAAACAAAGAAAGACACTCGGAGTGGCGAAGAGATGGATGATGATCTTGAAAACATCCCCGGAGGCGAACTTCAGCTGGATGACGACGGAAACATAATACCTGCGTCTCTGCCTTTTGTGGAAGTCATCCAAGAGCCGACTTCAAGAATCTCGCCCTTGACAGTCGCTGCAGCTCCACCAGTGCAAGAAATTCCTTTCGTCCCTCCGGTAGCTCTTCCGATTGGGATAGCTCGTCCAGAAGAGCAGCTGCAACCCGACATGAGACCTGCTCCAGCTCCTGTCATCCCCTCAGGTCTTGGGGAGCGTGTCTTGATCCCTCAAACTTCCTCTGCTTTGCCTACTCAGTTCGCTCCATTGACAATTCCTCCGCAGCCAATAAGTCGCCCTGCTGCTCCACCAGTTGCTCCAGTTGCTCCAGTTCCTCCGGCTCCTAAAGAAGCTCTCATAAGCTTTTCGAATTCGCCGACGGCTAGACCTCCGGTTATTGCTCGCAAATCGGGCGCCATTTCTATCATGATGATCAACCAATCGGCTGCTCTTCCCGCCATGCATCCAAGGAAGCCGTCGAATTCTGACTCAAGAATGGATCTTCCAGGTATCTTTGAAAGTAATTTTTCAATTAAGCAATCGTTCCACGAAAATGAAAAATTTTGATATCAGCCCTCATTTTTTTCTGGGTTCGCTAATTAATTGATTGAAAAAAAGTTAAGTTTTCTAGAAGATCTTTTTTCGATTTCTGTATATTCCCGGAAATATCAATTTTTTGACAGTAACTGTAAGGAATGAGTATGTTTCAGAACTTGATAATTTTTTTCAGTAAAATCCCCCTTTTTTTCAACCAAACTTGTGACAAAAATTGTTCAAAAAATATATTTCTTTCATTGATAATTACTTCTTTGATTCAGGTTGATATCAGATTCATGCTCTTGAAATTATTATAACAAGCAACTTATTATAATGTCAATAATAACTTTGCGCTCTCTTTAGATATAGAAACTTTTTTTGAAAATTCTGAACGACATCTATTTTCAATTTGTATGAAAAACAACAAAAATTTTTCAGGAAGTTCGAAATTAGCCGATTCTATGGAAGCCAAACTAATGGAAAGGAGGAAACCGTCAATCACAGCTCCGCTGGAAGCCAAGTCCGAGTTGATAGAAAAAGTATGCCGCCCAGTTCAAAAACCGAGAATAAGCAAGGAAGTGAATGTGCTGGATGATAGCGACGAGGATAAAGAAGAGAACAACTACGAACTCGACCTGAACGACGAAGAAATCCTTCTGCTTAAGGGGATGACTGCAGATCAGCTTGACGACCTCATCGAAGAAATTCTCGTACAGGACGAAAATGAGGAGAAAGAAACTCGTGCTAAAAACAAGGCAGAGGGAAAGCCAGGAGAGATCGAGTTGAGCGACGACGACATTTCTTATTTGTCCTTTGACGGCGATTCTGATGGTTCCGAGGAATCAGAAGAATCGGAAAACGCGGGAGAGGACGAGCAAGACGTAGAAGCAACGGTGGAAGGCGTTGAGGAAGAAGATGAAGAAGACGACGATGATGACGACGATGAAGAAGACGAAGACGAAGAGGAGGAAGAAAGTGCTGATTCTGACATTGACGATGTGGAAGATCAAGAAATGACCACAGACGAAGATCTGGCGGTGATTGAGACTGAAGAAAATCCTGGCGAAGAAGTCATGGAAATTAATAATGGACGTCATGATCTGGACAGTGATTGCACGTTCGATGAATGGGACCAAATGAACGAGGTCAGTCGGTTTTTTGAAATGTTTACAGACGTAATACTCCACGCCCAAACTGACTTCTCTCCATGCGTAAACTTTCCATTCAATTCACAGCCATTGTTATTTTCATGCATTTGTTCTTCTAAAAATGAGTTCTGCACTAATCTAATCCCTTGCTTCTTGAACTTCGAAACAAGATGAGGGAATTGGATTCATTTTTTTTTCGTTATTGTTGGCTTCATATTTCCTGAAAGGCAAGCTTTTATTTATAAATAAGAAATACATTATTGTTTTAGACGTTGTGCGTTTCTGAGAGACTAATCCTTTTTACAGAGTTCCCAATTTCTCACAAACATTCCCGTTGCCATGAAACATCCGCGCATACCTTTTCCCATATATATTTCTCGTTTTTTATTAGTTTTTTTTCTTGTGGGAAACAAATCTCAGACGGTGAGTATGAATAACTCCTCCAATTTTTGGTCAGAATCGATTCATAGGTAGTCATTATTTAGTATGCTTAGTTGATAGAGATTGTCAAGAAATCATGGCTCATTTCTAATTGAGTTTCTAACATCATCCAATTAAGTATTCTTGAATGAACTCTAGACTGACAAGCGAAATTCCAGGAACAACTCGACGCTGAACTATTAGCAATTGAAGCAATTGTTCTCGAAGATCCGGATGGGCTTCTCACTGACCGATTGAAGGAACGTTTAGAAAAAATTGATACAGACAACCAAAGTGAGTGCTCTAATTGAAATCGCTCTATGAATTGAAACTTTTCTTAAATGAACTCTAAACCGAAAAAAGTTCTTTCATAGAGAATAAATATAGGTTCATCAAAAAGTTTTTTCTTAATAGGCGAATCGTCATTGTCGTCTTTCGTCTCCTCTGGAGCTTCTTCGCTGAACTCAAGCGTGGCTTCGTCAGTACTCGAGATTCCCCAAGACGTGCTGGAGAAGTATGAAGAACAGAGAAAACTCGAGGAAGAAGCAGCGGCAGCGGCCCAAGCAGCAGCTCAAGCGGCAGCTCAAGCTGCGGCTCTAGCTCGACAGAGAGAGGCTCAGATCGCACAAGCAGCTCAAGCAGCACAGGCTGCTCAGGCGGCCCAAGCTGCGCACGCAGCTCACCTTGCAGGTCTTAAATATCCTTCCATGTGGATTTATTTTAAAAATTAATGAGTCATGAAAGATGATAAGGATGTTCTTTGGGTTAAAATCTTAAATTCTTCAAAACATGTTTTTGTTATTATTACAGTGATGACTAGCGTTTTTCCACTTCCCCAAGTAGACCTTATCAACTTATCGTAATTAAAGCATTTGCGTGCTCTCTTGCTATAACCTTTTTCCCGCAGCTCACGTGAGAAGCGGCAAAAACAAGTACATTTTCGCGCTTCTTACCTTTGAATACATTCTGCGCACTTGTATTGCGAAACGAGCTCTCAGACCAGGAACTTAGTCTTGTTCTTGAACTTGTATAACTTTCCCAAAAAAGCGTGCTTACGAAACTAAAGCTGACGAAGGATAGTCTGAACTAAACGATGATTTCCGAATGAGACGAGAATCGAAGCATTTAGGTTTTGAACATGAGTTTTTAATTTAAACGTAACTAAATGTCGAAAAATGATTCGCTCGAGAAAAAAAAAATACTATCAGTGATTTAAATCTCATGCATTAGATATATTGGGAGTACATACCTTCCTGGTCAGAGAATCTTGAATTCAGAAGATCTTGATGATTGAAAAAATTCCACTAACTCGTTTCGATTAGAACTGATGAAATCGAAAGTGATAGTTTTTGCAGAACTCAAAAGACTACAGCAAATCCTGCGAGATCCAATTTACGGACCTGCTCTGGCTCAGGCTCTGCCGCCTCAGATTGTCCAACAACTCATGGCTAACCAACCTCCGCCGGACCCGAACCCGCCGGCTACACCCAATCCCCCAAGGCCTATGGCAGCGAACTCAGTGGTAATTTTTTATGAAAGTGTCAGCATGTGAAAAATACAATGAAAGGAAATCCAGGTCGAAACTTCGCATGTCAATTTAAAAGAAGACTTTTTTATTGGAATTTCGTCCCCAATCAGCAGTCTTATCTGTTTTATACTTGAGTAGACCTATTGCAAAACCATTCAATTGAGAATGAAACTGCTTCCGAAAATCCTTAGCTTCCAAACTTTTGCGTTGACGTCAGTATGAATGATGTTGCTGAGCTGTACTTCTCGAACGAATGTGTTTCTTCGGGTACAACTCCTGCTACAAATCGAAGAAGGCGAAAGGGATTTGTATGTGAAAATGTATTGGACTTGGCACTCGTCCGAAATAACTTCTTTTAGAAACCTTTCGTAGACGTCATTTTTCTTGGAACTTTTCATACTTGGAAATGCGCCTAGCTTTTACAGCAAATGTCAATCGTCCAATCACCTCAACCTTTGCATGCCGTTCTACAGCAAATGAACCAAACGGTCAGGATTATATATGATGAACATGCATGCTTCTGAAACGCAGGGAAAAAAATTACATACAAAATCTTGCATTCTTGCTTTTTTGGTTCATTCAGTGTGAAGATATTGGAATAGATTGAAAACACCTGATGAGTCAGATGTGGAAAATATTTGCTAACAGAAGATCGAAAATCTAATTATTGTTGACGCTGGTTATTCAGGAAACTGATTAGACTTTAATTGAAGTATCTCGCGTGTCTGTAGAGAAGTAACACCTACGTCGAGTAATGTCTGATTAGTCTCAAAATTATCCACTTAGTGAGAAGTTTGACCGAATAGTTTACGGTGAGTTAAATTCTGAGTACTAACGACTCACCTCTTGTCTTGAGCAACTTCAATTATTCAATCAGAGGTGCAGAACAATGAGACACACATCGGACAGGAATCTATTTTCCCTCAGATCTTATTTTAGTTTTCCCAGGGAATCAACAAGCGTTAAATGTTTTCCCGTGTCTAATAGTTCCTTTCACATATATTAATAGCAAAATTTAAGAGAAATCCCGTCGGACCTAACCAAATTCAAATGGTGAGAAACGAAAACGCCGATCTCTCACAGCAACCATCGACCTCGCAAAACGCCGCTCAAGCGGTCCCACAGCCCCTGATGCGCCAACCTCCACCGAGCGCCGTGCCGAGGTATATTTCTTGCAGAAATTTTGTTATCCTATAAATCAAAAGTGTACAAGTTTGATTTGAATAGGGGCTCCATGAAGAAGTCTCCGACGGATAGAAAAAAACTGACTTTAAATATTCTTTTTCAGTTTCGCGACTTTTTGGTTACTTTCATGAGAGTTTTTTTATGAGCTTCAAAAAAAGGTTTCGTTCATTGAAAAAAACAAATAAACTGAAGATGAATAATAAAAAAATTGAAAAAAAGAAATCAAAAGTCTTGAATTTCTTTTACAGAGACAACATTTTTCAGTTTTTCAAAACAGAGGTCTCTTTTCACATGATCTATTGAATTATTGGTTTTCCGAAAATAAAGATATCTTTGCACAAAAGTGACGACATGTGCAGGTTCAGTTTGAAAACTGTCTTCTGGTGCGTCCAATAGTATATCATATCATGTTCTGAGTCTCAAAATGACACTCTTGCAAAATGTGTATAATTTTTTCGAAAATTATTTCTCAGAAACTTCGAGTCCGAAATCAAAGAACTTGAAAATTTTTTTCCCTCGGTCAAGCAGATATTACTTCCTCTCGTTGTTTCTGTCATAGACGTAACTGAGAAACGGATGACAGAGAGTTTCCGCTTCCTACTAGTCTAAGACATAATTATAAGTTCGAGTTCAAAACTCATTGTCCACGAAGTTGTTATCATCTGCAACAACTAGTAGTTTGAAGTAAAGTTTGTAGCGAAAATTATAGCTCTGAAAAACTCCTAATGACATGTTGCAAATTCATCGATGACTGCGACTATGAGTAGCGTCTGTCATCTACAAAAATCACTTTTGTAGAGCTGTGCCGAACCCACATCGAGGACTTCTGATGGGGCCTCCGGCTGTGCCTGGAGCCGTGGCTTCTCCTTTCGGCGCCGTTGGAAACGCGCCACAACAAGCACAGAACGTATTCGCCCAGCCCGCTACGCCGGCGCCGCAGCGACCGCCCTCGAGAATGCCAGCCGCCGCAAGGCCTGCCTCCGCGATGCCGCCGACCAACAGCCGACCCTCCGGCTCCATTCCCATCCCAGTACAAGTGCCGCCGCCCAACGCGCCTCAGCCCTTCCCAGCGACCATGTTGCTCACGTGTCTCACGACTCCCAACAAAGGTGGACTCACTCAAGGACTGCCAAGGGTACGTTGACGACTTCTCAATGATTTTTCCCCTAAATAGATTCTCTTTTCACATCTCCACTAGAAAACATTGCTTGCGTGATTCGTGATAGTCAATCGGGCCTTTCAAAATTTTGATGGTTTTTTGCGCTATGTCCATTTCGAAAAATCGCTAGAAAGGTCATAAATTCTTGAGAGACGTGAGTCTCCGCCCCTTTTTACGAGGTTATGAAAATAAGGAAAAAGACACTTTTTTATTGCAATCAAAAGTTTATGTTATTTTCGCGAATATGGATCACATTTTTTTTGAAATTCGTCTGAGAAATTATTTCTTTGTTTTTCTCCTATTTTTTGAATTTCAAAAAGTCATTCTAAAGCATAGGAAACATTCTCTGCTTTCGATAACTAACTCTAAAATTTTTTTCAGAACTTATAGTGCAAAAAAACGGGCATTTTTTTCCAGAATTAGGTCAACAAAAAAATTGAAGGAGTGTACGTAATCAATAACCTCATTTTTTCTCACATCAAGTAATTTACATTCGGAAGTAAAAAATAACTTATTTTCCGAGTGATTGCGTAAAAAAAGAATGCGTCATACTTATCACGTATTTTAGGAAATGATTACTTAGGTAATTAGTCAGGCGTGCGAAACTTTTCCCCCTTTTTCTGCAAAGCTTATGCTCATGACGCCGATCAGAAGTCACTCACGTAGTGAAAAACTTCTTCCTAGTAAACTAGCTAAGCAAAAAAAGGATCTTAGGTGTGTTTCTTCATGTTTTTCATGTTTTTTTGATGAAAAAAATTAATCATCTCTCTGCTACCATTTTTCCTTGAGCAATTTTAAATTATTAATGCTTCAATTAAAATTTTTCAGCAACCCAACCAACCAGCTCAAGAAGTACCTGCTCTATCTCCACTGGTCGCACAGAACAACGCCCCTCAGCTTCTGGCGAATCGAAACATGATGATGCAGCAAGCGGCGATGCAAAACGCTTTGAATCAACAGCAAGCTCAACAGCAGCAGCAAGCTCAACAGCAGCAAGCTCAACAACAGCGTCAAAACCATCAGCTGCAGTTCCAACAGGCCCAGCAGCTACAACAGCTCCAACAAGCTCAACAAGCTCAACAAGCTCAACAACAAGCAGCTCAAGGACAGATAAACTTCCCGCCGGGATATCCAATTGGTCTGCAGAACTTGTTGATGACCAACATGCATCAGCGAGCAAATCCTGATGAACCTCAAGACCTCATCGCGAGATTGACGCCACAAGTGCCACAAACGCAAGCTCAGCAGTTTAACGCACAGATCTTGGCGATGATGAATCCGTTACTTGCACAACAGCTTCAAATGGCTCAAATCCAGGCTGGAATGAATCCTCTTCTTTTGGCCCAGCAACAAGCTGCGGCGCAGCAACTTTTCCAACATCGTGTCGCTCAACTTCCTCCTGGACTACAGCCTTCGATGCAGCAGATTGTCGCTCACCAACAGGCTCAGCAAGAAGCAACTCAAAGGCTTCTCAATCAACAACTTCTCCAACAGAAACAGCAGCCTACAGCTTCGGGTACGAAAAAAAGAAATACACCACCCACGTCGTCTGGACAGCCGCCAGCTAAGATGCCAAAAACGACGAAGAAAGGACGGCCGCCAAATCAACATCCTCCAGCTCCTCCAGTTCCTCAGTTCCCGAACCCTCAAGCGAATCCTCAAACACAGGCTCCTCATCTGATGCCTGGAGGCTCTCAACAGCGGATGATGCCTTTCCCTCAGATGCTGCCTCCGCAAATGCTTCCACCAAATGTGCGACCAGGAGGAGCGCAGGAAATGGCCTCACAGCCCACGATGATGCAGATTGTGCAAAACGGACCACAGCCTTCAGTACACGACTTGATTGCTGCTGCCAAGCCACCTCCGCCGAAACCTCAACCTCAAGCGGCTCCGCAGCCTGAAGCGTCGCCGAACGCTCTTGCTCAGCGCATGCAAGCCGCCACGCCTCAACGTGCTCCTCCACCGCAGGTTTTCGCTGCTCCGGCGACTCCAGCTCCGCCGCAAATGATGCCTCCGGGCGTCTTGTCACCAGAGCAGGTTCAGCAGCTGATTCAACAGCACGTGCAGCAAAATACGGCTCTTGCTTTCATGCAGCAGAACGTTCAGAACATTCTGCAAATGCAAGTGATGCAAAACGCTCAGAATCAACAGAATCCTGGAATGCCTCAGCCGCAGGTGGCTCCTCAAGCCGTACCGTATCATCAAATTCTTCAACAGGCCCAGATGGCTGTACAGCGTCAGCAAATGGCGGCGAACCAAACTCCAGGACAAAACTCCGCAATTGTTTCTCAAGCTCCGCAAGGGAACGCAGCACAACCGGTGCAAACTATCAGACCGACAATGAATCCGCCGCTTCCGCCTTTTTTACAGCCCATCATGCAACAGCATCAGCAGAAACAGGAAAACCAACTACAGTTGACGTCACAGTCACCGCAGCAGCTCCAAAATCAACAGAGGCCGGCACAACCCGCCTCTGTCATTCAAAATACCGCGAACATGCCCCGCCCGATTGATCGCGGTTATCCAGAAGGCCTTCTTCTCCCACAAGGATCTTCCGCATCTGCTACTCCCAAACCCAATTTCAATGAAGCTAAAGAAGCTGGACCATCGAGAGCTCAACCAGAAGAACATGCAAACTCAACACCATCCATCGCCATGACGCCGACCCGCGTTTTCTTCCCACCAGGCCATATGAAACCAGCTGAAGATACTCCAAGCTCGGCCATTTCCATGAGACCAGTCATGACTCTCACAGTTCCATCGACTACTTCGCAGGCTGCGGGGCCTACGCCTCTTCCGAGCTGTAAGTGAAATTGGCGTGAGTCAGGTAATAAACGTGAGAAATTTTCAGTGTCTTGCGTTCTTGGCGACCATCCTCCAATAGGCTCGGCGTCAACTTCGATGTTGCCGCTGGGAGGCCTGGCAGAAGCTCAGAACAGAGAGAACTTGATAAATCGTCCGCCTCAACCAATGTTCCACATTCCAAAAGTTCCTTCGGCGCCAGTGCTCCCGATAGGATCTGTTGCTCAATCTCCTTCTGCTGCACATTCCATGCCTGGTTCGGCACCTCTTTCGGCTTCTCCGGCAATTGTTCCTCCGACAGCTTCTATCAATCTCAAGGTTGGAACCGAAATCGTTTGATAGAACCTACAAAACCTCATGATACTTTTTGTGACAGTGTAAAGCTGGTGAAAAACGTTCAATGGAAATCTTTTTTTGTTTTTTTGCTTTCTGAAATGACTAGTAAGAAGATAGCAATTTTTAAAGGCCAATATACTTAAGAAAAAATAAATTCCCGAAACTATGATTCTTAATTTCTTTCTAGTAAGTCATCAAAAACTGCAATTACTCGAGTTTTTCAATGAGCAAGGAAAATGATCATCTGGTTCAGGACCGAATGTACAGCTGGCTGGCAGACCATCCAAATTCTCCCCTGCAGGTGGAAGACAGCATGGAAAAAGATTTGGAAAGAAAAGTGAGAAAATCGAAGGATTGCACAGAAAAAAAATTGTTTTTCAGCCTGAAGAAACTGACGGACTTGATCGACCCATGAGTGGGACTGATGAGGTAAAAAGGGCTCAATTTGCTTTTCGCACAGTTTTCTTTGAGATCGAAGTCGAAGTGCTGCCAACGGCATCTCTGTGCAAGAGACAAGTTCCAAGAGAGTTGCTCACTCCGCGCTATTTCAAAATGAGACACGATACTCTCAGTGAGTTTTTGCAACATAAGCCAGTAAACTAAAACCAAAAAGGAGATCAGTAAATTTAATTTTTTTTCAGTGGAGCACATTTCGAATGTGGTTCACTTGCGGGTCATGGAGGAAGCTCAGCTCAATCAGACGGACTTCGATGCGGATCCTGTCCCAACGATTCCAAAAGCTGAACATTTCTATGTTTTGGTAGGTTTTCAACATTAGAAGACAGAAAGTGTGTGATATCTCAGAGAGCTGAATTCTCTCAACTTTTTCTTAACAACGGTAAAAAAGGTACATATCACGTAAAAGTCTCTTTGTGAATTCGGAAAAACATTTCTTGAAAAAGACGTAAAAGGCACATAAAAATCGATTACTTCGATTGGGCGGTCTTCAGAACCGCGAGGGAGGTCTGCACGTGCGCAAGATATTCCCACGCGAGACGGTATCGATGGCGTTTATGTCGGCGTCGCGTGACGAGCACCTCACCATCTTCTTCGACACGGAGCAGCCAGTGCTCTCCACCGAGAAACAAAGTCTTCTCGAGCAAGTCATTCCTGAGCGCTTCTTGCAGCCGCCCAGACGTTAATTATTCGACGACTTTTGACCACGAATACGTGTCATCAAGCACATATTAAATCTCGATGATCATTCCGTGTGATTTTTTGATTGTTTCTCGCTTCACAGCTGTTCCAGTAGTTTGATAGCTTCTTATTCATTCGCAACATTCTGTCGTTTTTTTTTTTTTGGATATTTGTGTTTCAATAATGTAGTGATGTACAGATGGCTTTTATCATCGTTTGACTTGGATGATAAGTATTTTTCGAGCAATTTCATTGCTTTTTTTTAAATGATTGTACTGATGTACAGATGTTTTCTTTCATTTTTTTGATTTGGATGACAATGATTTTTTTCGAACATTTTTTTGCTTTCCTTGTTTTTATTTTGACTTTTTTTCCTTTTGGTTTTTCTCTAAGAAGAATGATTATTCAATAATCAACCTATTTTTTTCCTTTTTTTGTTCAAAAACATGTCTAACAACCCCTAACTATTTTATTTATTTTTTTGTCCGTACACTGTGTGGTTTCCTTACTTATCTGTTTTCATTGGTTAGTTAGAAATAAAGCTTCACATTGTATTCCAAATAAATTATTTTTGTTTGGATAGAACAGATATAAAAAGCGCTTCGATGCTTATCACGACATGACTGAACTTTTTGTGAAAAATTGTGAAAAATCATAAAAATAAAAACTTCATCAGAAACACATCGCCAGAAGGATGAATATTAACAGAGAATGAAAACAAACTTGAAAAAAATTTCGCAACTGCAGGAAAAAAAATGGGGTGATTAATAACAAAAAATGAAGGTAGTAGAAAAAGAGAGCAAGTAAAAAGCTTTCCCATCACCGAAAAAAATCATGCAAGAATTTTCTCAACACCTAGGTCTACTGAAAATAGTTTTCTTCAACTAACTCAATACTAGGAGGATATTCAAAACCCACAAAAAAAACTTGAGGTCTTCTTTCGAATTTTTTATTGAGAACATCTTTCATCAAACTTTTTTCTGGTGACAGAATCGTTGAAAAATGAGCAAAGTTTTCCTGAAACCATACGAAAATCGATTTTGGAAACACCCTCTGAACAGGAGAATCGAGTAGAAGACAGTAATGCACGGGAGAAGTTTGAACAGATCAGTTGGATCAACTTTGATGAGAGGATACATTGGCAAGAAAGACCAGAGGGAGGGTAACAAATGAAAGATGGTCGGATCAAGATTACGTGAAAAGCTACGCTGACCTCAACAGAATCATTTTTGAAAACTAGAACTTTCAAATTGAAAAAAAAACCTCACAATTTTTTCATAACAAAATTTCTTTCATTTTCTCTTCTATGCGCATTAAAGCTCGATTTCATCTTCAGAAGATTCCAAACCGCAGTGAGAATAGTTTGGAACTGGCAGAGTCTCAACAGTATCGTTTGCCTCCTGAATACTTCCACTGATAAATTGGATGGGTTCCAGGAAATACCTCCGCTTTCTTTTCGTTCTGAAGTTCTTCATTGTTCAACATTGTCGATTGGCTCCTAGTTTTCATCGGCTTCCCTATAAACAACAAGATGAAAGATGTGGATTTTTCCGAAAAAACCTTCGACATAACGCCGTTTCCAAGGTCTTTTTTCTCTCGGAGGCCCTTCCACCAGGGGCGCAGCTTTTCTTTTCCGCAAAACTTTGCGTCGCGGGCGTTTGTTTCGTTTGCGCGGTTTTGGTGGCACTACCACTTCTGCAACTGTTTATGAAATAATAGACGAATTCCGAATTCACTATAAACAGACCAAAAAAAAAAACAAAAAATTGCAATGAACCTTTTGGAACTTCGATTTCTTCGGTTGGAGTCAAAACATCAGGATTGAAATACAAGCCGTTGTCTGATGATGTTCTTATCGGGAGAGGTGTCGTCAAATCCTGAGAGTTTAGTTATAACTTCAAATTTTTGGAATCTTTTCTCACATTTGGACAATGTTCCAGGGATGCTTCTCGTTCTACAGTAGGGGCTGGGTCAGTGTTTTCAAAAGCTGAAAATCCTCTTAGACAGAATTAAATAGTTGATAACCTTCTTTGATGTACTTTTCCCGCTCCTCTAGTTCGTTGATGAGTTTCTGACTGTCAAAAGCATCTCTTCTCCAAGAATAACGATAGCTTCTGTAATTTTTCAATACATTTCGAATAGAAGTACAAAAAGATTCGACACAACTCACTTTGGGTCAACGTGACGCAGTCTTTTTTCTTTTTTGACCCAAGAGTTCCAATTCTCGCATTTCGTTTTTCTCGAATTCTCTTCGATGTTCTCTTCTTCTATTTCAACAAGAGGAGCAAAAGCTCCTTTCTTCTGACTGAAAATGTTTCACTAGAAGTTTGAAAAAAAAAACTGACTCTTCGCATGTTTTGCATTCACATCGTCGGTTCGACTCTCCGAAGAAATGTTTTCCGTAACTACAAGTTATTTCTTCACCGGCAGCGATGTCTCGTTTTGCCTTAATTTCTCGTGAGAACAAAAAAACAAAAAAGGAGTGTTACCACAATGACGGCAGTACTGAATTTGGAAATGAAAGAGCAGTTTGAATTGCAGTCGTGGTTGATATAGGCAGCTGGGCCGAGGTAAAGTTGGTCTTTCCCGCTCCTACAAAATTTCAATCTTTTTGTGAAAACAATATGATATATTTTTTAGCTTAGAAAAAGTTTTCTTGTCTTAATTCACAAAATCGTTAGATCTACGTGGTCATTAGACATGATCGTTTGATGCTTACCTCGAGGAATAAATCACTGAAAAGTCGTTCACGCCTTCTTTGAGGAATCCCGTGTCCTTGACTGGATCAATGTATTTGATAACGCCCGCCAGCTGCTTGATCCACTCATTTTTCTTCCTAAAAATTGCTCCGAATAAAAAAAGAAAAGATTTTCGACCATTTCCGAGTGGCGATAAGTTTTGCTCCAAGACAAAACTCGGCAGAATAACGATAACAGGGGCGAATCGTGAACCCCGAATCAATATGGAAAATTTTGAGAAATCGAACCAGCTGAAAAAAAATATTTTAAATGGAAATGAAAACATTTCAGATATTAACGTAGCAATAATTTACTCACATGTTTGCGAAAGTCGATTTCTTTCTCCACCAATAAACGCATGACGTAGGCTTTCAGAAAAGGAACTTGATAAAGTCCCTAAAATATGGTTATGAGAGAGAAACAAATGGGGAAATTCTCACTTGAATCGCACCGTTCTCATCACCATTTTGACTGTAAACTTTTATGACTTCGGCGAACAATTGATTTTCATAACTAGTGGGTGTGACGAAGCTGAAAATTCGAAACTTTTCATTGGGACTGAGATATAGTTTTTCTAAATAAAAAATCTTTATTTTTTCACTTCTCTTCAAGTTTTTGCTTGTAGTAAAGGCGCACATATTCAAACAAATGCATAATGCACCGGAGGGAGAAAAAAAAATATAATTAGAAAAATTGCTCTGTTTAGCTTTAATAAAAAAAAGTATTGATTCTAATAAGAAAAACCAACTTGGGGTTCATTTTGTGGGTTCTGAAGCGGAGGACAGGGTCAACGACAGCAGCAGATGCAAAGTCGTCGTAGTCGCTCAGCTCCTGCAGTGTCATCCCTTTGCGGCTGATGCCGCCCATCTTCGCCGGCCACTTTTGTTTGAAACCCGAAATTCAGAAAAATTCAGTATCCTCTCAAATGCAACATCCACATGTGAAAAAAGGTGTGAAAAAAATTGCATTTAAATAATCGGTTTGTAGTTTTTTTTTGAGAGCTGGTGTAAATAAAATTCAAAAAACGAAAAATATTCAAATTTTCGTGGAAATATAAAAAGTATTTTATTTAGAAAACGGTCAAAATTGTTTTTCTCAACAGATCAAGTTCAATGAAACATACGAAAAACCTCTTCAGAATGACTAACTAAAACCAAAAAAGCGAATTCAAGTTCGAAAAAGGGATAAGTTCGGAAAAATTGTGCCAGCAGAGCAAAATGACGTTTTCGGTAATCGATATCACGCAGGGCTCAGAATATTTCAGATGTCCAAGCCAAGTGTCGATGAAAACTTAATTGATTTTCAAAGAAAGCTGCAGAAGCAAGAATTTCAATGAACTTGAAGCTAATTTTCAAAATAATCCTGTTTCCAATTTTTTTTTAAAACGCTTTCAAATGATAGAAAATAATGAACTGTAAAAATTTTGTTCGGAAGATTGAAGGGAAAATCGAAAAATCGAAAAATTCAAATTTTGAATCAGACTAGAAATTTTTAAAGGAAAAAGAAAAATTTGAAAAAAATATTGTAAAACAGGAAGATTTGCCTTTTACGTGTAAAACATCAGATGAAGCAAAATATGGAAAGTGCAAGTTTGCAAAAAGAGGGTAATGAGGTATAAGAAAGAGGAGCGTGTGCTGCGCAGCAAATTCAATCGATAAACCCAAGTAGCTGCGTCCCTCACGACGACTTATGACACTACAGCCCGAGCGGCGCCGTAAACAAAGCCTTACATGAAAACTGAGACTTGTAAACATGATTGAGAGTTGTGAAAATTGCAAAGAAATCGGTCAAAAAAAAAACAAAAATTTTGAGAATTTTTTTTCTGGAAAAAGCCGCATAGTTTAAACCATCTAATTAGTAAATAGAAAATTGGACTTCTGCTCGTTTTGATCACGCAATTATGAACACTCAATTCTGTTTTTTGCTTTTTTATGAGCGGCTTGATATTGCAGGAGCATTGTACCATAGAGCGTTCTTTCCTCATATTTTGTTTTCCGTGAGCAAAAAAAGTGTCCTTACAAACCTAATTTTTTTAAGGTTAAGCTTCAAATTCAAAGAATTGAAAGTTGATTAAGTTGTCGATGGGAACAAGTGTCAAACGAATAATTGAGGCTCCTTTTATTTGATCGAAAATATGACTTGTTTTTTTGAAGAAAGAAGAGAGTGGTGAGAAATACAGGACTTGCAATGGATAGGTGTGCTTTCTTCTATTATCATGTCTGTACAACGTCGTTAATATATTTTGTGGAAGCCCAGTCAGTGGAAAGACATTTTTTCATTTTAGTTTAACCAATTATAAGCTTTTTCTAAATGCTGATATCAATCTTACCACTTTAGTTCTCCTTTTATTCACGGATAAAGTTGGTCTTTTTTTTGTTCACCCGTTTATTGCAGCAAGTACTTAATGTATATTTCAAAAAAATTTTTTTGATGTACAGCTGAAGAGAAAGAAATACATGAAAAAAATGAAAAACTTTTGGTCAGACCAACTTCGGTTTTTTTCCGAATTTTTTATTCGCCTTTTTTCGATTCCGGGTTAATTGGAAAATAATAGGAAATTTATATGAGATATTTTCTTCTATTGACCAGAATAAATTCTTAGGACGACGGTAATAGTCAAGGACTACCAAGTTTGAAATAAAACAAGTAGGATTTGTTGGAAAAAATAAATCGAAAAAATAATCAAAAAGTGGAGCGATACGATTGAAAAAAAAACTGATTGCAGTGTCAAAATTAAGTGAATCAAATGAAGTTGAACTAAATCGATGACAAAGGAATTATTGATCAACCAAGAAAGAGCATGAGATCAGCCATCGCCACAACGATCAAAACTGAAAATTACGACGCAATCATTGATAAATTTATTACAAGGGATCAAAAAGTTCTTCAAAAAGGAAACGCGGTGCAGCGGAGTCTCATCGTCATTATCGAAAGCCATCCAGAGAGATTCGATCCTCCAACTAGACGACCATTCAGATCTAAAGAGATATTGTCCATAGAAGCCTCTTTCTTGCATTCACCTTTTCGAAGAACTTACTCAACGAAATCGCAGTTAGTAAATCAGCAAGCAGTTGAGAAAGAATTTTTCCTAGCTTTGCTGTACAGCACTTTCACATCCTTCAAAAACGTGAAAGGATTGATATGTTATCAACGGGTAAATTCACGGTCCAACGCCTTTTCCCGGCTTTCCAGCTTCAATCTATCGATGACCTCTTATCTGCTCTGTTGCTTCTGATCAAGGTCTCGTTCCCTTAACGGTTCTTTGAAAATACAGGAGTTTCAGTGATATTCAAGCTTTTTCAGTTTATCAAAGCTGAAAAATATCCTTGATATCTACTAGTTCATGGTGTGGAGGCAGATCTGTTGTTTTTGGTGGTCGCAAAAAAAGTATCATCCGAGGTAATTTTTGTCAAGCTTTCTGCTGGAAACCATATTTTAGCATCTTCGCTTTCATTTTTTGCATACTAGCTCGTTAGTAAAGAGAGAAGGAAAATGCTCAAATTTAGGTATGCAGAGGGGGTCTTTTTCGGTTACCTTGGATACTCCAATTTTTTGAGAACTAAACTGAATTATTGTCATATTGTGAAAAATAAAATGAAAGCGGAAGAACTAAAGGGTCGATGACGAGGTACAATCCTTGAACACCTCACCAAAACTTTCAAAGAAAAGCAAAAGCTTGACGACGGTTCAAAATCTCGCTTCTGGTGGTCATTTAGAATACTAAGTAGCGACCACAACTGAACAAAAATATTCATTCAATACACGATATTATTTTGCATACCGGACCCGAAAATCATACAAAACGACAGAAAAAAGAAAACTAAAAAATGTCAGGAAAAAAAAATGCAAACTCGAGAGATTCGATGAAGGTTGCTTTCAAAGGGCGGCCTAAATGTGGGAGATAAAAAATTTTAACAGTGACCTCGGTATTTATCAATTTGATTTGATCAACATTGGCCAAAACTACAGTGGTGAATAAAAACTTACGATTTTTTTTACGAAATCCCAGAACATGTGTTTGATTGGCAACCTTTAAAATGTAAAAAGTCGTGCGCACGTTGACACGGCTACATTTCTAGGAATACTCTTTAGTAGAGATTCTAGGTCTCTGACAGTCTAACAGAAACCACTTAATAAAAAAAGGAGCCAAATTGGCGTCCTCAAAAAATATATAAAATGGACTTAAGTAAATGTTTTTAACTGCCTCACAATCTTAATTTGAGCATTTATCTACGGGTTTTTTTAGTTAAAAATTTTTGCCAAAAACAGATTAAAAAAACCTATTAAAAGATTTTTTTTTTGAAATTTCATTCTTTATCAATTCTTGGCAGAAATAAATATCCGGCCAACTGGCCACGGCACTTTCAGCCTGTCAAAATTGTATAAAAGTTTTCTCATCATTTTAGATGTGAAATCTTAGAAAACGTCTTCAGAAACTAAAACTCAAAACTTTATGAAGATCGGTAGAAAAAGATTGGAAAAGTTCTGATTGAAGTTAGAAGTCCTATGTTGAACAATGGTTATTAACAGAGCAAAAAAATGTAAATTATGAGTTGGAATTTTGCACATTTATGGATAATGATGTGTTAAAAATATCTGAAAAAAATTTCATGTTCGGGATCTGATTTGCTTCGATTTACTGATCAAAGATTAAAACCTATACTTTTTTTGATGAACTTTTTAACGAACGGCTTCTGCGTTTTTTTAGATAGCTTCTGTGACAAGATTTTTATTCTTAGATAAATGATTTTATTAGTCAATGAGCAAATTATTCGTTGTATTTCATCATTCAGGAAACCATAATAGTTATTTATATCCTTGGTAAGCTAATGTTTTTCGATATTTTCGCTGGGTCATCTCGGAATAAATGTCTTTAGTTCACCAGGATTCGATGAATCAAAACACAAAAATCTTTTTTTTTCCTAGACAGATTAGAGAGCGACAGTCTGTACAGGCCATGCGAGGAGAATTTGTATAAACTATCTTTTCTTATCCGCGAGATCAGCGCAAATGCGTCATCCCTGTTATTGTCTCTCGTTGAAAAATTTGCAAAAATTTATTCCTTTTTTTTGCTCAAGTATAAATAGAGCGGCTAGCTTAGTTCACGCACAGTATTTTTCTCTTCATTTTCAATCCGCTCCTTGCTCGCTCGTTTTTCTTGTTCTGAATCTAACCCTTAACAATTCAGGATGAAGTTTGTTTTGATCGGAGAAGAAGAGGTAGGAAAAACGTCTCTTCTCAAGGCGTACTGCACCGGGTGCTTTTCCAAGGAATATGTTCCCACAATTTTTGATCACTTTGAGGTTTGTTCTACCACTTTCGGATAAAAGAACCAAGGAAAAATTTCAGACGAACGTCTCGGTCTGCAATGAGCGGCACATGCTCAGCTTGACGGACACTTCCGGGAAGTCAGAGTACGAACGTTTCCGTGTACTTTCCTTCCCAAAAACCGATACATTCCTTCTGTGTTTTTCCGTCGTGACCCCGGAAAGCTTCGAGAAGGTCAAAAGCAAGGTGAGAGCTTATTTGACGACTACCGAATCAATTCCTACTTACTTTGCTGGTTCTTTTCAAGTTCGCTTTCTGACGAATCGTTTTGCGCGTTGACGCGCCGTAATCCTTGAAACCTTTGACAACAAAAAAAAAATGGAAAAATCTAATATCCTTTCCAATCCAGAAAGTCCAAAACCACAAAAATGAGCTACCGTGTCGTAGTTTCAGCTAGTCTGATTTCTATGAATGTTGCACTTTTTCATTGAAATTTTTTCAGTTTGCGCCTGAAATTAAGCAGCACTGCCCAACCGCTCGAATCGTCGTCGTTGGAACTCAGGTTATTTATAACTTTGGTACACTGTATTTGGCCCGAATTCCGTTGTAATGCAGTATTTGAAAATTTTTCAAGCGCGCGATCGCAAAGCGGTCGTCCTGAATTCTGGTTCAGCCTTTACAATGCGTTTATACCATATGAATTAAAATAATTGTCAGCGGCTTGCAAATAGGACTAAGATTGCAACCGATCGCGAGAGAAGTGCAAGAAAGAATAGTTTTGTTTCAAGGAAAAAGTTTCGTACTCCCAGTGGACTATTATTACTTCAGGTTGATCTTCGAGACGACGTGGACACTGTTGAGAAGCTCGCGAAGGACGGCTTGCGCCCTGTGGCCAAAACTGATGGCGAGCAGCTCGCCCGTGAGCTTGGGGCGTTCAAGTACGTCGAGTGCTCGGCTCTCACCATGGTATTATTCTTTATTTTTGAAGGAACACACGGACTGTTAATTTTCCAGCTTGGAGTCAAACAAGTTTTCCACGCTGCTATTATTTCCGTCTTCGAGCGGGAATACGAAGGGTGCAACGTGGAGAAGACGACCAAATGTCGTTGCACGATCTCATAAATGAAGAAGTGGCTATTTTTTTCACTGTTTTGAATTTTAAAAGGTTCTTTTGTTGTTTACTTTTTGAATATTATATCGTTTTTTTGGAATTTTTTCTGTAAACTGTTATCCCGTTTGATATTTTTGCTTGAATTTTTGCTGACGCTATTTAATAAACTGTTTTACTCCCAAGAAAAGAATACAAACACAGCGTTTCGAAAACGCAGGATGAAACACAGAGAAAGGACTCGAAAAGCCGGGAAAAGTGAAGATATTAAGACACTCGAAAAGATTTTCAAGGAATTTTATTGGTTCATTTTTTTTTCAAATTTTTCCTGCTTGAGATTTTCAACAGTCCATGACATTCAAATAAACCAGACTTATTCTCAATTTGATTTTTGACCCGAGCGGCTTTTTTTTCTTTTTGCGAAAGGACAGTTGCCAGCCCTCGGGAGCGGATTGGAGCAGTTGGCCGTACAGGAGGATAAATGAGGATATATTTCGTATAATGTAGATGTCTGATTGATCGAATACTCTGGTGAGAAACCTTTTTGTGTTCATCTAAACTTTTTCATCTCAAACAAACAAAAATGGCATAAAAACACTTGACTATCCGTTCAGGAAAAATCGTGATCAAAAAAAATTTTTTACGAAATATTTTTTTTTTTTTTCGATTCTATTCGAAAAGCAAAAAGAACGCATCCCAACGTTCACTGAATGACAAGAAGGCGTCGACATTTGAAAAAGTTCGTACAACGACGGCACAACTCGTCATTCAAATAGAGCACCAAACGACATGACTCATGACCCGACAGAAGACAAAGTGCCGCCAGAAATGTCAAATAAGGGCTCGTAAAAAAAGAGCAGACGATCTTTCACAGTAAGAAGTTTTGCGTTTTATTTGAATTTTGGCAACTTTTCAAATTTTTTTCTAGTAAAAAAATTTTCCGGGGGTTCGAAACTATTTTTTTAAGGTAAATTTTTCCAAAAATTAAAACCTTTTTGCGGTTCAAAAGAGTTTAGCTTATAAAACCCGTTCTCTGAAACATGCGAACCTACACTAGTCTCTAAACTTTTGGATAACAAACAAAATTTGGCGGACCCCTTTTGATAAATGTTTGCATTTCTTTCCGATAGAGAACGTCTGCAAAATCTCAAGTGTCGGCTGTTTTTTTGGTTGGCGGCCTTTTTTTCATCTTCTGCGAGAACGTGCGACAGGCGCTAAGAGCGTCTGCCGTTGTGGTAACCTCTGTTTATCCTCTTTACCCAACACGCTTGGAGTTGGAATTATAAAATGCGAGCCGGAGCAAACTACAGTGCCTGAATTATTTTTTTTTTTTGCACAATATAAACTGAGCATAAATTTCTTTGAGAAAGGTTTTTTTTAATCCCTTATTGCAGTGGAATCATCAAAAAACCGAAAAAAGTTACTTTCTTCGTGAACTGAGAAGAAAGTGCGGAAAGAAAAATGTTAATGCGAGGACGATCCAGGCGTTTTGTTTGGTATGTTCTCAAACGTGGGAACAAACTTGGCTCACTCATCGCACGATATTCTTGCAATCGCGCATCTCATTAAACTTCGACACGTGGAAAAAAAAAACTTTTTAGATGGGATAGAAGATTAGGAGCATCATAAAGCTTGGAACATTTTGTTCAATAAGCGTCTTTTTTGTTATTTTCGGTTCCACTTTCAAGAAATGGAACCGAAAGCTTTTTTTTTCCATTACTTACGGCTTTACCGCGTTCGCGACACAAGTCGCTGAGGTGAGGTTTTATCATGATACCAGTGACAATCAGCGGACTGGCTCTGTTGGCATAATCTTCCTTGTAGGAATTTATGGAGCCGTGGGCTTCTACTTTCAATGTTTCTCAAACCTCTGCTTTAAGTCGCGCCGGACAACGAATTTGCAGCGCTTTGAACCCTAGAGAGACACACAACGTATTGCGCTACGGCGAGCCGCTTTTTTAGAACACGTGTATTCTTTCAGAAAAACTTTTTCCGAAATTCCAGCAAGGTATTCTGATCAAACTAGAAACATCCTGCGCGCATTGCCTCTGAAAAATTGATAGTTAGAAAAAAAGCTGTTTCGAATTTGGTGAGCTTCTTTTGTTTTTTTTTTTGAATGCCATCCATATGGTAAGGGTCTTGTGTCCAGTGTTTATCTGGTTCGACGCCATTTTTGTATTTGTGTTAACAATGTGGGCTCGAAAGACGTCATCTTGTGGTAATGTTTATCCGTCTTCTCGCAGCACATGTTCGAAGATATAACAACACGAGAAAAAAAAACTGGAGCACTTTGTATTTGAGACATTGAGAAATTCGAGTTTTTTTCGGTTTTTTTCAGAGTCTTTCGTGGGTTTTTGAATTTTCAATATCTCAAAAATTCATTTTTTTAAACAAAACTTTGATTTCTCAATCTAACGCTTAAATAAGAATTGAAGACTGTTAGGATGTTTTTCAAATATCAGTTGGTTTTCTTCCCTTTAGAATCAGATTGTTGAAAAATTCAGAAATTTGAATTAGTCTTGGTGAGGACGCTTCTTTTTTTGCTTCAAAAAGTGCACGCGCCGAGGAAATTTGTCACGTGCTGGTACGGCTGGCGGCCGAAGAGCCAAAAAGGGGAAAAGGTTTCGAAAAGGCGCCAAACTTTCGAACAAGTGTCATGGGATTCGGCACAGAACGGACTTTGAAATGAAAAAAAAAATTGCACACTTTAAAGTTTCCCAGGGGGAATATTATTTTAAATTTCCTGGCCTGAATCGTACTGAAATGTTTTCTCTGGGGTTCCTCTGAGCAAAGAGTTGAGAAATGAGAGTTTGTGGCTTGATAAACCTAGCTTAAAGTATTTGGAAACCATGAGAAAGTTCTGTTAAACCCTAAAGACACGCGCGGAAAAGCTTGTGAAAGATTGACGTCCGCGCTTAGGGCCGCTAGTATTGGCAGCTGGTGTAGTGATAGTGGTCTTGCGCTTTTTTCCAACCGCGACCGTGGTTCGATTCCTTTTGGCGTATATCATTTTTGCCGATTCAACTTCATTGTGCGCATAAATTTCGAAATATGTATTCAAATCAAAAAAAAATTTTTTCTAGTAATGAGGGTTTAAAAACTTCTAAAAAACGTAAAACGATATGTAATGGAGTCGAACTCTTTAAGCATGTCGCTAGCTAGAGCAACTTAAAATTAATATCGTAGAATAGTTGGATTTATTTTTTTCAAATCTTTTTTGTCTCTCTGGATCCAATTATTTGAAAAACTCAGAAATTTGAATTCGCCTTGGTGAGAACGTCACCCTTTTTTCTAAAAAAAAAAGTGAACGCTCCGAGGATATTTGTCGCGTGCTGGTACGGCTGGCGGCCGTGGGAAGTGCCAAGAAGAGGAGAAGGTTTCGAAAAGTGCAATGTGGCCCTCAACAGAGCCTACTTTGAAAATCTACTTTGCAAGTGACGAAATTTAACATCTTTTTTAATAGTGATAGTATATTTAATTGGTGCAGTCCTTGCCTGTAATTCACCGAATCGCTTTCCGACGTCGTTCCTTTCATCAACAGCGGTAAAAGACAACAAAAAGATGTATACAATATGGCCGAAGAAATTTTTTTGAATTAAAGCGTTGGGGACCCAAAAAAACGAACGTGACGGTAAACACACCAGGAATCAATTTTAGACGATTTTTTTATTAATTTTACCGCTAAATGATGACGAAAAAAACTTATATTTAATATAAATATTAAATATAAATGTTTTTTTCTGTATAGTGTTGATGTTCTCTAAAAGAGAGATTTTTGAACTTTGAAAGCTGAAATTTCTTTTTTTCTTTTTCAATTTCGAAACATTTGTATGACTAGCAAGCGGGGTGTTGTTTCGCAAGATGGAGTTTAGAACAAAAGTACCTCTTCGGATGCGATTCCCAACAAAAAAGTCGTCTTCTTTTTTTTTGGAATCGTGAGAATGAACAGCTTCGCGGACAGGACAAAAAATATCAACCGAAAAATGCAATCTTTTTTTTATCTATTTTATCCTATCAACTTTTTCTTTTTCAAAAAATGTTCTATTCATCCGGTTTGGACATTATCAAACTTATCTTGAAAAATACTCAATATCAAAAATTTCTTAAAGCTTTAATGAGACTACATAAAGAAATTTTGGACTTTCTTTGGAGAAGTTGGTTTTTTACTTCTAAACTCTCAGTTTCTTTCCAACTTTGAAAAAAATAATAGTAGAAAAAAAGTTAATTTTTCCGAAATTTTATCTTCTTGTACTTTTTCCGTCTTTATGTGGAAATTCGGATTGACGCCTGAAGTTTCCTCTCAGGACCCATTTTGCCTACGGCTCAAACCAATGGGAGGAGAGGCGGAACGAAGGGGCGGTTCCGCCGCACACGTTCTGCTCATTCGGCCGGCCTGCCGTCGCCTGGTCTTCTCGCGTTCCTCCTTTCTCTGTTTTTCTTTAGGATCTTTCAAAATTTAGAGTAGTTTTTGTTTCCATCACCCAAAGCTCAGCCGAAAGTTGCATTCGGAAACGTTCTTGTTTTTTTTATTGTGAGAATTTGACTCACTACCCTTACCCTACGGGTTGCAACTGAATATTTTATTAAAAACACCGAACGAACCGTTATGAATCATTTTTCTAACATAAAGTGAGAAATCCAACACAAAGTTTTTAAAATCTTGGTTTGAAGTGAAAAGAGGGTCTGATGGTGGCCGCATCGAATTTCGATCGCTGGTTCCGTCGGTTTCTTTGATTGCTTCATAGAGCGATTCCGAAAGCTTTCTGACAAGGATTAATGATTTCTGAGTGAAAAATGATGTTGCAAAACTAGTTCGTTAGGGTATTCAGTTCCAAAAAAATCAGTTGAGGCCCGTTGGTTACAGGAATAGTCAAATAATCACAGTTTTTCAAAAATTATAGTCTTTAAAAAAAGAGTGCAATTTTAATCGGGGCTTTGAGAAATCATTTAATCTTCATTTTTTTAAAAAAATAGTTCATTTTATTATTCTTACATACTTCATCTCTTCAAAAGG